CCTTGTATCTAAGGACACAGAGAAAGTGGGTGGAAAATCGACCCAGAACATGAGTAATGATAGCACCAGTGGATTGGAAAGGGCGCAGGGCGCAATGAGTCATATATAAGATATGTACAAGGCGGGTGGCATGCACAGTTGATGACTTCAATGTCTCAATATAAAGTTAGTACAAACACAATCAATTCATATACATTGAGGAGCAACAGGCCTGCGGGGCTGGACTGGGTAGAACAAACGAGCTACAAACAAGTTTGGGACGACCATCCTGGCACGGTGTTTACCTTCAAATTTACTTCTTTAGGTGGGTCATTTCTGCTACATGTGTACCCAACTCACGCTACCAGTAGTGGATAACTCATGAAGCTTTGCAGAAGTTGTACCTTGCGAGGCTCAAGTGCATTGGCTTTGACCATGCATTAGATCAGCGCATTAGAGATGAGGTGTCTCACATGACACATGACAAAGCTAAAGTGGATTGCCCTGCAAGCACTGCTGACTTCAAAATGAAGAAGACTGATGAAGTGAAGAAGAGGAATCGAAACTGTGGGGAAAATGAGCAAGAAACCAAGGAATCACAGTGAGTCCTGAATGCAAGCAAAAATCTACCAAGGACAGTGTTAGTTTGACCTCTACTTCGCTAAAGCACCTGACTGACGTTCATTCCCAACTTCGCACGCTGAAGTATTGCCATTGCATGCAAATTGTAGTAATTGGACCTGCAGGGGCTGCATAGGAGGAATCACAGTAAGTCCTGAATGCAAGCAAAAGTCTACCCAAGGACAGCTACTGAGAAGGAATCCTATTAGGAAGACTCAAGACATGATCTGAATCTAAAGCTTGGTACAAACGCAGTAGATCTATGTGCATTTAGAAGCATCAGACCTCTGATCTGTGGAGTCTGCTGAAAGTGTGCTCAGGTGTCCGCATCTGCTTATGTAAGCAGGGTCGCCCCTGTCTTATTGCCTCACAATGATCGATTTTTTCAGCCTTCGTACGACTTGCCTTGTGTCGAATAGACATCTCAATGGGGGTTATTGAACCATCGGATTCCAATGGTAATGCTACTTTTGTTCAAAAAAATCATGTTCTAAAGTTATGAGTGAAGAGTGAGTGTAAGGTTGCCATGCTGAGGTGCTCAATCAAAGGTCGACTGTCTTAGCCTTTTGATGACTGTAATGTCTCAATCTCAAACTAAATACAACCACAATCGATCTATGTACATTTATGAGCAACAGGTCTCTGATATGTGGTGTCTTGCTTCAAGTGTGCCCACCTATCCGCATTTGCTTATGTAAGCAGGGTCGCCCCTGTCCTGTTGCCTCACTCAAAGGTTGATTTTTTCAGCCTTCATATGACTTGCCTGGCTTCAAATGAAACTTGATTCTAAGGTTATTAACCACCCTGGACGCGATGGCAATGCTTATTTTGTCCGAAAAAATCATGTTTCAGAGTCATGCTACCCCCTCCCCCTACCTACTCCACCATGAAGCATGATTTCATGTATATACTGATGTAAAAAGGATTTGAATAGTGTTTTTGGATCATAAAAATAGATTGAAGATGTGTTCAAAGTGTTTTTGGCCAATATGAAATGTAATGTGTAAGTTGACCTCATACCCCCCCTCAAAGATCGATTTTTCTGGCCTTCCCATGACTTGCCATGACTCCAAATCCATTTTTCCTGGGGGCTCTTGATAGCTGCAAACAAGATTGTCAAGCCCGAATTGTTAGAAAAAATCAGGTGGTCGAGATACAGAAGGTCCTCCTCCCCCCCCAAACTCACATATCTTCCTATTATGTAAATACCGGTATGTAAAAGGGTGTCCCTACTGTTTTCCAATGATATAAATCGATTGAAAATGATACCAGAGCGATTTGAGACCATACAAAGTGACATGTGCGAATTTGTCGCATACCCCCCTCAAAGATCGATTTTTCTAGCCTTCCCATGACTTGCATGCCCTCCAAAAGCATTTTTCCAGGGGGCTCTCAATGTCCCTGAACACGATGGTAAAGCCCAATATGTCAGGAAAAATCAGGTTGTCGAGATATAGAATGTCCTCCTCCCCCCCCCCTACCCCCTATATCGCACCACACTCAAATCTGACTCAAGACCGATACTGAAAATAGTGTTCCTACTGTTTTTCAGTCGTACAAATCGATTGGAGATGGTCCCAGGGTGTATAGAGGTCGCCAATATTGCGGTTTGGTGGAGGGGCAAAAAAGTCAGTATTTCGACCATATCTCCATATTCCAACCGCCGTTTTTCTTAATTCTTGGTTCATATGATTCCTGGAAGATGCCTCTAAATGATGTACCAGCCCAGGAAAAGATATTTTTTCCAAAGTTTGAAACCTATTTCTGTTTTGACCATATAAATGCAGAAAAGTTTGCATCAAACTTTCTGCACTATTAAGTTGGTGTTAGTATCTCACAAGCGAGGATTATTATGCGGGAGCATGCGATGCCTGCCATGGGTGCAACTTTGTCTAGTAGTAGGCGGGCAAGCACATTGTAGGGTGTTCGGCGGCTGGCACTGTGGTAAGGAACAATTTCCAGTACCCCGAAAGTTACTCCAGCTGACGGAGTTTCCGCCGGGGTCTTGTTCGAGTCACGTCTGATCATATCAATATTTTTATCTTTTCTATGTTTTCTGGTCGTGCATTTTGTAGATCATATCGATTGACCGCCAACTTTCGTTCTCTGATACCCAAATCCATTGGGACGCGTACAATGACCACCGACTCGGAAATCTCAGATTCACTCACTGCTGAAATTGCACAGGCAACAGGTGCACTAAACGATCTCCGATTGCAAAATGCCGATGCGTCAAGTATAGACGCTGCCAAGAAGAGACTTGGTGAGTTGAAGAAAACAATGGCCGCGATGAACATTGCAGGCGGGAGCAAGGACGCTGGGAAGAAGAAGGAGCGGCTCCTGCTCAAAACCGCAAAGGTGTGTTCAAGTGTGCACCGCGATCATACACCTCTGAAGGGTGCTCAAGCAGGCTGCATAGGGAACGCGTGATTATAGCGCTGCGGAAATGTTTTGCCGGGAACATGTCGAGCGCATCGTTAAGGATGTGTTCACGTCATACGGTGGGAGCGCCCTTGACACGCCTGTGTTCGAGCGCAAGGACGTGCTTGCCGGAAAGTACGGCGAGGACCAGAAGCTCATTTTTGACTTGATGGACCAGGGAGGTGAACAGCTTGCGCTTCGGTACGATCACACCGTTCCTTTGGCACGGTATCTAGCTATGGCTGGTGCTACGGTCCAAGCGAAGATCTGGCAAGTCGGCAAGGTCTACCGGAGAGACAATCCTGTGATATCGAAAGGCCGAATGCGCGAGTTCTCACAAGCAGTACGCACTTTCTTACTTATGCCTGGGGTATTTTGCATAACTTGTCACAGGATTTGGATATTACAGGTGTATGGGACCCAATGATCCCAGATGCTGAGATTATCAGTCTACTATGTACTATCCTAACGAGATTGGATGTTGGAGAATTCACCGTCAAGGTAAAGTTGTTCAAACAAGGTCTGGATCGACCCTGATGCCTTTCAACCTAGCTAAATCACCGCAAAATTCTTGATGGGATCTTCGAGGTCTGTGGTGTGCCAGAGGCCAAGATTCGATCGATATCCTCGGCTGTGGACAAGTTGGATAAGGTTGGTTGATAGAGATACATTCTCGATGTGATTCTAATTGCGTTCAGCTCCCCTGGATAGAAGTGAAGAAAGAAATGACAGAAGAGAAAGGACTTTCTTCAGATGTCGCTGATAAGATCGGAGAGTATGTCAAGCACAAAGGTATGCAGTCTCGATTTTATGCAGAATCAAATATCTCATCTCTTTCGTCATACAGGTGGCCCGTCACTGCTCGATCTTTTGAAGGCAGATGCCACTCTTATGGCAAACCCGAGCGCCAAGCAGGGCATTTCAGATATGGATATTCTATTTACTCTCCTGCATGCCTACAAAGTACTCGACAAAGTAAGGTCGCTTTCCGTGAATCGGAACATGATATTCACGTATGCATAGATTTCATTCGACATGTCTCTCGCACGTGGTCTAGACTATTACACGGGCATCATCTATGAAGCCATCGTCGAAGCGTCAGCGCCACCAGCTTTTTCCGCAAACGCAACAGAGTCCCCAGCCCCAGTCCCTTCGAAACCGAAGTCTTCGAAAAAAGCCAAAGCTGATGACGGCGAAGAAGATGAACTGGACGAATCGCAGGTGGGCGTCGGCTCCATCGCTGCTGGTGGCCGGTACGATAACCTGGTTGGTATGTTTACTGCCGCCGCCGCCGCTGAGGGGAAGAAGGCACCAGGACTCCCATGTATCGGGGTTAGCATTGGTCTTGACCGAATTTTTGCGATTGTGTGGCCAAAGTGGATGGAGAAGGGGATGCGGAGTAAGGAAACGATGGTGTATGTGATGGCTGCTGGTGATGGCTTGTTGGAGGAGCGGATTGCACTCGTGCAGGAACTCAGGGAAGCCGGCATAAAAGTTAGTTAGGCTGTCATTTTCAAAATCATATGTTAACTTGTTTTTGCAGACTGACTTCCTCGCAAAGAAGAAGCCGAAGCTCACTGCTCAGTTCATGGCTGGTGAAAAGGATGAAGTTCCTTTTGCTGTGATTTTGGGCGGTGATGAGCTCAAGGAAGGTTTGGTGACTATTAAAGAACAAAAGTGGGAATTCGTGGATGGGAAAAAGAAAAAGATCCAGTCGGAAGATCAAGGCATGAAGGTGCGGCGGGATGAACTGATTAGTTGGATCAAGCGAACGCCGGCACATCAAGGCTGGTCGAGTGGTCGACTTATCTAGGAGGAATATATTACCCATACCCTGTACTGCATAGATTATAAGCCTGGTGGCGCAACATTGTGTGCCCATGTTTGTCCTGTCAATACTTTGTCACGAGGTTTCAACTTTTCCTGCCTGCTTTCTTCTCTCAACTACCACGTCGACAATATCGACAAGGACAGCAACAATGGATGACGGTACGTTTTCAGCATCAGCCCCGACGACGACAGCCAGTTCTGCATTCAATATTTTCTTCTGTTCCGGCACAACCGCCTCGTACATACCAGCACTATTTTTCTCATCGCATTCATCAGTCTCATTCCGTTCTTGAATTCGGAGCAGCTGGGATGTCTTCACCACCAAATATCGGCTGAAGGCCGATAACGGCCTATCTAGAAATACTGATGCGCAACTCGAGTAAACCGAGCTCTCTCGACTTCTCATACATAGTGCGCCCTCAGTAGTTCATACGCGTGCACTATGACGCGTGCGCGCGGCACAGTATAATCGCCCATTCCTCCTGCACCATTCTACCCACCGCCATGAATCGACATTGATCTTGTTTTCACCCTTTCCGCCCATTCAGCCTGGCAATCACAAGATATTGCACCTTCTGGGATTAGCATTCCCACGCACGAGTCCAACATGAATGGTGGACCTGCTGGAAGGGAGGAGCAGAACTGGAACGGTAATGCTCGCTCGCCTGGCAGAGATCGTGGGGGTGAACCTCCCAGGCGCTCTAGCCGCAGCAGGAGCCCCGTACGGGATGACAGAGGAGGGTACGTGGCGTTAGAGTTTTGGCATGTCTGATGTTGATAATATTCGTAGACGGGGGGGTGACAGTGGTGGTCACAACCCTGGAAACAACCTTCATGTCTCAAACCTGAGTCACCGTGTTGATACGCGTGACCTTGAAGCAGTGTTCGCTAAAATAGGCCGTGTACGTGTCGTCCTGTGGTCTTATTTCCTGCTGCTGATCCAATAGAAATAGGTGAAAAAGGCTTCTGTCATGTATGACCCGCATACCCGCGAGTCCCGCGGGTTCGGATTTGTCACCATGGAGACTTCAGAGGAGGCCGACGCTGCCATCACCGCGCTCAATGCGACTGAAATTATGGGGAAGATTTGTACTGTAGAAAGAGTATACTCACACACTTTTGGATTTTGCCAACGTTTGTTAATTTGGCGTTTAGGCCCGCCGTGGACGTGCACGTACTCCGACTCCTGGAAGGTACTACGGTCCTCCCAAACGCCATGACAGTAAGTATTGTATTGTCAGAGTGTTCTTTGGTTTTAACTCAGCTCTCGGACAGATGAGCGCCCGTACGACCCGCGTCCTTACGACAGCCGTTATTCCCGTGACTATGACGATCGTCGTCGTGGAGGTCGTCCTGATGATTATCGGGGAGGAGGAGGTGGTGGTGGTGGTGGCAGGGACTATGACCGCGGTGGGTACCGTGACTATGACCGAGGATACAGTGGTGGTGGCCGCGGCGGTCGCGACTACGATCCTCGTGGCCACGACTACGATAGGAGATACTAAGTGTGCTCGCCCTCGAGACGGATCATATCGCGTTATGTTTTGTTTTCGTTAGTATGTATTCCATAAGTAACCCTGGTGAATGAAGCCTGTTGCATGATGGATAACGAATGCAATGTTTAGATTCACTTTGATCACGAGCTTTCCTATATTGACGGTGTTAAATAGATCGAGTAATGCATTGCAAGGCTTCCTTAGGTTGAGTAGGCACCTTCTAGTATATTTGTTTCTCTTGTCTCATTGCATTCACAAATAACGTTCCAGAATACCACGACCCAAGGCTAATAGTACAGATAGAACCCACAGTCCAGGCTGGTCTGACTGTTTTCCTTCCGTCTGTTATCGGAGACAAATTAGTATCGGTCTGCCCTCTACGATGGCCGAGTGATGTGCTGCGAATTGGGGTGTCATCCAAGTCCTCAACCATTCGTAATGAGGGAAGGAACTCGATCTACAAACATGTTTGACAAATTGGTGAAAGCTTGGAGGGGAGCTCGAGGGGAATCGCCGTGGGAATATACTTGGACGATATGGCAGGAGATTACGTAGAAGCATCACTTCGCGGTACGCTATACGATTTCTTGTGGAAGTGCGAAATACCCTGCCATACAGCCTATACTTCAGCCTCGTATTAGCTTTCTCGTTTCGGCTGCTTTGATCAATATTGCACCCTACAACGTGCCTCTGCTGTACAAGCCTGGGCACGTTGTAAATGAGGCCCGCTATGGGTGGTGGCTCAGGCTTGATATTCTGCGTCGCTTCTGTCCTGTTGACTCATCGGCACTGTACGGGCTAGATGTCATGTATATGATTCTCTCTTTGATAATCATTCAGAACTTTACAGGTACTACTGCAGTTTTTCGTGACCCTCCAGCACACATCCTACTCTCAAGTTTTCAGTTTGGATCCATGCCTCAGTCGGGGTCAATGGCAAAATTCGTCCCTGGCCATTTCAATGACCACCCTCCAGGCTTGGGAGAAGGCCCGAGCCCCCAGGACTCAGGAGAGATAAATCTTGTGATTAGTAAAATGCTACAAGTTACCTTCAATAGTATGTATTCCGTTTGTCTTTACTTAACACGTACCAATGATTTTCCAAAGCAATTCTGGCGACACTTTATTTTGTCGTTAATCTTTTATTTTGTTTCGCGACAGAGAGTCCGTCCCTGACCCGCTCGATGATACCCTCCAAGCCAACCAGAACAACCTCAGTATCTGAGAGAGACAAACCTCGTGATCAGTGAAATGCTACAAGTCGTCATCAACAGTATATGCCATCTACCTTCACTCAGCACGTGGTGCCTGTTATTTCTCATGACAGATCCCGTGTCCAATCCACTCGGTGATACCCTCCCAGCCTTGGGTGAAAAGCTAAGCCATTCAGAACAACCACAGGACCCGGGGGAGAAACACCTTGATGGAGCGCAACAAGTTGTCATCACCAGTATGTAATATTAATATCCGTTTAGCACATATTGACGATTTCGAAGCCATTCGCGTAACTGATCTCACTCTTGGTCTCCGACGGATACCTGCTGGCTTCCCTGTGGTAGTAGTAAAGATTGACGGTGCTGTGTGCCAAACAGGCAACAAGCCTGTACACGTAGACCAGGCCGTCGTCGAATGGATTGAGCCCAATACTTCTGTAAGCCATTCTTTACCTCATCTTTCCTGCAGGTATTGAGAAAGACTCTAGGCCATGCAGGTTATCTTCTATAGTTCGGGTCAGCGTGTATGCCTCGTTTGAACTGGGTCCCATGATCTGTGACAGAGAAATCCTGCGCACATTTGAGATCTCTGTCGGAGAACTACTGGATTGCAGCGAAAAGTCACACCGTCAGTATTGTCTGTTGCAAATCACGCCTGACAGATAATAACGAGTATCACAGCCATAATATTTCAGCCTAACCAAGGGGAAGTCGTGTCCGCTTGTACTTCACTATTCATGACAATGGGGCAGCGACTTTTTGATGAAAACGACGCCTTAGTTCTTTGCTCCCCTTCTTTATACTGTGAGTGATCAATGCAGTCTTGCATTCTGCTACTGAGAGCTTGTAACGCGTAGCTTTCATCCCGCAATATGAATACTTTAGCATTAAAGACGGATGTCGGACATAGTCTTCTCGCACGATACCACTGGATCCAGAACAGTAGTGATCTCGACCAATTTATAAAGCACTTTGAATACGCCTCGGATCTCTGTCCCGTAGATCATCTCTACCGCCCTGCAGCCCTGTTCAATCTAGCCACCGCAAAGTTTCTTAGTTACCAAACCAACGGAATATACCTCGAGCTCGACGTGCCTATCTTCCTTTTTCAAGATACACTTGATTTACAAAGAGCAGTCCACATCATTGAATAACCTTGCGAATAAACTTTCCATCCGCTTTGAGCACCGAGGCAACGACAAAGACTTGGACCAGGCTATTGCACGTCAGACGGAAGCGCTGGCTTTGCGCGCTGTTGGTCATACATATCGATCCATGTCATTAAATAACCTTGCGACTCATCTTTCCATCCGATTTTACCACCGGGGCGATGAAGACTTGGATCAGACTATTGCACTTCAGACAGAAGCGCTAGCCTTGCATCCGGTCGATTACAAAGAGCGGTCTACGTCATTAAATAACCTAGCAGCTCAATTCTCCAAACGCTTTGCGCGCCGAGGCAACGACGAAGACTTCGATCAGGCTATCACGCTTTACATGGAAACGCTGACCTTGCGACACCTTGCGACCGGCCGGTCACACAGATCGGCCCTCGTTATTTAATAATCTTGCGAATAAAATTTTCATCCGCTTTGAGTACCAAGGGAATCATGAAGACTTGGATCAGACTATTGCACTTCACATGGAAGCGCTGGCTTTGCTCCTGGCCGGTCACACAGATCAGTCCATGTCATTAAACAATCTCGTGACTCAACTCTCACACCCGCTTTGAGGACCGAGGCAACGACGAAGACTTGAACCAAGCTATCGTACTTCAAACGGAAGCGCTAGCCTTGCACCCGGTTAGTCACACACATCGATCCATGTCATTAAGTACCTCGCGAACCGACTCTTCACCAGGTTTAAGCTCCGAGAAAATGACGAACATTTGGATCAGGCTATTACACTTCACAGGGAAGCGCTCGCCTTGTGTCTTGTCGGTCACATATCATTACATAACCTTGCGAACCGACTCTCCACCCGCTTTGAGCACCAACGCAACAGAGAAGACCTCGACGAGTCACGAGAGAACCTACGCTGTGCCTTGGCTCTGTTGACACAGCATGATCCTCGTCAATTAGTAGTCCATCAGTTGCTAGCTGAGGTCTATCTTTCAGTCCATCGTTCAGGATTTGACGGTACCTGCGAAGATCTTGACAGTCTGGATGCTGTCATGCATCATCTCAAGACAGCAGCAAATGTGGTCTCTGCTGGCTCCATATCTCGCCTGTGAGCAAGTCTACTGGTCAGTGAGGCCTCTCAACATTCACATGCCACTGAACTAGAGGCCTATACAACTTCCATATAACGTCCGGACACTTACATGTCCATGACAGCTTCAGAATCGTCTCGTCACAATATCATGAAGGACTTCTCAAGGACACTTGCTGTGGTCCGTGGATGCTGCATCATGTGCTCTTCGTAGTGGTGATGTGTGTCGCGCTGTTGAGTTGTTGGAACAGGGCAGGACCGTCAGCTGGACCCAGATGATGCGACTCCGCACGCCTCTTGACACCCTCCAGACATGCCGTAATCACGCAGCGGCCCTGACGAAGATATTCGGAGACCTTCAATAATTCGGCTTTTCTCACGCGGGACCAACCGCTTTCACTGCTGGATATCACAGACGAATCTGTCTCAGCATGAATTTGCATTTCTTTCTGCATGTGACACCGCAGTCGGCGACCATGATACTCCTGACCAAGCGATACACCTAGCGGCTGGCCTATAATATGCCGGGGTTAAGAGCGTCGTTGGGACATTATGGAAGGTCAATGATGATACTGTGCAACGCTTAGTCGATGCATTCTACAAAAACTTTTGCGGCGATGGTAAAATGAATTCCAAACGAGCTTCCCGGGCACTGCACCGAGCAGTCTAGTCATTGGCATATGATCAATTCCGTGCGTTCTCTCTCACCTTCTCAAATGAAGTATTCTTGAGAAATTCTGACGACTTTGCATGTAGCATCCAGTCATGGCCACGCACAACTTGTTCCCAAGGACTTCATCCAGACTTTGAGACTGTATACCTCCACGAGATATACACCCGATTTCGACTTCATGTTGTATTTCTAGTCTGTTGCCTTGTAGCCAGAGGCGATCGCTCTCAAGGTGCACTGATGATTTGTGGGCAAGTTAAATGATGTTATACAAAACTGATCTCGTATAACACCTCGTATAATTTGCGATGAATGTGATAGTCGAGTATCTTTGGCGGATCCGCTCAGCCCTCGACTATGACTGCATGAGTCCCCGCTGTACTAATGCTGCACAATTGTGACAGCTGGTTCTTCTATAGCCGAGGATATGTCAACGACGGTCGCGCATACGATAACTTATAAGCTATGACTTGCCAGACGTGAACCAGGATTGCATCGCTTCCTTTCCCCATGTATATCTTCAGCAATTTGCGGAGAATGCTGAATTATCGTGACAGAGACGCTCTTTGCCCGTGCGGAGCATGCTGATTCATTTCAAAACTGAGCTTCCGATACCCATCTCTGTGATATATTTGTCTCTCCCGCGTTTTCTCATCTCTTCCACGACTTCTCCAACCTTCTGGAACTCAGTCCAACCCTGATGATGCTCATCGTTGGCCAGATCTATGGGTTCCACAAATCGTACCCTTAGTGCTAGCCACTGCATAGATTTGACGTTGGCAACGAATTCTTGGATGTTTTCCTGCGAGCCCTGTGCATAAATGACACCTGGATAGCCGACTTTAGCGAAGCCAGATATCGAAAGCTCAGAGGACCATCGCTGTAATGACCGCCGTTTTGTCGGGGACACCAGATGATGAGATGTTAGGAGCGTGTGATAGTCTGTTGTTTCTGGAAGACGATTGGTGTTCTGCTGTTCTAGGATATCCATACTCTCTGGCAGTCCTGTATCGATACTATGTCCGTCTTCATGTAGTTTCGGCAGCAAGTGCATGCATAGCAACTGGTAGATCGGATAACTCCATACCATTTAGCATTCCTCGCGCTATGATCAAGAAGATGCTGTGGTGGTGCTCACTCGTTTCCTTGCACCTCGGCTAATTTCTCCTGAATAAAGGCTCGCCATCGGTGATGTTCATCTCTGGATATGCCCTCCCCATTGACAGAAATCAACGGAAGCTGCGCGGTGTCGACATCCGAATCCTCCGGGTATCCTTCTGGGAACTGTACCTCAAAGGAGATACGCGCGTCCGTGGCCTTCACTTGGAACTTGACTTGTGGAACTGAGTTGGGTAGAGATGAGATGTCTGTGGTACTAGTAGCAGTGTTGAAGGTGTGGAATAGCGAAGTCCATATTCTGTAGTCTTCTTGAGGGAGGACGAACGAAAATGATTCACCAGGAAGGAGGGAGTGTTGGATAAGCTGGAGTTCTTGGAGTTGACTTTGCAGGCACATGGATGTTGACCACGGAACAGTTGGAAACTCGGAGTTAGTCTACTCGGCCCACGAAGGCGCTAGGATAACCCAATAAACTGAGCACTTTGGTCTTAATTGACACTTCTTGGTGTGAACTATCCAGTCTATCCTTATCATCCGCACTGTGCACATAAATGTCGTACTTGCCGTGCTGTCACTTCACATGGTAGTTTTGTACTGTGATTCGACGTATGGTTAACGTTCTCAATATCGACTCATGAGTCGCCGAGGAGATTCCACCCTTCTTGTGTTAAAATACGGCAAACCAAACTTGACATGGCATGTCACGGACGGAGGTGACCGAGTCCGCTTCGAATCCTTTCTTCAACACCCTCTCTCTCTCTCGATAAGCTACTATGTACAATATCACCACTGGCATTCCTTAATCTCGCCTGGAACAACAATTCATGCCTCTCAGTCTCAAGTGTGTATACTGTGCGTTTTTGTATTCAACCCATCGTTCTTCGATCAACCGCCACATCCTTCTGGTAGTATAAAGGATCGCCCTGTAAGACGTACCAAACTCAAATTCAAGTGTATGCTAAAATTGATTTGATAGATTGGATTTGCATCTGGACCCTCATCAAGTTTCGTTCACCAGCAGGTCTCCTCAAGGACCATCGGTCAAGAACGGCGTATCATTCCAGAATTATGGAAACGGATTCGTCATCCTCGATCTCCCAAGGCAAAGTCCAATATCAGGGAATCTCAGCAGACGTCCTCAAGGCCTACCAGCCAGGACGGCGTATTCCGAGTCCACCTCTTGGCAACGTTTGGATGCGCATTTGTCGCCCTCAATCCTACAGAGCGGCGTCGACTTAACATATTGAAGTAGCGACCCACAAGCTAAAAGGGTACGTACGTTCAGCATATTCATTTTCAATAATGCATCCCAGAGAACTATAGTTTCACGTCCACGTCGGACAACGACGACTCAGTCTTCTAGTGGTTCCAGGGCAAATCTATGTTCGCAGTCTGCATTGACTGAGGAAGGCTCGGCTCAGGCATCTACTGACATAGGTATAATTACCAAGGAGCTGCAGCCTCACTTTTGCGCCGTGAAGTCACGTCCCCACAGTCATCTAGGCAAGCCGGTCAACCAGGACATACACAAGGCCACATCGATAGAGAGGACCAGGAGTGTTGATCCAGGGATTCTATACAGTGCGTAATACCGAGAGCGGTCAAAGTGCGTGGATGTTGGAATGATTGGTTGTGATAGAAAGGTGAGTTTCTTCACATCGGAGTGGATATAGTCAATCCATGCATTGCATCGGCGTTCTGATATTGCTTGTCTCCTGGTTGACTATGTTCTATGTATAACATGCGCTATGTTAATATATAAAGTTGTTCTCTTGTGGCTATCACTCCAGGGGTTGTGTAAATGCACATATATTGTACAGTTTGCAAGGAATTAACATGACGATTGCTGCGATGAGGCTGGCTGATAACTGTGGCGATTAACGAGCTACGATACAATGCCGGGAACAATCCAAAGGGCAATAGGTACGATTTTAATTGAATAAGACGATTAATGCGCTTGCTGGTGAGGCCGGCAGACCTTGAAATATTTCAATGTTGGCCCGCCGCTTATCGCAAAATCACGATGGACTATTAGTCTCCGTAGTCGGGCCATTAGAAGAAAGACAGCTAGATCTTTGTAATATCGATATTGATAATTGCATTGATTGGGCGAACTACCCTCGTACCCCATGACGAGTCCACACGAACGTCAAATTTCCCTTCGAAACAGCTTGAGAGAAAACTTTCCTATTTTACCGAGGCGGCATTGACGAGGGAGAAAAAGGCCAAGGAGCGTAGCGACTAGATAAGGTGGGTGGAACGTTACAGTGTTGAAGCACTGTTGAAACAGGTTCGATTGTGCGATGGACAAGTTAAGCAGGCGGGTGTTGAGCTCTTGAGACGTGTCAGTGGTTGATGAAATTGATATCCAGCACTGGGGACTTGGAGAATTCATGTTGTAAAATTTGCAATTGGATTGGCCAGGCGTTAGTGAGAAATTTTGAGTGAACGACAAAGTCCAGGTCAGGTCCTAACTTGAACGTGGGAGTTCGAGGAGATAGACGTAACCCTCCATATGTCTAGGTCCCTCCTCCACTGACGTGTGTGAGTCGGGAATTCATTCCATCAACATCCGTGGTGATATGCCTCTTCGGAGCTAATTCATGTCCGTGCCCCTTATCCCTTCAGCAATCCCATGGCTAGTATGATAGGGCTTCAAAAGGCGAGAGTTCTTCTCCATTCAACTACCTATTACTTCGTGCACCCCCACTTCACTCACTAATTTGACCATCCGTGCTGAGTGAAGACTAGATCCTCCTCCAGAAACTTGCTAAACGACCGTCCGTGAAGGTTCGGTAAGTGGTCCCATGGGCTCACTCATTGTGGATGAGTGCTCATGAAATTTGTTGCTGCCTCTGACGCTTTCTTCGCCCACAGCCAACCCCTTGTAAAGTCCGGCAAGCTATGAAGAAATTTACGAAAGGCATCACGAAGAAACTTGCTGTAAGTAGAAGTATACTGCTATTGTCCTGATTCTGAATATATAGGCTGACTTTGTGCAGAAACCCTTCAAGGGTTCCAACAACCACATTCCTGCGGTCCAGAATGTCGACCCTCAAAGTGCTTCAGAAAGTCAGAAGGTCGAGGTGAGTGCTCGAACTCGCCATCCTAGTTCTTCGGTTTTCTTAGGGGCGCCCAGGGCACGCTGCATCTCCATTCTTCTAACGACAACAGTAATCCTACCACAACTGAGATTCCCATCCACTCCGTGAATCAAGGGTTGTCCGGAGAGCCTGTTTTGCAGGTATTTTGGTCAAATACCTTGTTTTTCTTCTCTAATGTTGGCGGTCCCGAAGGTTCATACTACTCCTAGCGATAAGGAAGGTTTTGATCCCAAATCAGTTGACGCTGAACTTCGGGGTGCCCGTGATGGTATGCAAAGCATGGGATTACTCGGGAAACACGCGACTTCTATGGCATCCGCCGCCATCAATGGCCCAGCGGATCTCGATACCATGGATGATTTTGAGACGACGTATCTCCAACCCTTAAAGATTATTGATACTGTCCTTGGGAAGATCGCGGATGTATGGGCCATTCTTGTTAATTGGAAGCGAACTAATTAAACTGTATAGCTACATCCATATGCAAAAATGGCGCTGGGTGTGCTGTCTATTGCATCCAAAGTACGTTCGGTTTCTGCCAAAGTCCAGTCTCCTACTCACGAGTCATAATTCCACGTAGATCATAATCGCTCAAGCAGAGCGCGACAAATCGATACACAGTCTTCTCAAGAAATTGGCTGAAGTTTACCGCTTCATGACTCAAGATGATAACCTCGGCAAAATTGAATCGATGCGCGGCATCGTTGGAAAGGTCGCTAAGCAGACTATGGAGTGTGCCCGTTTCATCAGGGAATATTCGGAGAAGAAGAGTTTCTGTGAGTCGTTGGGCCATTGCATTTTGCACATGAACGTTATATTCACAATGATCATAGGGAAGAGAGTCGGTAAAAACTTCGTCGCGGAAACAGATGCCATCGTCACACAGTACAACAATGTCTTGGATGGCCTTATGCAACAATTTCGAGATCAAACTGATCGAGACGTAGCTATCTTTGTCCACTCTGCGGGTAAGCATTTACATGTACCTTTGATTTCAGATCTACTTATACCCTATAAGGTGAAACACTCGATCTTAGCGGCATAATTTGTGCAACGGGCGCGGGAGTAGTTACTACGAAGCAATGTCTGCCAGGCACTCGCACGGACATTCTATCTCAAATCACCAACTGGATCAACAGCAGTGGAGATTCTGTTCAGCGTGTAATGTGGCTATCCGGCCCTGCAGGCAAGGGCAAATCAGCCATCGCTCACACGATTGCCAACTGGTACAAGGATTCAGGAGGCCTTGGTTCATGTTTTTGTTTCGATCGGCACAGGGAAGCTGATCGTCGCCATGAAAAGATTTTCTCTACTATCGCACGTGATCTTGCTGATTGTGATCCGGGGATGAAACGAGCGTTGGCGGATGCGGTCAAGGATGCAAACTCGCTCAAGAATACGACAGACATTATCCAGCAGTGGCGCGACCTTCTCATGACACCGCTAAAGAAGTTCTCTGCGTCAAGCGTAGGGCCTGTTGTGATAGTGATCGAAGCATTGGATGAGAGTGGTGGAGTGGAGACGCGGCGCAACATCCTCCGCATACTTGCAGGTAGACTTCAGGACAAAGGACTTCCCCAAATAACCGAACTCCCTTCCAACTTTCGGATTCTCGTCACCTCTCGCCCACTTCATGATATCGAAATGGAATTTGAAGGTGTCGATCATATTCTACGGTTGTCCATGGACGCTATTCCACCGGAAATCGCAAAGCGCGACATCCACGCCTTTGTCACTGAAGAGCTGAAAGAGGTATCAGAATTTCGGAACAGCCATTCTGCAATGCTTGCTGAAAAAGCCGATGGACTCTTCGAGTGGGCGCGTCTCGCCTGCGAATACATCAAAGACACCCCTCCAGGTGTACGTCGAATGCCTCGCTTCAATGCTCTCGTGAACCGCAGTGCCAAAAAGCAGAAAAACCTCTTGCACGACATGTATCTTATGATTTTGAAAGAAATCATGAACAGGGATCAATATGATGACGACGAGTACGAAGAAGCATTAGCAGGGTTTCGTTCCGTGATGGGACAGATACTTGGCACAGCTGAACCGCTCCCTTTCAAGTCCCTCAATATCATGCGAAACTACTTTCCAGACCAAAGCCAGGATGATGTCATGGACATTATCAAACGTATGGGATCCCTTCTCAGCGGCACCACCGACTTATGTACTCCCATCCGACCCCTTCATGCTTCTTTTCACGACTTCCTGACAGACAAGTCATCCAGCGGAGACTTTTTCGTCGAGGTGTCTAACATCCAACGCGACCTGGCATTTGCATCACTACGAGTGATGGAACACGGTCTTCGCTTCAATATTTGTGATTTGAAGTCGTCGTACCTCCCTAATTCCCAAGACATGGAACTGCCTCAACGAGTCAAGACATCCATTCCCCCACATCTCTCCTATTCCTGTCGATTTTGGGCTACTCATGTTCGAACAACGGGCTTCGATGATGAGCTCGCAAAGGCGATCAGATCATTCTTCGACGACGAGCGACTGATGTTCTGGATTGAAGCACTCGGACTTCTCAATGCAATTAGCGCTGCAGTTACTGTGCTTCCACTCGTTTCTAAGTGGCTAAAGGTGAGCACCTGCCTACGACAGTATTGGTCAAATAGGTCATAAATACATGCAGGGCCATTCTGGATACGAAGATTTGCTGTCCACCACGATAGATGTACAAAGATTCATACAAGTGTTTGGTGGCATGATTTTGCACAGCACCCCACATCTGTATCTATCAGCACTCCCATTCTCGCCCGTCAATTCCACCATGGCTACCAAATTCATGACAAAGTTTCCGAATAACCTTCGTCTGGCTTCTGACCGTCATTTGAACTGGACAGCTGTTCAGACCGTAATCAGTGGACACACTGATTGGGTACGTTCAGTCACGTTCTCACCGGATGGTACTCGCATTGCGTCTGGTTCAGAGGATAAGACTGTGCGGCTGTCGGATACAGCAACAGGACAGCTATTGGGCGAGCCCTTGCAGGGGCACGCCGATGGGGTGTTGTCAGTCTCGTTTTCGCCGGATGGTACTCGCATCGCGTCTGGTTCAAGAGACAAGACTGTGCGGTTGTGGGATGCAGCGACGGGACAGCCATTGGGTAATCCCTTTCAGGGGCACACTGCAGCGGTTTCCTCAGTCTCATTCTCACCGGATGGTACTCGCATCGTGTCTGGTTCAGAAGATAAGACTGTGCGGCTGTGGGATGCAGCGACGGGAGAGTTGTTGGGTGAGCCCTCGGAGGGGCATGCTGGAGAGGTTTTGTCAGTTTCATTCTCCCCCGATGGTACTCGCATCGCGTCTGGTTCAACCGATAAGACTGTGCGGCTATGGGATGCAGCAACGGGACGGCCGTTGGGTGAGCCCTTGCCTGGGCACACTGGAATCGTTTCATCAGTTTCATTCTCACCGGATGGTACTCGCATTGCGTCTGGTTCGGAGGATAAGACTGTGCGGCTGTGGGATACAGCGACCGGACAGCCATCGGGTCAGCCCTTGCAGGGGCAGACCAACGGGGTGTTGTCAGTCTCGTTCTCACCGGATGGTACTCGCATCGCGTCTGGTTCTTTTGATAATACTGTGCAGCTGTGGGACGTAGCGACAGGACAGCCATTGGGCGCACCCTTGCAGGGGCACACTGGAGCCATTTGGTCAGTCTCATTCTCACCGGATGGTACTCGCATCGCGTCAGGTTCTTGGGATAAGAGTGTACGGCTTTGGGATGTATTGACCGGGCAGCAGTTGGGTGAGCCTTCGGAGGGGTACACTGAAATTTGTTTTTCAATCGCGTTCTCGCCGGATGGGACTCGCATCGCATCTGGTTCTTTGGATAACACCGTGCGATTGTGGGATGCAGTGACGGGACAGCCATTGGGTGAGCCCTTCAGAGGGCACAATAGAGCAGTCAACTCAGTCTCATTCTCTCCGGATGGCACTCGCATCGTCTCTGGTTCGTATGATATGACTGTGCGCCTGTGGCCTTTCTTGATGCAGGATGGATGGATGATGGGCCCCAATAATCAGCTCCTTTTTTGGGTACCTCCAGCTTCCCGGTGCCCGTTTTATTCTCCTTCTACTACATTGGTGATTCCAAGAGGTGCTCAGCTTGATTTGAGCTGCATGGCACATGGGACGCATTGGTCGAGTTGCCGAGATGCGTGAGTTTTTAGTCTTTACCATCCGTCCTCGCATGTTCTGAATTCAATCCATCTAGCCCCACTTCACGATGATGTTTTTGCGACAGTTGATTGTAGAGATGTTGGATAGATAGATGTGAATCAAGTGTCGAATTTTACTCCTTGTTGATATTAATTGCCGCTCAATGTTGTCACTGTTTTAGACTTGGCCGGACTAGGTTACACTCTGTTCCAGCGCTCAGTTGTTGTATTCCGATATAATATGATTGCCTCTGTCCACATTGAGTATTTTACAGACCTCGTCTTTCATGTGATACGTCACCAACGTGATCCGTACTCACTTCTGAACGCTAAACTCTGCCAGAACACAGGGGCAATAGTTGCCTGCCATAATCACTATTCCTGAACAAAAATTACTTAGCCGATCGGTCTCTAGGAGAGAAGAATACCACAACGCATCGTTGAGTTGCATTGCCGAAATACTTTTGAGTACACTAACGGTAGTATCGTCCACGCCTTACATGACCATGGTTGTTGGTTACACCAGTGTAGTCCCACAAATGTCGGGCAGTTGATCCACACAAATCAAGTAATCATTCTAAATATTCTTTCGTACCGCACATTGATTTCGCTGTAAAATTTATTGACATCTTTCAAACGCGAAAAATGTAGGCCTAGCGTGGTGTGCAATACACATCTCTGCACATCTCATCCCTGGCTCGGGAGACGTCTGACAAATTCGACTAATGCACTAAACGATGATATTAATTAAACATATGACAGTCATTGAAAATGCCTTACCGAACAGGACGCCCAGTCATTCCTTTCTCTTGGTATGGTATTGGGCGCGTGAACTACAACGAAATCATGAGCGATCAGGACTAGCCATAGAGAAGCAGTCATGATAAAGGGCGCACTGCGAAGTACGCCATGGTTTGTATCGCACTTGTGCTCATGGGATATGTCCTGCATTTGATTTCACAAGCGACAAGTTCTTACCTCCATAGTCCCAGCAATATCAAGGTGAGCCCATCGGACAGAGGGTTCTTGTCCATCCTTGGCCTCGATGCCGTCTACGAACGCCTTGAGGAACAGTGCAGCGGTACATGAACCTGCTGGCTTCCCGCCAAGCTAAGAAAAACAGATGACAATGTCGAGTTCGAGCAAGGCTAGCGTGAAGAATAGGCGACCTACGTTGCACAAGTCAGCGTTAGAAGAGTATATTTGTGGTCCATAATCTTCGTCGAGGGGCATGCGCCAGAAGCGATCGTACTCGCTCTCCCCAGCAACATTCAGTCGGTTCCAAAGGGCATCAGAGGTCTAATACAACAATTTAGTCGACAGCATGTCGGTGGGTAGTGATGAAATGACATACTGTGAAAACACCAGTGTAGATCTCACCCAGCGCGACATCCATAGCCCTATCAATGATAAATTTAAGTTGAAAAGTGTGAACAATCAATACATACCCGGTGAGAGTGGCAACGTCGATGACGGTGTGCGGCTTAAACTCGGTTGATGCATAGTACAACGCATCTTTGAGGATATTAGAATTCATCACGGCATTAGTAAATGCAGAGTGCTCACCAGCTAGAACAAGACGACCTTCAGCATCTGTGTTGTCGACCTCCACGGATTTGCCGTTCATAGCGTATATTCTAGCATATGACAGTCAGCTTACGACATAACGAATAGCATGTTTTAAATCTTACACATCTCCTGGCTTAGTAGCTTTTGGGCCAGGCAAGTTCTCGCAGAGCGGAGTGACGGCAACAACATTGATTCTGCAGCAAGGATAAATAAAAATGAGGGTAGATCGAAGAGGACATCAACGTGCGGGAGTTGGAGCTGAGCGATGGCGAGTAGAGATGATACGACTGTAGCCGCACCACCTGCAATTCAAAGTTAGCGGCCACTTCAAACTCAATTCAACAGACTATACCCATGTCGCCCCGCATCAGCTTCATGTCCTGTATCCAGTAAGGTACAGTAAGCAAAAGACTTTGCAGCTGAGGAGCGATGGTCTCACTGCTGAAGGTTTCAAGCTGATTCCTCCACTGTCGAAAGTGATGCCCTTGCCCACGAAAGCAAGAGGTTGAGCGTCTCTTGAAGGGGCGCCCTTGTAGTGGCTTTTGAGACCATTAAGCTGTGAACGGTAGTGTAGAAAAAAAAAGGTATGCTTACATCTCGAGGAACTTCGCTGGTTGATCAGTCCCTTGAGTTACCGAGAGAAAAGTGCGCTGCATGAGAGCATATCAATATCGAGCGTACATCAAGTGTAAATATATACCATGCCCTTTTCAGCCGCCCAAGCTGTCGAGGCATTAGTACATATATTAGAAAAACTTCAAAAGCTAGAGAACATCTAACCTTCATCGTGAACAATAATCTCGACATTAGGGATGCCGCTAAATTCTGCTTTGACGCGCTCGCAGAATGCCTTGCAACATAGTTATATGAATTCAATCAATCTTAGAGAGCTCAAAGATGAACGTACAGTAGGTGTCATCATATTCGCGGGCAGTTCCATTAACTATGGAAGTCGGTTATATTCTCCCTTGTAAATCAAAAGGCCATCCCGTGCCATGAACTCACCGTTCTTGCAAGGTTCTGCGCATTCGCATAGACAACACCACGATCCCAATCGGCAGATTTCGCATTCGTGGAAATTTCAATCTTCTTTGGCACCCCCGCCGTTCCCCGCGGGTCGAACGCCGATGGGGGTGACGTTTTGAGCGAGAAGTTGTAAAGCGCCAGATGAGCAGCAACAGCTTTGGGAGGTACATAAGATGAGGAAAGATGTATATCAAACTATATCTTACCTGCAGCTTGAGGATCTGTTGATGCATCGATAACAGCCTCGGAGACACCATCACCAAGTCCTTTGACACTCTTGACACCACTGCCAATGGCCTTGCGAATAATCTCTCGTCTCACATCACCAGTTTTGGAGTCAAACCCCTCACCAAGTGATACAAGTGCAGTTACATCGAACGCAGGAGTCCCATAGAAGAGGTGGGACGTGCCAACCTTGGCAGGTTTCTGCGCCTGAGGAAGTGAAGACCACAAGGATGCTGGATCGACACCCGGAGCAGCATTTCCTGCAGGATTCTTTGGGTCAACGGGGACGACGTATGCTTTGGACGACATCGTTCGCAGCAGGACTGATGATCGATGAACTGCTCTTCTGGTGAGCATTTGCAATGTCATGTGTCTAAGTGCGTCGGGACTCGGAACCCGGAAGACCAAGTTAGAAGGCAAACACGTGCCCAGTGGCTGGGCACAATGGCTTGCCTAGTAGCTTTATCATGCCACCACCACAAGACTGTCATGTGGCCGTTGTTGTCAGTGGATCGGGCTAGTTTCCACAGCGCTGGAAATGCTATATAAGCCTAGCTCACCTGATGTTCTCTTCCAATTTCACCCGTTCTTACCGGTTTGACTTTGCTCTTCCTTTCACTCATACTTGCGCATTTGATCCGAATGTCCCCCGCTGCTGATATAGATACTCGATCTCATACTGGAGGCACAAACGATGACAAACCTGCTGACACAGCGGTTGAAAAGTGCACCACGAGGTTCGACAGTAGTCCGTGCGCGAATGGCACTAGTCTCCGACGCTTCAAGAAGGAGGATGGTGTGATCTACCATATTCCGTCAAGTTCAGATCTGGCAAGCCTTTTTGCACTAGACGCGAGTAAACCCATCTTGGTGATCCCCCCTACTCTCAAGAGAAAGTCGTCTTCCTCATCGATTGCCATGATCCGTCCTCTCCGAGCCGTTCGTCGACTCTTGCGCAGGTCAGAGACAGTGGCTCCTCCCAAGACAACTTTTGCACATGCAGTCAAGAGTTTCACATCAGTTTCGACCAAGTTACCTCCAAAGAGATTAGGTTCTCGCATACTCCAACGATCTGCGTCTTTGAGAGTACAGGATGGTGCCAAAACGGATATCGCAACCATTACTTCTCGCATTTTCCAGCATTTCACTATCCCACAAGTTCCTTGTGATATTCACGATGTTGAAGGATCAGAGCCCATCTCACAAACTACGGTCGATGATACGCCGGGGAAGTATGCCTTAGAGAATCTTGACTTGATGGTCCGCTGCTACGAACGCCACGTCACGACATGGGACTCCCCCGACTAGTAAGTCAACTGGCAACTACACGTTAGTGTCCTGTGCTTAGTATTGTCCAAACGTACAGTGGATTCTTCATCTTCCCAGCACAACTCGTGATTGCTTGTACCTTCACCAATGATTTAGACCCCCTGGCTATCCCGGACGTCACTATCGTCGATCTCGTCTGCACTACGTTCGCGATAAATGGCCCATACAAGTCTCACCCCCAAATCGCGTTCAGGACGTTCTATGACGGCGCCAGGATGCGCTACGTCAACGATACGCCTACACCCGATTTGTCTCGAGGCATTCATATTGGGAATATCCCCTGGTGTTCTTCCATGGACAAGGATGGTAATTTCGGCTGGTACATGCACTTCTGGATTCCAATCCCGTTCATACTCTTTCAGCGAGCGGAGACGAGAGTCTTCAAAATAGACGCCAAGGTACGCGTCAATGGAGAGGATGGCAAAGACGGTGTTTTGAATGCTACAAGTGATTTCACATTGTCGAGGTTGCGGAGTGGTTTAGTAATGTAAACGTGGAATCATATGAATGTCACCTTGTACTAGTATATACTGATACATCAAAATTAACACTCGACCCTTGGCGACTGACTGAGCGTCGCTGCTTGCCTTACGAAGTGTCACGCCTAGTGTCAATAGATTTCCCCCCTTTGTCTGAGCATAATTCAAGCATAACTCGCCACTTATTTCCATAGAATAAAGGATCAAGCGGAATTCAAAACCATTCTTCTCCTCAACCAGCTCGAAAGCCACGAATACTCATCACACACAGGCTTGCTTCGCGCATCTAGATTCCTGAGTGGGCTAAGGTCTGAGCATTCTAATTGGCTCTAGCAGAGCCCAGCTGTAAGTAGCTGCTGTGCAACGGACCAGAAAAGCAGCTTCACTTTCTATATCCCGAAGACCCTATGTACAGCAGAAGAGGGCGAAAATGAAAGCTTTGAAAGGCGTTTGCCAGGATAGGGCGAACTCATATTCATTGCTGATGTCCAGTCAGTCGTCGCTTTCGCCTGCCAAGAAAGCTCACACATAAGATGTTATCGGGCGCCAGCGCCTGTCCATCAATCTGTCTGGGATCCGTTCTTCCGGCGAACGTCAACGTTTGCCAATCTTCACTGTCCGTACTGGAGACTCCAACTCCTTGCGTATGAGGTGCAACAAATTGTATTTTACGATGGGATTGGTACTGTCAGAAGGATGATAGTCAAACCACAAGTTAGACCCAAAATGAATTAAAATCCTCGACTAACATGAAGCTCGAGGTAAACAACTCATCGATCGAGCACTTCGAACCCCTGTAAAAGCTCGTGCTCGACGAAGCTTGTCCACCCGCATGCGGCATGCTAGTTGTGCTGATGACTTGAGGGATAGCAACGTCACTCCTGTTTGCTTCCATGGCCATACCAGTCGAAAGCCACTTCTCCTCAGTCTCAGGATACGGGAGACCAGATCCAAGTGGCTCCAAGAACAGACTCGAACTCAGCCAGGTTCGCTACTTTCGATAAGTCGTTGATTCCATCCCGTTCCGTTCCTGGCCTTAAAGGGCACCACTCGATGAGGGTTAACGTCGCAGATGCATGGCGGTCTCTTCAAGTTCTTGTCGCTGACCAAAGACACTTCTGAAGTCAAAGACGGAGTGTTTGCAAGGATCGAATGAGCTCTTCTCGAATGACCGAGTGTGATTTGGGCCCCAGGTGGACCAAGGCAGAACAGGTGAGTCTTTAGTTGCCTTGTCGTACTAGCAGCTAATATAGGTAGGCTCAAGTTTCAAGAAAATATTGCGATCGACAAGAGATGTCAGGGAGTTTTGGAGTGACTCTCCTGAAATCTCCATACTGAGAGCGATCATTCGGTTGTATGCGCAGGCGTGATGTAACAGGGCTGAAGCCAATGCATGTATATTCAAAAGAGCTGTGCAAGATAGGGAGTGATGATTTAGCGGTAAGCTGGAGGGCATTGGGGCATAAATAGATCCCTCGCGTTTACGACGAGAATTCTTTCGTTTGTCAGGAAACTGGAATTGATTGTCTTGCAAGCTGGATCAAAAAACTTCGAGGCACTACAGTCCAAATGATTCATCAGTCACAAAAACAATACCTGACCTAAAAAGCGTCCTCCAATTTCCAGTTCCAAATTTGCAAACAGTCGGTCACTCCGCCATTGTCTCTGTTAACGTTCCTGAAAAAACACCGTACTAGTCTCCGAAAATCGAGGATCTCAGAGTGTAAGGGTTGAGTAACTTCAAACCGACCTCGTTGCTACGTGCTTTCACAGAAGGGAGTGCAAGTTCAGGATGGAATTTGTCTTCTGAGAGCGATCTTAAAATGACATCATACGCGCGGCTCTCCCTTGATGATCATGATTAATATAGTATGTCTGAGATGCAACTTAATGAAAACACTCACCCTGAGGATTTCCAATGACGAGAGTCACGAGATCCTCTACGACGGAAAAATTGTGATGCGCAAGTCGTAGCGAGGCTGCACTGTCAAATTGGCAGTTCTATTGACACAAGTTCATGTTATTGGCGTGAACATCTGCCAGCTGGGTTTGGAAGAATATTATCTGTTGTAGAGATTCCACTGAGAATCCCAAACGCCGCAGGACCATCGGTGCATGTTTAGAGGGTGTGGAATAGCGACGGGATTTATTTGTGAGTATTCTGGTTTCTGCCACGCATTTTCGCTTTTGTACAAGTGACTTTATGAGTGTTAGAGTGGAACAGTCCGAGCCAGGAATTGGAGGCACCGGAATTGCATTGAGATATTTGAGGCCTATTGGATACAGTATTAGCTGCAAAGAAGAGTCGAACATCAGTTACATCACTGCACATCTGGAGAGATTGATTTAATAATTCTGACACAGAAAGTTTCGGACTTACTCGACGTGCTCGTACTAGATCGTGGACATCTAGATGGCCGAGTATGTTTAGGAGATTTTCAGATGTCAGACGAACCTTGCAACTTGCGATGAAAGAGAGGGACGACTCGACGACTCGGAGTGTCAGGTGAGCATAGTTTGAGTATGACATAACATTACATAATGTCAGCTTATTTCCTCTCTTCAACTTGAAATCATAAGGTTTCAACTTTCCGAGTCAACCGTTCTGAATTCAAGAACGTTCAAGTTCAGTTGTTCACGCGCCGTGACGTGTAATCACGTCCTTTGGGAATGGTGAAAAATCAGTCGTAACCTTGAATTCTTGCACAGACTATATTCAATCTTGTGGTGAATCGCTGCGTCCGGTCAGCTAGCAATAATAACTGGTGTTGGGCTCACGTCTGTCCTTGCTTGGTGTCCTCTTAGGTCCTCAATTGATGCGTTGACAAATAACTGGCAGGATCAGCCTGGAGTCGTCTTGTAAACCGCCGCCGTTTAGGTTGCGGGAAGTTGGTATATCATGATCCTTATTCCGGGCCCTAGTCACTCAAGCTTTGACGTCTCTAAGGCTACAATGACCGACACTCGCATATACAATGCGTTCCTCATTCCACGCACATCTTCAACAATATCATCCTGGGTCAATTCTGACAATGCTGTGAGTTTGACGATGCATCGCTAATGTATTACACTTTGTCTCACACTTGTGATCAGTCGTTTCCATTCAACATATGCGTTATTGAGCTCTTGATTTCGTTTGTGTTTAGTTGGACATATGCAGGGACGGATTTTTCGCTGGAGGCACCAATTTACTTTTCGAAAGCAACCATGTTGTGAACGGAGATGACTGCTTGACTGTTGCTAGTGGCGCCAAGAATATCACTTGGAGGTTTGTCGATTTTGCTAACGCAATGAGTGAGCTTATGTAGCATAGATGGCTACTGCGAGGGGTCACACGGTCTCTCAGTCGGTTCACTTGGCGAGGGCGGTCAAGTGGCATCCGTAGAGAACGTCTTATTTGAAAACACAATTATCTCGGCGACCTGGCGTCCTTGTCTAACACCCTACATACCATCTAGAACCGCACTCTGAATACAGCTCGTTTCAAGGGTTGGACTGGCGGAAACGGTGCTGCTATCAAGCTCGTATTTTTAACCTTTTCGACAAATTCTGCACTGAACATGTGTTGCTTTAGTATAACATGAAAAGGTATCACATTTATCGATGTGATGCTCCCTATTTTCGTGACACAAAAGTAGGTCTTTGCCTTTCCTTGTGCTCCTTTTATAATCGTGTTGTTAAAGCTACTGGGATCAAGGCGTAAGCTTAACGTTGCCTGTATAGACATATCTCTTTCAACTGAACGTATAACAGGGCGGCTTGCATCCGAGCTCATCGTCCGTTAACGAGACTCACATCGAAAACTTCCTGTTCGATCACTTTGTTGGCGAGTGGGTTACCACTTTCTTCTGATATATATTCTAACAGGCTCTCTAGTGCATCCGGATACGTGGAAGATTTATGTATCACCGACCCTTGCTGGTAATAACCTTTCTTTTCTTTTCGTTTCCGAAGCATCCATTGAGAAGTCGTCAGGTACTACGTGTCTGGTGCAACAGGCAAGGAAGGCATCATTTTTGACTTGTATCCCGACACCGGTACGTTCGTTGCCAATCTCTTCCGCGACTTGTTTTCATAGCGACCAACATTGTCGTGAAGAACTTTGTTGCGCACACACTTAGTGGTGCCCCTGTTGCCGCAATGTGCAATTCATCCACTGAATGCGCTGCCTTGGAGTGACTAATTAGGCGAGTTTTTTGACAGCGGTTGATATAGATCTCGAATGGTGTTGGATTTGTGTGCTCGAATGGGCCATATGTCCCTACACAGGCTGGCTTGTAACATGTGATGCGCACGAGTTCTTTATACTTTGAATCTAGTGGAAAGACTCTTAGATTCATTCACTTCGCGGTCAGCTTCATTAGCCAGGTTGTGTAAAAACCGTTGTAGCTCATGAGCAATTCCACGTTCGCGAATAGCGCGCGCTAATTCATTACTGCAAACACAATTTAATGCCAACGTCAAGCCGTTAATCTATTTCCGTGAGCGCCTGCGTGCGGTACAAGCAGATGCATTACAGATCGCTTTACAACAATTTTATCTACCCAAACTGCGGGACGCAGCCCGTTCAGTCCAATACATAATATCGAAAATGAAGGAGACGAATGGCTGACAAGGCTGGGGACATTCAATCGTACACACTACGCGCAAGGGGCCTATCATATAGGAATCACAGGCAGATAACAAAGTAAAGGAGGAGACATGTAATGATGGAACAGTCAGGTAGCAATTAAGACCTCTCGCCCCTCAGACGGCGAGCAAGAGCAAGGTCTTTGGGTTGGATAGTCACACCTGAAAAATTAGACTGAGTCAGCATTGTGGAGCACGGGAGAGTGGATGACTCACGCTTGGCGTGGATGGCAGCCAAGTTGGTGTCCTCGAATAGTGACACGAGGTAAGCTTCAGCGGCTTCCTGAAGAGCCATAACAGCGGAGGATTGGAAGCGCAAGTCGGTCTAGTGAAAAACGGTCATTTGAATCACCTTAAATACACTCAGATAGTGCAATGGGGACATACCTTGAAGTCCTGGGCAATTTCACGAACAAGCCTCTGGAAGGGGAGCTTCCTGATCAAAAGCTCGGTAGACTTCTGGTACCTCCTAATTTCACGGAGGGCAACAGTACCAGGGCGGAAACGATGGGGCTTCTTTACACCACCAGTGGCGGCCTGTGATATAACACGGTATTGAGCATTTAAGACGCGAAATGATAAGAAACAAAGACATACGGCAGCGGCGGTCTTCCTAGCAGCCTTGGTTGCGAGTTGCTTACGGGGGGCCTTGCCTATAATACGGAAATGGTGTTACAACGTGGATGAAAACAAGCAGCGATAAGGTCGCACCTCCAGTGGACTTGCGTGCGGTTTGCTGGATAAAGGGTAAGTATGATGATATTGTAGAACAATGTTCTATAAACACACCTTGGTACGGGCCATTACGATGGTCTGATAGTCAGGAGGTAAAAGTGTTGGTTAATGGCGAAATGACGGTGATGGAGGTTGCGGACGAAGACACGAGCAAAGGGAAAGTCATTTGTTGAATGGCGTCTGCGCCATTCCCACGCCTCTCAGCTTTTTAAATTCCGCCGGGAATCCGGTATGCACAGTGCACTGACCGCATCGACAGAGCAAGCCTCAAAAGTTGCATCAAAGTATGTATTCAAACATGGCCTTTTGAAAATTCAAGTGCAGTGCTAATAATTACCAAGTACTTCCTTTAGAACATTTCTTGATCCTTCCGCCGCTGCGTTCCCGGAAAAGGCGATGCATCGTGATTCGTCTACTCGCATCGTGCAAGTACGTGGCGCATATACCTATCAATTGATTGTGAATTGGTAGAATGATCCCCGTGCCATAGTTTGCCCTAGTAAGTAAGTGGAATTTAAATGCTCCAGTTTTCTGATGTGCTTCCGAGTCGTAGAAGTAAGATCCGGGATTCCGGGTGATATGAAAGAAAGCCTTGAACCTTGTTCGCACTGCGCAGGGAAACCGACGGGCCTCCAGCAACACGAACGGCTTGTTGTGTCTTTATTCAATCCCCCACCGGAACGTTGAAATTAGACGGGCCAGAGGAGGAACGGCGGTCGAGGACGCCTTTCTGAAAGTCCCACCCACGAATTTTCCCCCCTCCCACTGCGACCTGTGACCATATGTATTGATTCTTGTACCCTTCTATTGGATAACTTTCACTCCGATGTTACGGTCCGACTTTTTCCGCAGGTATGATTTGTGTCTTCCATCAAAGCCGTAGCCGAGCAAGCAAGCTCTGTATTTTTGGTGTCAAACGGCGGTATCGTCCGAGTCGTATCACCGCAGGATAAAAAAGTATCCTCATGTATTCTTGTTCGGCCATTGCTCGATCTTGACGGATATAAATGTTCTCAAGAGACTGCGGTAGGTTTATTACATTGTTCTGATGGTCGTTTAATGTGGTATGTTCGCTTTCGTCCCTTTCTAAAAATTCATTTTCATTTTTTGTCCATTGGATGTAGGACAACGCATGCCAAGTCTAAGAGACCCAATTTGTATCTCTGGAGCCGCGGATGCCACCAGTCCGCTACGTTCGCGTTTGAAATCAGGGTACAGTCACATATATCGAATACATGGTATGTTTTGCAAATTTGAGGGTATTAATTCCAGTGTGTAACAAGGTCTAGATGTGTGATCAAAATCCCCCTAGGCAGCTATTATAGTCCAGAGAGATTGGTGCGAACCCCACATGGTCGCTGCTGAAATGATCCATCCCCTTTCTACGTGAGCTTTTCTTCGTCCTCCGCTTTTCCTTCGCCTGCGAAGGATGCCGTGAGGATGTAAATGTGGTATCAATATCATCTTGAGTATGTCGTGTAAAGGGTATCATTGAGTCCGCAGCCGTGAAACAGACAGGTATTCGGCTTGCTGCAGTATCAGGTGGTGTCACCAAGCTATCAGGTCCGTAAGGTACTAACGAGATGTCAGGGGTAAGCAGATGAGAGCACGAAATATGGATAGGTGTGACCTGATGGCTCCGTGGTACACGCCTCGTATGCACGAGGGTGAAAATAGCTTCCTTTTATCTCGGCCATTTGATATGACCGACTGTCATCGCTGCAGGCGAATTCCCGCTCATGGCGCCCAGGCAGTGCACATTGATTGGCAGGGACTGAGACGGGCGACCGATCATACGCAGCCGACGAGTAAGCAGCATACGTAGAGGTAAGAGTTGGCGTTGGTGGGAAGTGAACACGGCGCGGTGGGGAAGCCGTCGGATGTGCAGAGAATGGGAATGCATCTTGTCGCTGTGGACATTGTTTAAGGATCGGTCTTGGCGACATGAAACCCAAGGTGATGGTGATGTGGGTAGATATATTATACAATGGACCCGGACGCTCAAAGCAAGCCAACAAGACTCGGAGAGGAAAGGGTGACGGTATATGGGTGCATAACAGCAGCGGAATATATATTGTAGAACTCAGGCTCGGGTGGAACGTGTTCCCGGTTCATAAAGTAACAAGAAGAACAACTCCGACTGGTGGAGCTTGCGTTCGGTCCTAGCTTGTGACCAAAATGGCTTGCTCAGTTAGTCTCTTGTGGGGAAAAGTAAGATAAACCTTATTATATCAGATGTTTCACATTAAATCAATGGCATGTTGCTACGGCATTGTAAGGAACCACTATTGGCCACAAATCAAAATAAATTATTAGTAACCTGGATTACTAGGCGCTGTGCAGGAGGTTCAAATAGCGGAAAAGGCTCATCTTGAGAAACGCCGAGGAATCTCATAAGTACTGTCTACTCAGACTAACTTATTTTGACGATTTCTCATGGTAGCGGTTCGTTGATCTCGATCCCCTAGCGAGCATCCCCGGGCCGGCAGCCAAGCGACTTGGTACGATGGTCTCTAACTGCAGGCTATTGAGATAGTACCATCCTGTGCATTCAGCCTGAACTTATCAACCTGATCAACCGAAAAGTCGGAAAGCCGGTACGAATGTGCTTGGTATGATGGACTAGTTAGCTAATTCAGGAAAAGTGAAGTGTACTGTCGTTTCTACATATGTGCAAACCTTGAGAAGATCCAGATGATGCCACTATGTCAGAGTATGTGCATAAAGTTCGGTAGATGCATGTCAATGAGCATGCATGTGTCTGACAATGACCACACCCTGCTCCAACACTCTCAAGTTGACCAAGGATTGGCCAGATAATTAGGAGTTTTCTTCGGGTCAACAGGAATACTCCATGGATCTCGCCCTATACCCTGCAAAGTTATCGTCCCGTCTGTTCCACCGAATGAAAGTGATGCTGAAGGACCTGCCGCTGGAGAGTTCCTATGTAGGTCATTCGTCGGTCTACTGCAGTTTTCAAACGAGACTGTGCTAGCCGTAAAGGGATCTCCAAATGAAGAATTTGTCTCTGGTAACGGAGGAGACCATATCGATGTCTCATTTCTACCAAAGGATATTTGAGGAATAGAGGTATGGGGAGAGGTGGCTGAAGAAGGGTGGCTCGGGTGATCTAGCGAGCCAAGGCTATCTGCAATTGAGGACATGCCCTGACCACCATCGACGTCATCACCAGAATCAGGCACATGATGGAGTGACGTGGCCAACGTAACGCTGAAGTCAGCGCTCGAGTAAACATCAGCCACGGATAAACCCGTAGGGTTGGCGACGTGTGTGGGTGCAATTGTGTATGCGGGTGGAGATTCTGATACGTCTAGAGATGGGTGAATTTGGTAAGGCTGAGGAACCTGCATTTCCTCGGGAATCTTCTCCGATTGTCCTATCATATCTTTGATGGCCTTTAGATCGAATCCTGCATGAACAGGGATATCAATAGAAGAATTGGGTGATTGGCCGCCGGGAGGCTGTGTTGAATTCTGAGGTGGGGGAGTCCCCGTGAACTCCCGAGGTGGTTCAGTGTCATCATCAGTCGGTTTCCCTAGTGAAAAGGGTTTCCGTCTAGAAGAAGCAAAAGAAGTTGTCGAGGGTGGCCTCGATACTGGTATTGGTGACGCTGAGGGCTTCTTTCTAGAAAACCACTTCTTTTTCTGTGTATGGTCCCCTTCTCTTACAACAACTCTTTCCTCGTTGAATTCGGGTTCCTACAAATAATGATGATCAAAGAGTCGGCCCGATAAAATGAGACGTACGACGGGTTCATCGAAGTAATCACACGAAACAGGGAAGCCAAGCTGGTCTAATATGAGCGGCATGAATGCGCGATAGCTCATATGCCCCGAAATCTTATCCGTAACATCGACGTTCTCTAAACCTGGCACATTCTCGATTGGCCGCAAGCCTGCAACCGTATTTAAACCACCACTGGTTGCACGAAAGAGGTAGTTAAGGACCCAGTCATGTCTGGCAAATGCATTAACAAAGCGCCCTGAAACGACGCTGCGGGCATTGCACCATGTGCTTGTTGATGCTGTTAACGTGGCTCCGAGGAGGAAAACGTCTTGTACGATACCAAAAGCTTTTGCCTTGGCAAGGTCGAGGAGGGCGTAGAAAATGACACGTGCGCCAAGAGAGAACCCGATGAGTGTGATAGGCCGAACGCCAAGATGACGTTGAATAAGGAGTTGTGCAAGAACACTGCCAGCTGCCCGGGCACGGTCGAGCGCATTATTCCAAGGATTATCAATTAGGTAACCAAGCTTTGTGAGAACTAATGAAGTGCTGGTGAGCCAATCTCTTTAGAAAACGCAAATCGACATCACGCGTACTGATTGGCCATTGAAGTCCGCTCATCAGCGCAGTCATCACCGTATGTTGGAGTACAGTTTGAACTGTTTGTGACAGAATCTCTCCGGTAAGAATCTTGAGCGCACTACCAGTTTCTTGAATCATCTCAGGCTCCCAAAGTACACTAAATACATCGCCCACGATGGGATCCAAAACACTGAAAGGCAGGCGGACGTCATCAAGCTTGCCATTCATGAACCTACATCACAAGTGTGAGATAGTCGATATACCCGTATTTGACGATGGACGCACCCAGGAACGGTCAGGATGCAGCTGACACGTTTGTTGTTGTGTAGCGGTAGCAGATCAAATATTCGTACTTGTTGCGTACGTCGGGCCATTCCGTTAGCAGCGATCCCAGAGCCAGTCAGAACACCTCCAGTCGTGATCACAGCAGCACCACCGGCCCCGGCAAGAAATCCTGTTGTCCCAGATATGCCGACAGCGGTAAATGCTGCACCTAGGCCAGCACCAATGACAGGCGCGAGAAGTCCAGCAGAAAGTCCGATAACCAGACCACCACCTGTATTGGAATGCGCAGTAAATTTATTAGCACTTTTTGTACATCTTGTTTGTAATAAATGAGATCACCAAGTGTGGCCAGACCCAACATCATATATCGCTTCTTCCGCGCGGCATTCGACGATCCCTCAATAATCTCCTGATTCTCCATCTTCTCGACACCTTCTTGAATCTCAAGTGCCTCTGTCACGCGCGCCTCGAACTTTACCACATCCAACCAGCCAAGTCCGAGCTTAAGAGCCACACTCTCCAGTAATACACGTGATCTTGCGTCGTAGACACTGTCCGCAATGAGTATAAGGAACAGGTCGCACAAAACGGTCCACCGAATATCAAGTGTAACGTCTTTTTCAGCGGATGAAAGCGTCGTGGTAACTCCCATCGATGCAGAATCAACGGCAGTAGCCTCAAGAACTTTGGCCGTAGTTTGAAAGCTCATCTGAGTGGCCGAGGGTGATGTTGGCGTCTGAGGAGGACTACGACCGCCCGACACCAGACTGGAAGGTCGAAGTTTATCGTCTTTGGAGTTCCGCCTGCTTGTCGTATCTTTCTTCAACTCTCGAGCTTCAGCCTGCCGCCGTGCTTCAACAGGGTCGTATTCGGGGTTGGCAACGGTATGGGTTGTCATTAACGATGGTACAAGATCTATCGCTTGCACACCATGCGCAGCTAGGCTGTCTATCATCTTCTGCTCTGATATATCGTTTGAGCATATGTAATACCGCTTGTTGGACTAAAAAGATGCGCGAGTTTACCTGCAGTTTCAAGCTCCATGTGATAATAGAGCCGGCCCATGATCTTCATCGCCCATAGCTCCATATGTTGGAAAGATGCTTTGAGCTCCTTTCTCTTAGTAGTCTTGAGCTTCTGCACCATTTCTTTCGCCGCGAGGGCACAGACACCAACGTAGGCAATGCGTTGTGCTTCGGTCAGCATATTCTTGGTCGCTTGCATCTGGCTGAGCGGGGTCATGGCCTTGTCCTCGTCAAATAGGTATCGTGTACGCAGGTGAACTTCATCCGCCTCATCTTCTTCGCTGACCCGTAGTCTAGTATACTCATTCTCATTCTGTTCTGTCTTGGAGCGCCATTCGACACCCTCCTCGTCGAAATCGATGAGATTGCCAGTTGCGTTGCCAGCTGTCGATGTAGTTTGCAACGGTTTCTTTGATGAGGGCATGTAGTGATATTTCTTCTGATCTTCTTCGTCAAGACCGCCTCCAAAGTCATCCTCTTTGATGACTGGCATTTCCTGCCATCCTTCTTCGTCGTCATCGTCAAAGGAAAATGGATTCGTCAGGTGAGTGGCTTCCACCGGCATTTCTGAAGGATAATATGGAGGGTTTGGGAATGCTCAGATCAAAGTCATCGAGCTGGGAAATCAAGGGGAAATGGTAGACCTATCATAGACGATATTCGTTCCCCCTCCAAAGAGGCAGCCTTGCTTTACTTCCCACGCTCTACACTTGCTCTACTCCGGATTTAAATTCTATGGCGTCTTGCTTGTGATTCGTGAAACATAGACATGAGTTCCTCATTAGTTTTCAACGCATCCTCTTTTGTGTGTTTAGATGAAGGAGCACGTAACATCACCCGTCACTGTCTAGCGAAATACCAGATCTCATCAAGATCTCAAGCAGGCCCCGGATAGACATCGTATCGGTACGGTCGACGTAAGCAGATATTACAGCAGCGTACAACATACTTTTTACAACACACGCTTACGATCCTCATGACTTTGCTCGTGCCTCTTCCCTCTTGGCTACGCGCTCCTTCATGTCCGCATGCTTAAGGGCTGCCTTGACTTGTCGTTGCCTCTTGCGTCGACCGTTCCCTCGCTTAGGTCCATCGATAACAACCGGTTCTGCAATGCGCTGCTTCCTCTTTGCCAGTTGTTCAGCGCGTTGCTTTTCACGTTTTTTATCGCGCTTGCGAAGGGTAGTCATGGATGATTTGAGCAGGGCACCGTAAGCAGAGTGGAATTTATCAAGGTCTATTGATAAAATCTACAAGGTGGTGTATCATCAGCATTGCGAGGCCGTGAAAAAGATCTGTGATGTACCTTGGTGGAGAACTTCACTTTCTTGCCATCAGTGACACGAACAATACAGGGATATTCTCTGCTCCCATCGCTCCCATCTCCTTCTTTCATTACGGTGTCATCACCGTCATGAGTTACTACATGTAATCAGAAAGTATTAAGTCAAAATAACAGAGCGATCGATCAATACGCACATCGCTTATAAGTGAGCCATATCGTGCCCTTGTCTTTGGTCGATTCGAAGAGGGCGCCTAGCTGCTGGAGAAACTAAATACTGTTTGAACGATCACACTAACAACTGTAAAGGCAGAGGAACGCACTGTGTTATTGTCAACGAGCTGCATGGGCCTGATGCAGCGCGAGCGTTGAGAACATGTTCGTTAAGTCAAGAAACGTATGGGGGTCACAATATCCAAACAAGGGCAAAGAAAGGGGTTTCGATCTTGGCCGTCTTCAGACAACTTGAACTTGTGATCGCACCTCTATTCTCGCGTCTTTTATAATTCTATATTCGAATGTGCAACATCTTCAAGGAAAATATTGATGTGCAGCTTCGAGGGACACTCCCATGCTCATAGACCCTCAGCAATGTTTCCGCTTGGAGCTCGAGCTCTTCCGTCCGTAGGTTTACCAAAAGTCTTGAAGGTATTCGGGCACGACAAGGAGACCCTCCAACTTCATGAGGTTGAATAGCTGCAGGATACCTAATGGTGCCTGCGAAGCTTCTCAAGTGCCGTAAATGATGTAGTGTCCGATGTTTTGCTTGCACAGAGACCATCTTGATCCATGGTCATCATTGTTTCCAGGTTACGAACTCCAGGTATGCAGCTGCAAGATAAAGTATGAGCGATATGTAAATGTACGTGATAGCACGACAGAAAACTGGAACATGCAAATTTGTCCTGTTTGGGACTTTTTTATGATGTGTCGACCGCTAAGATTTGAACGTTTTGAATGTTCTAGCCTTTTTTCTCTCCCCTGCCACAGAAATAAAGGTTTGGACGGATAATCTGAGGGCCAGCATGAGTAGTGCTAATAGAATTGTTCACGCTGATCGCCTTCAGATGTACATGCACTTGGAACCCATCCTTACACTCTTCGACATGTTCGTTCTCCTCCTGCATTACTTGCGACTGAGCCCCTCTCCTTTGTGGTTTAGAGAGATACGCTCACGCCTCGAGCATTATTCTCTTTTGTTTTTATATAGGATGGCACGCATCTTGACGTACTCATGCGACTACATCTGGTTGTTCATAGCTATTCTATGAGTGCCTCCATCATGAGTATGAATGGGCCACTAGCGTCTAACCACCATTTCAGTGATTCGCAAGCACACGACAAGTTATATATCTCTACAAATCATCTGGCCCCTGACAGTTCCGTCTCTGTCCTGATTCTGACACGGTAGTCTTATCCTATCCCAACAGAAGTTGAAAGGAGATCTCCGTTGCTTGGATCAACGGGACTCGAACTCCACAGATCAACAGATAACATCCTGTGACCTCTGCATGTACATCATGTTCTCGAAGCATTGAAGCACCGTGCTGATCTTGGTCAGATCTCGGAGAAGACTATGTGCAGCATGGCGATCAGAAGTTGCGAAGCATATGCGTCGTCATCTCGCTACTTCCCGAACCTCGCTATTACAGTAAGTGGTATTACAGTCGTTTGCATGACGCTGAACCTAAGCAAAAAGAATACACATTTGGCAAGGCCTGAACCTCTCTCAATTTCCGACGCCTAATCTTGATCCCACAGACACCAGGGACACCGAGAGAGCCTAACTGAGTCGTGACCGGACAGAGATCGCTGGCCGATATTATGCCATAGCATCTCACCTCATGTCGCCTCAATTTGCTTTTTCGCTTGCTCGGGAGTTAGGGCTCCCGGAAACCTATGGCGGGAGATAGAATGGACCGTAAGAATGCAACTTTTGATTGACACATCGCATTATGCCAGCGCTGTTCTCTACGGTCGATTGTGGCGCCGTTTCACATCACGAACCACTGTACAGCAAATTACATGCGTGGGTATTGGGGGCGGCAGTGATACTGTCAGGATGTTGTCCGCCCAACGAACGCTGATCCAGGATCCTGTGTCAGATCCTGTAAGCACTCTAGGTGCATCAGTGTGTTTCACCAATTTCTATTTTTTTTTTTCAAGCATAGCCACTCCAAAGTATTATAACATGCGGGTGGTGACCCACACTACCATACATTCTCGTCATGGATCCAACAGATACTGGGATGCCGCTGGATACCGTTGCCACCATGTCAACAGTTCTGGAAGGTATCTTATACGGCGAGTGTTGCAATAAGTGTACCCGTTTCACGCGCACCAAACTGGCATTTTACAGGCTTTTCAGTTCTTATGTTTATGGGAACCATTTGGACATTCACTTACAAAAAACGCATGAGGGACGTCAATCGACCAGTCGCTACAGTTGCCGTCCTGCTATTTCTACTGAGTACTATGGTTAGGTTTTCGTCACTTGAATCTGATAACATCTACTAAAGGCTCCCAAGCACGTAGTCATCGAGATTATTCGTGTCGAAGATGGACTGGTGAAGTTTCGCGACACATTCCCAGGCGGCCCAGTGGCATTTTTTGCAGATGGTAAACAAAAAATGTTTACGGCCAGGAGTGTAGTGAATGTCATGCAAACTCTACTTGGCGACGGAGTAGTGGTGGGATCAATTTTTTTCTCTGACAGTTTGAAATTCTTGTGGCTTATAAAAATTCCCTTCTGACAAAAGATTTATCGATGTTATGTCGTTTGGCAGTCTGTCCGGGTGATCATCCTACCATGCATAATGTGGTGTGCAATTGCAGGTTCGTTTGCCGTTATACTCAGAAAGTGTGTGTCTGACGTTCAAGTTATTTCGAAGTGTGTGGGGCTTATATGGCCTATGACTTTTCGCTGGTTAGTGATGCCGAAAGTATCTTCACTGACCAGACTGGACGTTGGGTCACTGGATTCATTACCCTTACCTTCGCAACCAATTTGTTCAGCTCAGGTAAGCACGTTTTTGAGTAATCGTACTAATATTGAGACACCTGCGAACTTGAACATGTGTAGGATTGCTGGCATACCGCATCTGGACGATCGAACGCAAGATCTCCACAACTCGCACTAGGAGAGGTGTAAGGCCAATTGTGCGTGTGCTTGTGGATGCTGCAGTTCTATACTCTGTCCATCTGCTCCGCGATAATATGTCTTGCCCTTTTGAACAATGGCACATATGTCATAGGAGACTTGGTAATTCCGCTGTTGACACTTATCATAAAAATCATTGAGCTTCAGTCAACTAGATTAATCCGATCATATCGATTGCCTTCTACATGGTGTTTATTCGCATCGCAATCAATGAAGATACTCAGGAATTCTTTTCGACTGTTTGTGGGACAGGTGAGACAAACCAAAGGATCCCGCTGCATTATCCTATGCAGCTTTTGCGGACTGCACACAGGGAGAATGATGCATTCTTCTGACTAAAATAGTGATGGATACATCCAGCCTGATATAACTTTTTTCGTACTCTCTCAATTTCAGACAGCGGTTACCTCACTCTAGGGAACGCCAAAAATTTGCTTGTAATTGTTTTCTAGTACTAGCTCGAGATAAAGTTATCTGCGGAAACAGGAGTTATTGACTTGTGGTTGAAGTGAATTACGATGTGTTGTTCCAGCGCTGCAAAGTCCATAGAAATGTCGATGATGCCGGCCTAGGATGCGAAATGCATCATGGATATCAGCCTAATTAAAGCCCAATGCTATTCATAAGTTGCTGTTATTCGGCCCCTTGTCTGCCCCATGGAGTTATCAAAGTATTTTAAAGTTTGGCCTATATATGAATTACAGCCACCAGTGACCAGTGAAATCTCATTTCAACTCACCGCGCCTCGCCTCATCGCAGTTTTGCATCTTCCAGGAATTTTTACTTGCTTGGGCTTGCGGGAGATAAGGACGAACCACACTTGACACACACTGTGACTCCTTCTTTCCACGTTATGCCGTTGTCCACGATCAGCCCATCATGACCACGCATCTCTTTTCTCTCAAGCATTCGCCGATTTCTGATGGCCGGCCTGATACTATTAGTATCTCAAGCTTAGCTTGTATGCAGCATCACACTTAATGTAGATGGCTGACGATGCCCACTTGCACCGTCATTCATCTTTAAGGTATCATTCTGGCCATGACTTCAACAGGCACTGGCATGCCGCTGGATGCCGCTGCCATCATGTCAACAGTTCTGGAAGGCATCTTATATGGCGAGTGTTGGAATGAGTATACCCGTTTCATGCCAACTAAATTAACATTTTTCAGGCTTTTCAGTTCTTATGTTTATAGGTACCATCTGGACATTCACCTACAAAAAATGCATCAGGAACATCAATCGACCAATCGCTGTGGTTAGGTTTTCGTCACTCGAATCCGCCAATGCCTTCTACTGAAGTCTCCCAAGCACATGGTCATAGACATTATTCGTGTCGAAGATGGATTGGTGAAGTATCGTAAGACTTTTCCAGGCGGCCCTGCGGCATTCTTCGCAGACTATACCCAAAAGACGTATGTGGTCAAGACTACGGTGATTCTCATGCAAACTCTGCTTGCCGACGGGGTAGTGGTATGATCGAAATCTCACCTGCCAGCTTGAAACCGTTATAACTTATAGAATCCCTTTTTTTATTAAAGGTTTATCGATGTCACGTCGTTTGGCAATCTATCTGTGTTGTCATCCTACCATGCATGATGTGGTGTGCAATTGCAGGTTTGGTTGCTATCATACTCAGAAAGTGCGCGCTCTGACATTCAAGTTGTTTTGCAGCGTGTGGGAGTTATATGGTGTACGACCTTTCGCTGGTCAGCGATGCCGAAAGTGTCTTCACCAACCAGACTGGACGTTGGGTGCGATATTCATTGTCTTTACTTTCGCGACAAATTTGGTCAGTTCAGGTAAGTATATTTCTGCATGAGCGCAATATATCGAGACACTTATGAACCGAATGTTTGTAGGATTGCTGGCATATCGCATCTGGACGATCGAACGCAGTGTCTCTACAATCCGCACTAGGAGGGGTACAAGGCCGATCGTGCGAGTGCTTGTGGATGCTGCCATTTTATACTCTGCAACCACTTTCTCCGCAATAATATCTTTTGCTCTTTCGAACAATGGCACATATGTCATAGGAGACTTGGTAATTCCGCTGTTGACACTTATCATAAAAATCATTGAGCTTCAGTCAACTAGATTAATCCGATCATATCAATCGCCTTCTACATGGTGTTTATTCGCATTGCAATCGACAAAAATACTCAGAAATTTCTCTTGACTGTTAATGGCACAGTTGTGACAGACCCAGGAATCCCGCTGCATTATCCTATGCAGCCTTTGCAAATTGCACACAGGGAAACTGATGCATCCTCCTGGTTGAAATAGTGATGTATACGTTATTGTAGTTATTTAACGTGATATAAATACATTTCGTGCTCTCTCGGTTTCAGACGGTGACTATCTCACTCTGGACACCAAAAGATCTGACTGTACTTCGCCTTCTACTGGACTGAATAGGGTTCGACTCGGAGATAAAATCATCTGCAGAAATATCAATTTGCAGTTAAGCTGCTTTTCAGCCAGTCGTCAAAGATCTGATGCCACCAAAATTGGCTCAGCGCCCTGGACCAGCAGTGTGCTGTTTCGGAGCACCATTCGTCACGATGTTGCGCTAAGTTATTCACCTGCTCCCGAATTTGCTTCAAGACTCAACTAACCTCTGAAGTTTGAGCGCTGAGCGCTGACTACTGAGCAGATTCCGTGTTGACGGAATTGACTCAAATGACTTGCATCCTTCAACAGGATATAAATTGGAATCAAGAAAATAGACATCAGCTTCAAGTATCTGATATTTCGAACCGCAGCGCAGGATGAGGTACACTGTCAGATCATCATATTCTCGCGCTCTGAGGTAGCCACTGCCTAAATTAATTTTGTCCAAAAATTATAAATGGGGGGATATCTGTATCATAAAAGGTATACATAGCTAGATAATTATGATGGATGTGTCTCTAGATCTGTTTTCGAGCTAACACCCAAGGAGTATTTGGAATCATTCGGCCTGTGTATCAACGGCTGCATGGGATGTTGTTGCAATCTGCTTCGTTCTGTCTCAGTGGTCCCTCTACCGACATTCGAGAGGTGATATTGTTTGCTTTTACTGGTCGTGATGCGAATAAATACCATGTAGAAGGCAATCGAGACGATCGGGACAATCTAGTTGATCAAAAATCAGTGATGCGCGATGTCATATTTCAAGAGTGGAATCACCAGGTCTCCCATTACGACCAGTCCATCGTTCCAGAGGGAAAAACATATTAATGATGAGATAAGCGCCGCAGAGTACAAAACAGCAGCATCTATAAGCACGCGGAATATAGGTACTTTGCGCTTCGTAGTGCAGATCACGGAGACCTTGCGTTCGATCGTCCAAATGCGATACGCTAGTAATCCTAGACAAATTCAGGTTGGTATTAGGTATCAACATCGCGGTTACGTGGAAGTGTGCTCACCAGTACTCAACATATTAGTTGCAAGCGTGGAAGCAAGGAAAGTAGCGACCCAATGGCCAATCCTAGTACCGAAGAAATTTTCGATTTCGGCCATCGACGCTCGAGAAAAGTAGTAGACCGAACAAACGCCAGACGCTTGGAGACAACATCAGACCTCACGACATCCTGAGTATGATTGAAACCTAACCTGCGACACCACACCACATCATGCATGGTATGATAATGACCCAGACAGATTGCCAGACGACGTAACATCGATAAATCTTTTCCACGAAAGACAGGTTCTATAAGCAAAAGAGGGTCTGAAGTTAGCACATGGAAATTTGACGCACCACTACCCCGTCGCCAAGCAGAGTTTGCAAGGTATATATCGCATTCTTGGTCACAAATGTAGTTTGAGTGACGTCTGCGAAAAATGCTATTGGCCCGCCAAGGAAGGTGTCACGATACTCCACCAGTCCACGTTCAACATGAATAATATTTACGACTATGTGCTTTTGAGGTTTCAGTAGATATCATTGAATGCAAACGAGGAGAAGCTAACCGCGGTGCTCAACATGAACAGTAGGGAGGCAACCACAGCAATTGGCCGATTGACATCCTGCATGTGTTGTGTATAGGTGAATGTCCAGATGGTACCTAGGTACATGAGGACTGAAAATCCTGAAAAACGTTAGCGAGTCAGCCACTTGGTTATAGGATCGGAAAACTCATTGCGATACATACCGTATAAAATGCCTTCCAGCACTGATGACATGATGGCAGCGGAATCCATCGGGATGCCAGCCAACACAACCATGGTGAAATTGATGCTTAGGAGGTTTATGACGATATGGGTAGCTTCACCAGCTCCGTCTATATTGTTATATAGTAGAAACGGCCGCCCAAACCAGTGATTAATTGGAACAATGCGTGCTGTAGCCATCCAGTGCATGTTGGTTTCAGTTTTAATAAGACTTGAACCGAGACATTTTGGACCAGCGCTCAACATTGCATCAGGGAGATAACATCTGCGATTTGCTCCCTTGTGAACCTATTTCTTGCACAAGGCAGTATATATAGTCTTGAAACTCAATGTGCGGTGCTGCTTTGAAGAATAACAATGATATTTCCTGTTTCATCATGGCAATCAGAACGAGTCGAAGTGGAAGATATGGTACCACATCATTGTCCTGCCATTTCCGATATGATTAATAGTACATCGATCATAACAAAGGAAATGATTCACGCCAAGTGAGGAGTCCCGACCATCTTCATTCTATACAATCATGGTTCGTCTAGGCCCTAGGGAAGACTAGTCAGCTGGCCTTGGTGCCGCATAGTACCACCTAGCGCTACACAATGATCAGGTGAGCTGGAATAACTTCCTTGCAGCGCCTTGTTCGTCCACATGGACACTTTGTGACGAATATATCATCTGGTTGCCAGATGACCAGGCGAGCACTAATAGATCCAGACAGACCCACGGGGACCAGGATAGCGCTGAGTCGGAGAGACCCGGGGAGTATGAGAGTCGTCTCGCGAAAGTGCAATTGTGTGTTTGAAGGTCTAGTCTGCACTAAGAAATAATGGGTCAAAGTGTGCGGCTCTGGGTTGCCTGCGACACCCAACACAGTGACCAAGCACGCCACTGCTGGGCGCCGGTTGGTTTCAGGGCTTATCGCGATCATAGTCACTAGTGACTTTGTGGTGAACATTCGTCCTTCCATACCCGGGACTCATCAACGCCAGTACTCGCAACGGAAAAGTCTGTAGATTAATGCTGATGAAGTCTGGCTCATTGCAATACATAAATATGAGTACTCACGGCAGAGGCGTGCTCGTTATTTAAATATCTTCTTTCCGGACTGACGGCAGGCGTCTATCAACCCCACTGCCATTACCACGCTTCCTCGTCCCTTCTGCACCCAGGTCTAGACCTTGTCCAACATCCTCATCTTGGCATCCATGCTTCCAAACTTACAAGATGGATGAAAAGTAGTGGGGTAGCAGTGATCAAGGTGGTTGGCAAGAGATGCTGCCATTCGCTCCCACGCAATCATACAATCTACAAAGTTCGCTTGGCTTTACTCACTGTCAGTCGCTCTCTACTCGGCTATCACGCAATCATCACGACTTCATTATCTTGATAATGATTTCTTGCCAGCTGGTCACTTACTATGATTTGTTATATCGTGAATTGGTTTTGGACAGCACACCCTCCTTCTCTTTTTATCCTTCAATATCATTTCCATGGTTTCCAGTGCATTGAGCCCATACCCCGCGCCAGTAGGTGGAGCGTCCCTCCTTTTGACATTCAAAGGACCCAGAAATACTATCCTCATCATTGGTGGTAATGTTCTGGCTGCCTCTAGGGCATTTGCGGCACTCGAGGCAGGTATGCAAGTGATCATACTCACCAGAGGGTCAGTATGCGACGAACTGAGATGGAGAGAGGACCAACAGCAAGTAAATATCACGGACTGGGACTTGCTTCCCTCTGCGTCTACTTCCCCACTTTCCCCCGCGCCAGATACGAAGGCAGATGCAGAGTCCCTCTCTGCATTCCTAGCCGAAAACCCATCTATATCTCTTATCTGCATTACCATACACACAGTGGACACACCTGCACTTGCACGTATCTGTCATGCGCATAACATTCCCGTAAACGTCACAGACCTTCCTGCACTATGCGACTTCTCCTTCGCAGCCACACACCGTTTTGTTGATCCATCTACAGGCGAGCAGAGTGCGCTACAAGTGGGTGTGACAACCAATGGGGAGGGTTGCAGGCTCGCGGGGCGTGTAAGACGAGAGATCGTCAGTATGCTTCCAAAAGACGTCGCTGGAGCTGTCAGGCAGGTTGGAAAACTTCGACGTTTGGCCAAGAATACAGATGACGAGATCGGAGATTCTGAGGAAGGCGAGGACAGTAGCGTCACTACTCCCAACAGGCCCGTACCTGGTTGGATAAGCAGTACCGCCGAAAGTACAGACGAGTCCTCCCGCCGCCGCATGAAATGGGTGGCCCAGGTCAGCGAGTATTGGCCCATCGCACGGTTGGCATCTATGTCAGAAGACGACATGAAGCTCGTATTGTCTGGCGGCTCTCCCCAAACGACCTCACCATACTCAATTCAGGCTCCAAACGAGAGTTCACTACATAACTTGACACTTCTACCGCCTCAGAAGAAAGGCCGTATTCTTCTCGTTGGTTCCGGCCCAGGACATCCCTCCCTTCTCACCATTGCAACTCATAATGCGCTTACGAAGCACGCAGATCTTGTTCTTTCGGACAAGCTCGTTCCCGCTGCCGTACTAGCTCTCATACCTGACACTGTCGAGGTGCGCATTGCACGCAAATTCCCTGGAAATGCCGAAGGCGCGCAATCAGAGATGATGGACGCAGCAGTCGAAGCTGCTCAACGTGGCCTCACTGTCGTCAGAGTACGTAAATTCTTCATTTCCTTGACACCGAAATAATCAACTCGTCACACAGTTGAAACAAGGAGACCCAGTCGTATACGGCCGTGCAGGAGAGGAAGTGCTCTTCTTCCGAGCACACGGGTTCGAACCGCTTGTTGTCCCAGGCGTCTCATCTGCACTTGCAGCGCCTATTTTTGCGGGAATACCAGTCACACAGCGCGGTGTTGCAGAAAGTGTTATTGTGTGCACCGGAGTCGGGCGACAGGGCAAGGAGGTCAAGCTTCCTGGTTACGAACGCTCGCGAACTGTGCTCATCCTCATGGGCGTCGCCCGGATAGCGCAGGTTGTTGGCGCTATGATTCGCAACGATAGTGGCAGTGGGGAAGGCCTGCAGAATGGTGAAGGGAGAAGAGAGGGGCGTCCATACCCTCGGAACACGCCTATCGCCATTATTGAGCGCGGCTCGATGCCTGATCAACGGGTAGTCGCAAGTACACTTGGAGATATATGTGAAGCGTTGGACGTAGCGGGAGAGCAAAGACCTCCGGGAATGATGGTTGTTGGGTGGGCTGTATTGGCGCTGCAAGGCGCTGGTGACACAAGCGTGTTGGAAGAGGGCGATGAACGAGACGAAGAGAGGATAAGAAAGTGGTTAGGAGGAGGCAGGTGGGTTATGCAAGAAGGAATCGATCAGGGCTGGGCGGAGGTATAGTTAAAGTCTGGGATTGATCGTTAGCATCTATTCCTCGATCTATGGTAATTCTTGTCAGCATATGTATATGAGGAGTCATGCAAAGCGTGCTTATTGGTATCTAAATTAGGTGATAGTGTCACTCTGGACCTCAGACTCGAAATTCCGGAGCTCAAATATCAAGTTGATCGATGTGAGACGGTCCAGTCCTTCCGTAGCAACTATTTTTGAAGGCCCTGACTCAACAAAGCCCAGTAAGTAATGCACCATATTCAATGCTCATTGCAAGTGACACTACTCAGGGGCTAGGCTTACTGCATATAGTCCTCGAGGCAGCTATCCGTCATCTAGTACTGGTTGGGTGTACAACTCGAATGCCAGGATGACAAGCCCGTAAGATAAGTCTCAGCGTACGGGCAATAAGATCAAGCGGCTAAATTCAATGCTCGCGCATACCCATCATAGAACATACTCATGCTTTGTGCCCATGCTTTGTTCGAATCCTATCCATACTTAACGATACTGTACATTCCGTGAGACAATATTTTACACCTAGATCTTCCCCGAGAGTCCCTCTTCATTAGCTAATGGTATGATTATCTCGAGAACGCCCCCTTCTAAACTTTCTATAATACATAGGCAACCATTTCTATGACATCTCATCAGCTTTCTAAATCGTTGGAAAAAGTTGAAAAATATGAACCATTGGTATTGTAGTGATAAAGATGCGATCACATTGTCTGCACTCCTTTATCGTGCTTGACGGCGGAAGCAGAGGTGGAGGTGCGCTGGGCACGCGAGGACGAGCGGTTTGAGATGGCTTGAATGCGTCTACGCTGGCGCTTGCGTGGAGGTACGTACTCGTCCTCACTACTCTCGGGGGAGCTATCCTCCAGATAATTGTCATCATCTTCCTCTTTCTTCTGTAATTTACGATCATTGGAGTGGTCGTCCTTCGCAGTATCAGTCGGCCGCTTCGGAAGCCGGATTCTAATATACAGACGCGGCCTGTCCGACACCGCTTCATTTGGTTTTGAGCTTGATGACTCCTTCTCCTCCTGCTTATCATCCGGGGCATTACCATCGTCTGACTCGTCATCCACTGTAATGGGAGTCTGCCGTTTTGAGGGCCGACTTTTTATCATCAGACGCGATGCGTCTGATCTAGACCCAGTTTTCCGAGGCGGCTTCTTTCCTGAGGGGAGTCCTGAGTCGGAGCTCTCATAAGAGCTTGAGCCCCGCTTTCGCTTCATGTTGGCAAGGCGTTCCAGACGCGGGGGCATGACAGGCTTAAGTGAGGACTTGTCGGTTGCGTTGGGTCCAACATGCACGATAGAAGGCATTGTGACAAGTTATAGTCTGAGGATAGAGAGTGTGTGTTTTTTTGTGAAGGAGCGCTCAGTGAGAAGAACTGAAGAATTGCTTCGTAGAGCTGCGCCATTTTAAACGATTGAGAGGTGTGGACATACAATGTCGCCACTGTTTTGACCGACAGTGCAACTATGGCACCGGACTATGGCTCGCATTGATGCCCACATATGCGAGGGCCTATGAATTGATCATGGTGGAGTACCGCTAAAGCGCTTGTGCAGGCAAACAATGATGACGAATTCGAATGTCCACTGGCCGCATCGACCACTGCATTGACCGTCATCCAGACGGCCCAGAATATTATCTGTAAGTGCGGCCAACACATAGACGACTACACGGACAAAGCATGAGTGCTGGTTTATGCTTAAAAATAGATAGGCCTTACCAGCTGCTAAACACCCCATAAAATATACTTAAGCTCGAAGGCAAGTTGAAGGTTGAAACTTAGCCGCAGAAATACGATGCCGCATGAATCGACTCGGAAAAGCCAGCCATTTTTTAAATGAAATATAATATTCCACCGTGACTGCCTCGCCATCATGAGTGGTGATGAACGATGGATGATCGAGGTGCTATGGACCTCACCGTGAAGTCGAAGATAGCACCAGGACCTACATCATATGATTAGTAGTTAACTCAAAGTGTTGGTCAGCTTTCTTGGTTGCAGATATACATGTCGTAATAACCAGCGACGACGACCGGCAACCATAGACACAATTGCACCCGATGCCGGCGGTATCTCACGCTTAAATATTGTAGATATATTGTGATCCCTTTCTAAAACCTTCACCAGTTCAATGAAAAATCCCGCCTTCTCGGGGACTTGATTTCGGTCGCGATAGTCCTTACTGCCGGCTCAAGCCAAAAGAAATTTCCGACACAGGAATGTGGGAGCAAGCCAGCTACAATACAATGACATTCTCATGCAATGACTTACTTGAGACACTCTACTAAGCCGCCTTTGGCGTTATTCTACAAAGATGTCCATGTTACTGTGTAATACTTGGATGATATGCTATACGATAGCAGCGTAAACTTTATGCGATCAGACTTCGAGTATGTTGCGAGTATCAATAACTTTAAGTGCTTTTAGTAAAATTAGTCCAGTCAGCCAGAAACCGCGGCGTCCAGAGTAGGCCTCCGTCACCCTCAAATGAATGAAAGGTGAAGGCACCTACATCTCAACATCCTGATCTGGATCCAGGCCCTGCATTTCGAAGTCCTCCCCGTTGACAGGCCCCTTTTCATCATGATCGGATTCCACCGCGGAAGGCCACCTCGCCCTCTTCTTCATCTCTTCTACCGCACCCCGATACATGGCATTATACACCTCCTGCTTTGCCACTCGGTGCGACTTATTCGCGCGCTTGAATATCTCTGCGCTAGTTTTTCAGCACTGAACTACATAGAGAAAGGGAGATAGAAAACATACCGAGAAATCTTTCCCCGACCCAGAGACGAAGCGGGGCGTTGCCTATTGAGCTATCGCCACCGTCCGTGTCATTCTCTTTCTCCTTTCCTTTACCTTTCCCACCATCCACGTCCTTCGGCTTCGCGCCCATCCCAGCGCCAAGCGTCTCACATACTGCCAACGTCTCCATAGCATGCCCAGGGGCCGTATGGAGATATTGTGCGCCTACTTGCGCGAGGAGCAACGCACGGAGATGGTTCTCGCCTGCTAAAGTCGATAAGGACAGCGCAGATTTTAGGTGCGATCTGTACCAGAAATCAATTCGTAAGCACATGCCAATTGTTGATTTGTCGGTGCGAAATAAAACAAAATAAAGTAACGCACTTGGCACCAACAATCTCCCCTCTCGTACCTACCACAGCTGCCTGCACCACCTTCCCAACCGCTTCAAGCGTCCCTCCCATTCCATGACACCGCTGGATCGCCGACCTAGCCAGTGCATGCGTCTCAGCATCCAACCAGTCGCTTTTGTCATTGCTAGCGTCTTCATTCACATCAAAGTTCGAGTTCTCGTCGCGATTCTGAGCTTGAGCACGTAGCCCGATGCGCAATAATGCTTCACCAGCGCATGCAGCAGCGCCTACATACCCGGCCCCTGCATTGTATTCGTCATCTACGGATGTGGCGACGCGATAGCATACGCCTGCACGTTCAGTGTCTCCGAGTGCGTGTGCGAGGTGTGCGGCGTGGAGGGTGATGCGGGCGCTATATGAATGGAAGAGGTCGTGAGTGTGGGTCAAGGTGAGTAGTGCGTGTAGGTGTGCTTCTGCCGCATCGAATTCAGAGCGTTGGATCGACACCTGTGATTCAGGATGAGACAGAGGATACGAGATAGTGATATGCAATGAAACGTACCGCGACGAGCTCACATAAAAGATCAGCTGTAAGTCTTACTGTGCGCTGTATAATTTCGTCTCTGTCCGCCAGAGAAGCCCAGAGGGGTACTGAAGATGGATGAGCATCAGTATCGACGCAATGGTGATTAACAGCACGGCACAAACATAAGAAACAAAACTTACGTTCGATGTCCTCTCCTGCAGTATTGAGAGTGTTGATTGCTGCTTCGGCCCAGAGCCTTCTCTTTGGATTTCTACCCACTGGGTCCCGTTTCGCAGTGGCGCTGACGAGGAAGGTGAGCGGGAGAAGTATGAGTGGGTGGGTGGTATGGACTGCCAGGGGAGGGTGTGGTGGAAGAGGGATCTATACGAGTTGCGTGGTTAGGACCCAAGAGGAGAGATACGAAAAAGAGAGACAGAAAACATACCTGGATGATACCATCCTTGAATCCCTCGAGTGCTCCACTATCGACAATTTCGTGGAGCGCGACGAGCCTTTGCTCGGCTGCACTGAATGTTTCCAGAGAAGGTAAAAAATATAGCAGCGGAGAGGAGTGTATGAATAACTAGAGAAGCATGAGCAGGATCCGATTGCGTGCCTTCCTCCTCTTGTTTTGGTCCCACATTGGACTGATTGGAGGTAATGCGCACTTGAGAATATTCACGAGACAAAGCATTAACGTCGTGAGCAGTTATAGAATTCCAACGTGGAAGTGCGTCATCAGTTTTGGCATTTGCTATCACGTTAGTATGACCCTCGTTATTCTTGACTTTGCCGTCCTTGTCGAACACCAAGCCAAGCACGGCCTCCGCGGTCTCAAGAGCAGCCCCGACTTGAGCCCATGCACTTGTACGAAGAAGGACGCACAGCCTAATGACATGAGCAAGGGCAACAATCCGGGGGTGGTGGTTTTTGCGTGCAAGAGTTACGAGAGTATCTATTGCAGTGAGTGCTGCTTGGAGGGCGGGGGCTCCTATTGGTGCAGGACTTGTATTAGCAGCAGCATTAGATGAAGAGGGCAGTGTAGTAATTTGGGTGATTAATGCTAGGTGTGCGTCGTATACGGTGCCTGGAGGATCCGAGGGTACAAATGACGCAATGAGGCGTCTAAGGATAGCACGTGCAAATTTTGGCGATGTGGAAGAGGAAGGGAAGGTAAATGCAAAACGAGCATGGAGGAGTGTTAGGTGGTGGCGAAGCGGCCGAAGTGAAGGGTGCTGAATTTCAATGGTAGGGTCAATTGTTTGTGCCAGAAAAAGGAGAGACTGACTTTTTGTGCGATGAGAAGACCTTTGCTGAGTGCTTTCTCGACCTTTTTTATAACGCTTATTAGCATGCACAAGCGGAGAGAACAATTTGAGGTACCTCTGAATGGATACCTACAGCCCAGTCACATCCTCCCTCCTGCGAGCAAAAGCCACTGTCTATGACTCTCATGCCGACTTCGGCCAAACTTGTCCAAGCACGACATTCTATATCGGGTGCAAGAGCAGGCAGTGCTAAGCATTGTCTTAATGAGCGCAGTGAAAGAAAGAGTGAAAAGCCAAAGTCTGGATGAGTAGGGGGAAGGGCCAGAAGCCCTGGAAGTGCAAGGAGTAGGATTGCTGGAGGCAGCGGGCGAAGTGGCGGCGTCGGGTATAATTTCGGAGAATCTGGGGAGTGGTGTGAGTGACGAAGATCTGGGCGTCGGCGAGGCCGATATGGGGAGTGTGCGCTGCCGTTCTAGCGGACGTGTCGAGTCGTACATTGAGGAGTGACGTGACGCGTCAGTCACGCGTTTAATGAAATGTGACATGTCGCGCATGTGTGGCGTGGTAATACTTCCGAGTCGGAACAATAACTCCACTCAGAGTACCACGTTATTCGTCTGCGGAAACACATACGTGATTTTAGGATTCTAGCGGACAGCTGCTCAAGATTTGACACGTACCAGATTCTCACTATACGGTAAAGTTTACGCCATATTGTTCTGACACGTCGATTGAATAAGTATGTGCTCATAGTGAAGGCTCCCCATGTTGGACCATCCAAGTTTTAGCGAGTGAGTCGTACTTTTAATCTGTCACACCTCCTTATATATAAAACACCCTTCAAATTCATCGTCTCTCATTTCTTTATTTTTTACTCAATACCGTCCTAATTTGCGCTCCCTACATACTAATCGCTTCCCCAGCCACATCCGTCGACCTTCCTCTCTCACCTCTCACGCCCGGTCGTCTTATTCACTCGCCCCTTCTACCAGGCCAATCCTTGGAGACATGCAGTTTCCACTTGAGCCCCCCACCCCTCTCTTCGCCGCTGATGAATCTTCTTCTGCCCCACCATCTCCCCGTGCAGAGAGTACCGCCCTCTCAAAGGACGTTTCCCTTTCTGTAAATTATCTACCTAACAAGTTTTCTTCTGGCTTGCTCTCTCCTACTCCCCGCAGACGCAGACCAGGAAAGACCAATGGTGACCATCCCATGATGCACAAGAGAGGTGGAGGTAGGGAGGCCTTTAAGAGCAGTGAGGCACGTATGCCCGCGGAAGGCGACGAAGACTACGACGGTGTCACCGGTGGTTGGTTCGGTGGCAAAGAAGGTGGCCACACCCGTCCACACATGCACTGGAACAGGTTCAAATGGGCACTCTTCATTGCCAATCTTGCGGTCATTCCCTCTCCCTTTTCCGTACTTTCCACTTCCTGATACATCTCCTGCAGTTATCCATATATGCCATTGCAGGCCTCATCTTTTGTCTTCTCACATGGTTTGACGTCTTCGAACACGCAGACATCCTTCGCGTAGGCAACCGAACGGAACTCATTTTCTCCACAGCCGCTGCCACTCTTGCCTCACTCACTTCCATAATCGGCTGGGCCGGCATCCTACTCAACAACCGCTCCTTCCTAGCAGTTTACACTTTCGCTCTCTGGCTTTGCTTTGCCCTCCTCGTCACCCCCGGCTACATGACCTACAAACAACGTACATTCAACCTCGAAGGCAAACTCAATGCCCAGTGGTCTCGCGATCTCGGCGCAGTCGGCCGTCTCAGGATTCAAAACAAACTTCATTGCTGTGGATATTACTCCCCCTTCGTTGAAGCTACTGTCTCCCAAAGTTGTTACGCCCGCTCAGTTCTTCCGGGGTGCAAAGAGGCATACGTCAACTTCGAGAAACGCGCCCTGTACTTCTGGTACACTATTGCTTTCTCCCTCGTGCCGCTCCAGCTCGTGATCATGCTCACTGGTCTCTTGTGCTCGAACCACGTAACCTACCGCTTCGGTAAAGGCATGATGCCCAAGGCCTATAGGCTCAGCACGGCAAGTATGGCTGTTATCATGGATAATTATGCCAGGTAGGTTATTCCCTATCTATCCCCGCATGTAGGTGTTAATATTTTCACCAACAGTCAACTGGCAGAACAATACGGCACCGAAATCGCGTCCGATATCTTATCGCGGTCTCGACACCTTGATTCTACGACATACGCATCTGGCGTTGTGAACGGGACAGGCACAACTTATGCACTTTCTCAAGGCAGGTACGATTCACTGGCAGTGAAGTCGCCTTACACCGAGAGAATATGAGTGAGCGATGACGGATGGACTACTTTTCTTTCAAAAATTCTTTCGTTGATACACGTGCTCTGATATACCATCTTACGCTCTCGCTTTCCTATTTACCCTGATGGCTTTAATCGTGAAAGCCGCCTAGTGCTGTCTGCGCGTACTTACTAGTATCGCTCATTTCTGGCATGCTTCGTACGGGAATGTTCCGGTGCGCTCACGTACATGCAGCTACTCAATTTTCAATGGCTGCTTCCGTTCTTTATATACAATCAATAAATATACCGCGTGGATCCAAGTATCACGTATCGCGTTTTCGAGTGTGCAGTACGAGTCAATCAACCGTTTAAGCAAGTGGCTGTTTGAATTCACAACGTCTCTGCAAGTCGGCAAAGTACAGCACACGGTCAAGGCCTCATGCCATCTGGGTGCTCCTTAGAGTGAAGTGGCTACCGTCCTCATGGAGCCGGAGGATATAGCCATACCATTCTATACCAGGGGAGCATCTACTTTTAGGTTGTTTCTGTCAGTCAGGAGAATATCATCCTTGTTGTATCCAACCGAAGGCTGCACAGGAAATCTCGACAAGGATCTTGGGTCTGACTCATTTGTCCTTCCACCAACAGTAGCCGATAGGCATTCCTGAATTTTCTTGCTGATTGCAACGCGGATAAATGCCATGTAGAAGGCAATCGAGATGATGGGGACGATCTACATGGTTGATCAAAGCTCCGATCAGTTATTTTGATGAGATGGTAACAGTAGAATAACACACCAGGTCTCCCAAGACATAAAACCCATTGTTCGAGAGGGCGAAGCATACCTGTGAGGCACAAAGGGCTGCAGAGTATAAAAGCGCGGCATCTATGAGCACCCGCAATATAGGCATTTTGTTCTTCACGGCGCAAGAGCCAGAGACCTTCCGTTCGATCGTCCAGATGCGGTATGCCAACAATCCTGTATATATTCAGGTCATTAATACTATGGACCTCAGCACAACGCTTACGCAGAAATGAACTTACCTGAACTGAGCAAGTTAGTTGCAAGCGTCAAGGAAAGGAACGCTGTGACCCAATGCCCAGTCTCATTGCCGAAGACATTTTTGGCATTGGTAGTCGGTGCTTGCACATAGACCATACAAATCCCAAACGCTTCGAAACAACATCAGTCAGAACATCCAAAATTTTGTATGTGATTGCAAATAACCTGCGATGCCACACCACATCATGCACGGTAGGATAATGATCCAGACAGATTGCCAGACGACATAACATCTATAGATCTTTTGGGGATTCATATAAGTTACTGCAGGGTCTCAAGCTTGCAGATAACGTACCACCACTCCGTCGCCGAGCAAAGTTTGTAAAGTGATTATCGTATTCTTAGCCGCAAATGTTGGTTGGGTCACGTCTGCGAAGAACCCTGCTGGCCCGCCATGGAAGGTATTGCCATACTTCACCAGTCCGTCTTCGAGACGAATGATACCTACGATCATGTGCTTGGGGGACTTCAGCAGATGAGGTCGGGTGAGAGTGGTGAGAAGCTGACCGCAGTACTGAGTACGAACAGCAAGGTGGCAACTACAGTGCTTGGCTTATTGATGTCTCGGATGCGTTGTTTGTAAGTGAATGTCCAGATTGTACCTATGAACATGAGAACTGAAAAGCCTGAAAAAAATATCGCTAAGTTGCTAAACATGGGATGTAGCAACTTATGGTGCTCACCGTATAAAATACCTTGTAGTACCGTTGACATTATATTGGCCGAATCCAACGGGAGGCCTGTGGTGGATTTGGAAAACATAGTGATGTCCAGGTGATCTACGACTTAATGTCAGTAGCTTTGCCAACTCAATTCGTATCTTGTTATCTTCAAATAATAGAAGCGCCTCAACTTTTGATATCATCACAGAAGGAATCGGAAATGCGGTGTGCGCCCTGTTTTACTTTGACAAGCTAGACAAAGTTGCCGAGATTGCTGTGGTGGGCACCTTTCGCAATGTGGTTCTCGAATTCTAACCGAACATGACGACCCTGGATCAGCTACGTCAGCGGCCATCAAGCGATTGAATACCATCTTATCCTTGCTTCCCCCGAAGCGCAAGTACGTATTTGATAGGGTTTGGGGTGTTAGGGGTGTTCTTGCAACATAATGGGCGATGCTGAGCGCTGATCCAGGGAATGGATTTCTGTTACGAACATAGACACAACGAGGATGTTGACACTTCACTCATTGTCACCTTTTAAGCTCCCAGAAGGCGAACAATGTGATGCAACAAAATAGAGCAATATAGGGATCCATATCGAGATTCAATGACCGAGACCATGACCGATGCTGTTTTTCCTTTGATTTGACAACTCTGCATAAATCTTACAGGCCGCTGATGATTTCAATTAACTTTCCGATTTGCTGGATAATTACAAGATATGATTAGAGCTGCACTTGATTTCAACGTTATCCACGACATGAAAACTCACCAATATTGCTCCTCCCAACAAATGTACACGTCATAGCCAACCTAGACCGTGAATCGATCAAACCAACTCACGATTCCCTTAGCGCTCTCCTCCTTCGCCCAGCCTGCATCAGCATTCATTCAGTACCTTGCCGATTTCGATGTCTAAGAAATTAAACTAGGCCACTCACGTTCTATGTCAATAGCCGGATCGCCTCGTACAGCGAACCCATGTTTGACGCCTGAAAACACCTGGAAATAATACGTGGATTTGCGAGCGACCATGATGTCTTCTGCACGTCGACGCGAGGAGAGTGGGAATGTGTGGTCTTCCTCTACATGAAAGAATAGAATTGGGAATCAGCAGGTTAGTGGTGATCGCGAACATTTGCAAAAAAGAACTGTTACCTGCGCAAGAGAGAAGGAGAGGTCCTGTATTGATGCAATGATTCGTATTTGTTAAGGCAGTTAGATGATATATCAACAAGAAACGCACTGTCAAGTTTCTCAAAGTGGCTTTCATCGAGGAATGCGGGGTGAGCCAGTGCTCCTGCAGCTCTCGCGTGGGCATACTTCTTGAAAGCTGTCGTATCACTTACCAGCAACCACAGATCCATCAGAACACAAGTCCATGACGAACGAGGCTCCGAAGCAGTACCCTGATCACAGGAATTCAGCGTCTTTTGGGCGCAATTTTTGGATTGACGTACCGACAGCACAGTACTTGGTATTCTCCCTCCCTGTATATAATGTACATTGTACACATTTCGGTGACTCGGAAGCTACCGGAAACACGTACCATATTTTCCTTTTACAGCATCTAGCCAAGCAGGGGAACGCATTGATAGCAGGTTTGCGGGCGTTATCAATCCACACCTGGCGATGACTATCAGACTGGTTCATCACGGAGTCGCCAAAGAAATAATCAGGCCCAAGGACGGTATAGCCTAGTTTCATTCAGATCTCATTATCAGTTCACAATGCACAACGTTGACAAGGAACGCACCACAGGACGCGAAATAATCTTGGATTAATTTATTGTTAACGAAAAGCGGGCCCCAAACATCTGCCAGGAAGAGTATCACTTTCTGTGTGGGAGCAGGAGGATCGGAGATATATGTTAGAATTCCGCCGAGGTCCTCGACATGGCCGACGGGTGTGCCTGTGTGTTTTACACCGGAGAAACAGCAACCACCAGGGGCAGAGGCGAGTGTGGGGGACATCGTTGATATTCTGAGTAGAGGTGAAGATAAGAACGTAGTCTTCGTGAGACCTTTATATTATCAGAGCGAAAGAGCAAGCCTAGGCGCTGATGACGCATGAAGACCTTTGTGATCATCCGACCTCCGGAGAAGGGTACACGTGAACAAATCAGGGTACCGGATGTCCGTATGTTCCACATAGATTACACAATAGTATTCAGGAAAATGACTTTCTGGATAATTATAGCTAGCTTGAACCGTTCATAGCCGTCCCCGCAAACTCGTCTAAATCCAGGAACAGAGTCACAATGTGAGTACGATTTACCGAAACACTTTGCGATTTCACTTAATAACGGCAGATATCACTTGCTACTCGTAAAACGTTTGAACCATCCCACCATCGCACGTTGGCACTCTTCCTTCGCCCACCCTATCAGAAGTAAGAGTATTAAAATTCAATTCACCAAGAAGACAAATACTAACTTTCAGTCTCGACTTCTGGATTTCCCCTTGTTCCAAAGCCGTGAGATACACCGCTGAATATCTGAAAATAGTATGTTGCCTTCTTCTCCACAAGGATGTCTTCAACTTGTCGTCGGAATGGCGCTGGGAATGCGGAGTCCATTTCTGTAAGATGGTATGAGTGAAGCAAGCTTCAGAGGACTGGAAGACGTGTATATACCTGCGCAAGAGAATAGCAAGGGCACTGATTGTACAGCTTGGTTAATGTTGTTAATGATAAAATAACATGGAACCTGCCTTTGCTGGCTCTCAGAAGTTCCTCAGTCAAACTCGTAGGATGGGCCACAGCGGCTGGTAGATGATTCCGCATATAGACACCAAAGGTAGAGAGACATATCACATACCACACGATATCATATCAGTAGCTGCAACCTGAAAGACGTAGGGCGCGCCAAAACAGAAACCTTGATCCAGTATGAAGGCAGCAGTCTTGTAGTACCCAGCCTACTGCTTACCAACGGCACAATATTTCACATTCGTTCCTGATATTGCTGCATATAATTTCGGCATGTCATGTATGCTGAAAAGGATCTTACCGAACATTTCCTTGACACCATCCACCCACTTTGGGACGCTAGCCTTCGCTTGCTCGACAGACTTTGCTCTCCATGTCGAACGATCAAACCCAGGCTTGTCAAGATGCAGATGGACAGGATCACCAAAAAAGTAATCTATCCCAACCACGGTGAAACCTGCTTTCTTGATCGATACGCATACAAGGATACTATACACACAGCAACGTACCTTGAGAAGCGTAGTAATCTTGAACCAGTTGAGCGTTGATATAGAATGGCCCAAAGACATCTGAGAAGTATAGGATGACAGTTTCCACTCCGGACGCAGCGGGAGCTTGCGGAGTAGCTAGGTATGTCGGTACGCCAGCGATGGTAATGCTTTGACCCTTGGGTGTACCGCTGTGTGCGACTGAAGTGAAACAGTGATCTGTCAATGGGCCTGCGAGTGTGGACGACATGGCGCTTGGTAAGGAGATGAGACGTCAAGCGGACAAATCATGGAGTTTCCTTTCGAGCTTGTATCCCACGCGATGCTTGGTAACTCTCCACCCATCCAGTGTCGGCGTCCCGCGCAAAGGCTGATGCCTATGTTTTGATGTATTTTTGCTATGATGGCAGTATTGTTGTTACCCTCGTTTTACAGCACTTTAAAGTTCATTTAGCCGGCACGAACTCAACCGACGCACGCTCGCCCACCCCTGGCGCCCGTAAGGTCACGTGACTTTCTGAACAACTGACATCATGATACTACTGCTCACACTAATTGCATTGTCACGGCTATGTCACCAACGAGTACGATAATTGCGAAAAACGCTAGAAACGTCGAGACAAGCTATAGGCGACATCTACTTTTTCAACTTATAATTGCCTTATGGCAACGTTGAACAAGTTGATATTGACGGCAAGTGTGTCACCGCTACCGCTACCGTTCCATTTGAGGAATTTACCCGGCGGCTATGAGTGAGAAAGTCGCTTTCAGTATTTCAAGTAGCTTCTATTTTTTGGAATGCCCAGGATGGGCCTGCAGGGTGCGTTAGTGCAATTAGCTGGATCCCCGGTGTCTTGACTGATACTATACTAGTCTCCAGCTTGAGCCGAATATTGCTGGTATATAACGATAGCGAAACCTAACCACTTCCAGTGCCCACAGCGTCACGGTCGTATATCATTTGCATCATGGCTTCATCAGGTATCCCGCTGGATACCGCTGCCATCATGTCATTAGTGTTAGAAGGCATTTTATATGGTGGGTGTCGCAATGACTTTGTCGGTTTTATGTCCACCAAACTACCGTTCTTCAGGCTTTTCGGTCCTCATGTTTGTAGGCACGATCTGGATAATCGCCTACAAACGTCGCGAACGTGAGGTCAATCGGATAGCAGTTGCAGTTGCCACCCTGCTGTTCTTACTGAGTACTGCGGTTAGTGTCTCGCCGCTTGCATATAGTGACATCTGCTGAAGCTCCACAAGCACATGGCCGTAGGCATCATTCGTATCGAAGAGGGACTAGTAAAGCATCGTGACACATTTCCAGGCGGCCCAGCGGCGTGGCTTGCAAACACTTACGAAGAAACATGGATAATCAAGGATACAATACTCGTCTTACAAACTCTACTTGGCGACGGGGTGGTGGTAGGTTCAAATCTTAATCTTGAAACCCACGGCTTATAGAATCTCCCTTCCGTCGAAAGATTTATCGATGTTATATTGTGTGGCAATCCGTGTGGATTATCGTTATACCTTGCACGATGTGGTGTGGTGTCGCAGGTTCGTTGCAATCATACGTTGGAAATTATGTGCCCTGATATTGTCTGGAAGCGTTTGGTGTTATTACTCTCTATGACTTTTCGCAAGCGTCAAGTAATGATGATGTCTTCACTAACAAGATTGGACATTTAGTTGCAACGTTCATGATCTTGACACTTGCCACAAATTTAATTAGTTCAGGTAGGCACACTCTTCCGTAAGCGCGATGTTGATGTCTCATTAACCTTGTGCATAGGATTGTTGGCATATCGCATTTGGGTGAGCGAGCGCAATGTCTCCGGAATCCGCGCTACGAAAAGGAAGATACCTTTACTGCGCGTGTTCATAGATGCTGCTATTTTGTACTCTGCAGCGCTCTGCTCCGCACTAATATGCTTGGTCCTCTCGAATAATGGACTGTATGTTATGGCAGACTTGGTAATTTGGCTGTTAATATCTGTTATCGATATCACTGAGCTTGGATCAACTAGAACATTCCGATCATCTCGATTGCCTTCTACATGGTGTTCATTCGCATCACGAGCAGTCGACACAACCAAGATTACATCTCAACTGTCCTTGGAGGGACAAGTAGAATAGAACGCAGAAACTCGCAGCAGCATCCTATGCAATCTTTGCATGACATGTATAGGCAAAATGATACTGCATCCTTCTTGGTCGATAATTCAAAAGCGCATACATTAGCGTAGTTATCCTATCTAGCTTAGTATGCTTCTGGATATATATTATAATATAATACGAGGGCGCCTTCGGTTGGTTCATTACAGTAGCAGGAAACTTGAATACAATATTAGCGCGGTCTTGCCAGTATTTTTCGTCTCCAAACAAACAGTCTCTTCGGTAACCCCCAATCTGGTCTCCCAGTCTTTGAATCTGTCAATTATATCATCTCACGGAATTCCATGTGCAGTGGGATAGCCGCATACCCTTCAAGGACAATCTGCGAGAGAACTATAGACGACTACCGTGAACACGTAGTAATACAACATGACATGATGGACACAATTGCGCCCGAGCCGGCGGATATGCGTGCTTTATTATATTAGACATAGCTATCTGTCCGATCCAACCAGCTTTCGAATAGTGGCGGCCATTAAATACCTCGCGAGAATATGTGAATCTAACTATGGGATGTACCTTGGGGTTCTGATCCTATCTGACACGCGGAGAATGTGCTTAGCCCTGGACCTCGATGTTGAGGGTCTTTCGAGAGCCCAGCCAATCTTCTAAGGTGACGAGAAAGAACTTATCTCAACTGTGATCGCAATCGGTGGAGACTGTGACTAAATGGTATCATTTTATCCTCTTCATGAAATTCAATAAAGTAACCACAAACCATGTCAGTCGGAACAGGACGAGTGAAAACCACTTCATCGTCGAGATGTTTAGGGATGGTCCCCTGGGAGGCCTGGACTTCCTCTGCTTGTGGCATACTGATGCGCGACTCCGGTCGGTAGAGCAAATGGCGCGTACGATGGGTTTTGGAGGAGTCGATGTTGTCTGCATTGCACTCCAAGTAGTATCGCGTATTCAGCAGAGCGAGAAACGAGTTGACGTATACTTGAAACGCCGGGAGTCAGCACAATTCTCATAGAATGCGTGATCATACATTTAGCTACCAAAAATCCAACGGCGAGAAAGATAAAAGTGTTCGGCATCAGCGCGCACTGCAAACGACCCTCAGAAACGAGCTGGGCAATAAGATTATTTGGACCTTACTGTAATCATAGTTGCCACTGAACCTATGCTGCACAAAATATCAATCAAGGTATGGTATGATCTGGATAAACGGAATACCTGGTGATACAGCCAGTACTAACGGTGTAAGCCATGAGCTTGTTGACGAAGGAATCCATGCTGAGCATTCAATATCAGTATGCCGGATCCCGACAGTCAACAGGTCGCTCCTCACTTGGAGAATCCGGTGCGGGAGGTAGCGAGGAAGTACCACATCGATAATGCAATAAGGATATCGACAACAGTGACCGTGCCCAAAGCCATATATACCGCCCACTCAATCCTAACCAAGTCGGAGAACAGATGACACCGATATCTATTCATGCTCAGCAACTCGCAAGCAATTAAGTAGATGGTTCACTCACAATACCCAAACAAGGGCTAGATCAAAATGAAGATGATGAGCCAACAGTAGCAGCAGCACCGTGACGTAGTATGCTAAAAACCTCACCAATATCAATACCTAAAAGGATTTTCATGTTCAAGATTACATGAAGAAAGTTGGCAGATGGCATCCTCACCTGAAGCGAGGGCTACGATCACGCACTAGAAGTAGCTCGACAGAATTAAATCCTACAGTACACGGACATTGATTACAAACCCACCATCGTTATAGGGAGAGCTCTTGATCGACCCTTGCTGACTAGGTTTACTGCATTAGCCACAGCATAATTATTGATCGGAAGATAATTACCTATCCATAGGCGGTGGACATACAGACTGTGGGCGAAGAGATATTACTAATGTTGCATAGAACTCCGTGCAAATCGAACTTATGCCTGTACACTGTGGGTGATGAGAGTCTGTGGGGTGCATGTCAGAGGCGGTTCACAGGGCATTGGAATTCCAGCTTACGTAGCATATGACTTGAAGCTGAACGAGCCAATCAGTATCATAGTAGTAGATGGTGGCGCGTGCAATGGGGGAAAAGGAAACTCACTTTAAAACTCCATACAATTTTTGTGAGCGCACCCATACTCGCGTGATTTCTCACCAAGTAATAATAGATGCAGTGGACAATGAAGGCTAGGTGCAGAGCATCAAGGATCCTAAATGTTCATAATCTCGACGTGTTGGACCATTGCAACTCGAAAAAATATATACCAAAACAAAATGACCTGACACAACATCAGGAAAAGAGCAGACAAGAAGATAACAGAAACGTACAACCAGCTTAAAGAATGTTATTCCTGTGTTTCTGTGCGTCTGAAAGTAAAGGAACGTTTGAGTATTGCTTATACCCCAGAGGCTGTTCCGTGAGAAATGTTACGACCATAATCAACATTTAGTCTTGACTTGCATGGCGAGAAAATGTTTGACTAACAATGCCGCAAGGGTGGCCCCAATAAAAAGTGCTCCGAACGTATTCCCGATAGAGGGCTGTAAGAGTTGGAGGTCCTGCATGAAGAAAGACAGCTGAACCAGTTCTGACTGCAATGACAATCATTTTACCCGTACTATATATTACTGTAGTCAGGGTAGCACATCGCCGCGTCAATCTGTCGGGTGATGGATAACGGGTTCTCCCATGGTGATTGGAACAAACCTTTCACATACGGCGATAAGATCCCACATAGTGGAACATGAATCCGCTGGACTCGGGCTCATCGGGAACGTATCGTAATCATTTGTATTTGTTGCACCCTCTGGAGATATGACCTGTGATCACACTGAGTCCGTCTGATCGCCTGCAAAACTTCATATTATCAGAAAAATTGGAGATGAATACTGACGCCCATAATATTGTACCTACCATTATGCAGTAAATCAAGCGACCCCAACATTGTACAATTTGTATTCGCAAATGGTGGAGCACTAATTCAATCACTTGAGGTTCTGTCACATAACAACTGGATTTGTTATGCCCTCCAGGGAGTACGGTACCTGTACGTGCCAGCTGGTACCACTGCAACACGGTACGTAGAAGTAGTAGAGGCGCCAGGACTCGGAGAAATTTGTACACAGGAACGTGTGACGATATTTGTGGAACAATATGCGGCCAGGTCGCCTTGTACATATATGCGGCATCCCTGGATTTGAAAGGACGGAAATGCAAACCAGGCCACCACTAAAAAATCATGGCTACTGGCTTCTATAGAATCCAAGCTTGTCTGCGGTGGACTGCCGACCTCAGGCTGAAGGCTCATGCTCACATGCGATGACATGATAGAAACCATACTCGCGGAGTGAATTAGCATGAGCTTGCCGCTGAATTCGTAGGGCCGCAGGCTCACGCTTCATTATTGTGTCTGGCAATGAGTACTAGGGTATCTCGGATTCGGTAAGCCAGAATGGAATCCGAGCCATTGACCCCGAGTGCCACGGAGAATTATCTATCCAATCGCAGAGGGCTTGAAAGACCTGGAGGAGGAACGATGTTGAAGAACAAAATACCTATACGAGTAACGTCATGCCGTACCATAATAATACATGCCACGTTCGTCATACCGGGATTTGTTGATCTCGCATCAACATTAATCTTATGTAAGATTTATGTGTGAACGGTCCGAGGCGATTTGTTCTGCTGCCGACATACTTGAACGCAACCCGTTGAAGAGTCAGCCATAGAAAAACCTTTTGTATCTGTCGGGCTTCTGTACGACGATTTAGGTCCAAAGCTGTCAGGGTGACGAGACCAGCATCAATATTTTCTTGCGCGGAATACAAAAATGTCTTTTAACAGTGCAAGCCAACTATGTATCCATTGTCACAGCAAAGACCATAGCCTGATAGTGTTGTACGTCACTCGTGCTACCTCAGCAAAGCTAGAACATGCAGAAGAAGAACAATTTTCGATACTGGCCGGCGGGTTTATTATTCAAGTTGTAAAACAGTTAAACCATGTGATTATGCCACGCTGACACTCTTCCTCTGCCCATCCTCGTATTAACGAGACCATGGACAAGAAGAGAAGAGAAAGCAGAAAGTTGTATGTCAGAACAAGAACTAATGGGGGAGGGGTAGTAAAAAAACACCACTCACAAGCATTCTCTGCATTCGAATCATATTCGACCGCAACTCCATGACTCACACCACTGAAAATTTGGAAGTGGTATGTCCAACGAGCCTGTCTTCAACCATCCGATGCGTCTCTTTGGGGAACGTGTGGTCAGTTTCAGCGCAAGAAAAGAGTATCGGGACTAGTCGATCGGACTTGTCAACATGCAGATCTTGGAAGAAAGAGAAGGGACGGACCAGTGCATTTGTCGATCTCCGTTAGATCCTCGGAGGGAGTGGCGGGGTAAGCAATTGCACCGAGATGATATTATGCATATATGTGCATATGGCACGGGGCTGGAATATGCGTACCAGAGACAATTAAGCTACCTTTCTGGGCAAGAATCAACACCTGCGGTCCACCGAAGAAAAAGCCTCTAGAGGTGTGGAACGACATCAAGGCAATGATGAATAGGCGTACCAACAGCACAGTGTTTCATGCCTGAGCCTATGGGGAATTGAAAGGTGAATAGTGAAACTGAAAAGAGGCTACCATACCATATTTCTTCACGACAGCGTTAGTTCATGGATATGGGTGCTAGCGTTACTAAATGCCTTTGCTATCCACGCTGGCCTGTCGAAGCCTGGTTCATCCACGAATTCATGAATAGGTTCTCTAAAGCAGTCAATCGAGGCCGACCACATGATGATTACACTTTCTGCGCAAAAGCATACAGTGAGAAGCACAATAGCCCATGGATTGGTTGTTGATGAAGAAAGGACTGAAGACATCGGAAAAGTAGATGATAACGCCCTTGGATTCGGATGGGTTTGTAGGCTCAGATACATCTGTCTGTACATTAGCGATCTTCTCCTAAAAGCCGCCAGAGTGGGAGACAGTGGTAAAACGGTGCTCACTAAGCTAAGGAGTCATGATGTGTCAGAATGAGAAGATAAAGAGAGATGTCGAGACAACACGATACCATTTATACGTTTGTGCTATTGTACAGCGACCTGTATGTTGTACTAGTGCCCTGCGTCGCCCACTGGGATTGTCGCATCCAGGATGTGGCACTGTTCGATGTTCGAACTCCACTATGAAGTAGTCACACGAGAAAAGATTGTAATAAAGCATAGATTTTATGTATACGAGAAATAACGATTTCTTCAAAGCAAAAGATCAAGCATCGCTAGAGTGAACCAGAAGTGAGAATGAGTCTCCGAACAGATGGGATCATCCGATAGTTCTGGAGTCTTCCCGCGCTAGGTAAGCAGATAAGACATATTATGATGTTACCTGTGCCAGTGCACCCACACAACGCTTATCCTCTTCCATCATGAGCTCAACACCACAGGAAATTCAGATAAATGTCAAGGGTGCGACTGATCCACAATTTATAATGGCAAAACATATTGACCAGAACTAGGACCGAGCGAGCTCAAGCTGCAGATCACAATCAGTACTGACAAGACTGTGCTTGACCTCAAACGTGCCATCGCAGAAAAGTCTGATGTAGAAGCTGATCGGCAGAGGCTCATATACTCTGGTACGTGTTAATGCATTTGACGAGGTTTCGTTCGTTCAAGCATTGTATCTACCGAAGGCCGAGTATTGAAGGTATATATCATTGCGTACGCCACTCTCATGATCACTGATCATTTATTGCACAGGATGACGATGTTCTTTCAACATATAAAATTCAAACATCTCACACCATCCACATGGTCAAGGGCGTCGCTCGCTCAAACATATCCGGTTCTCAAGCCTCTTCTGTCCCAGTCCCGCCACTCCCCACAATGCAAGCTGGCCAGAATCCCCACGACCCATTGACACAGCTCAACTCTCACCTCGGCTACGGTGCTCTCGCTGGTTTCAATCCATTTGCAGAATTGGGTCTGAACCCGAACGATCCTAACATGATGCAATCAATGATGCAGAATCCCCAATTCCTCCAGCAGATGAGCAGCGTCATGAGTAATCCCGCCGTTCTCGACCAAATCATCGCGAGCAATCCTCAGCTAGCTGCTATTGCCCCTCAAGTCCGCGAAGTCTTCCAGAGCGAGAGGTTCAGGGAGATGATGTACGTTGTTTTGTCTACCACTACTCCTAAAGATGCATGTTGATCTGAGTTAGATCAAATCCCGAATCTTTCCGCTCGATGCTACAGATGGCGGCAGCATTCCAAGGTACGGGTGGGGGTGCAGGCGTTAGTCCATTTGGCGGTGGAGCATTCGGCTTCCCTGGCGCAGGTGGCGGCGCCGCATTCCCGGCACCAGGCAATCCATCTACAGCGCCCGCATCGTCTCCCACCTCCAACCCCTCTACCGCTCCTACAGGCAGCCAACCAGCCCCAAATCCTTTCGCAGCGTTTTTCCCTCCTGTCCCACCAGCAGGCGCGGGGACTGATGCAGGCGCAGGCGCAGCCGCCAACCCATTCGGCATGTTCAACCCAGCGGCTCTCGCACAAATGCAGACTGCCTTTGGAGGTGGCAATGGTCTAGGCGGATTCGGCGGCTTCGGTGCACCTCCGGCTGCACCCGCAGATTCGCGGCCACCCGAAGAACGTTTCCAGGTGCAGTTGCAGGTGCGTCTTGTGTGCTGTGTGTGTCTAGTGATCTAATGGGCTTTTTTCTTTTGCTCGTTGCATTCATATTTGGGAAACAGCAATTGCAAGATATGGGGTTCACAAATGCATCGCAGAATGTTCGGGCGCTTCTTGCGACCGGTGGAAATGTGCATTCGGCGATTGAGTATATATTGACTGGAGGAGGATTGTAAGAGGAGAACAAGCCTTCGATGTGGCTGATAGATAAGTGATCTGGACGTTTATCCTTTTCATGTTACGTTCGAGATAATTGTATTGTGTATGCCTTAATAAATCCAGCGATCTACACTGTGTGGCGTATTGTATGGGTAGAGGAGATATATTTTATGAAAGAACGGGAAGGACGCAGTCGATAGCGATCACAAAGAAACATCTATATCGCCCACAGCAGATTGCCCAGAAAGCCTCGCCCGCTTCACGTCTTCATGCGAAGGTATCGGTGAAGAAGCTCGTTTCGAAGCCTCTGTTGGAGATTTAAGCGGCCTGAAGTACGGTTGTGAGAGCCAATGTGGCAGCACTCTGAGCCCTGTCGTAGGCTCGATCGTGATCAGATCATCAATCATCTGTCCCCCCTTCATCGCCTCCGTAGCATCCCTCTCCATGCGCTCCTTCATCTTCTTCGCAACCTCAATATACTCCTCAATGACATTCGACCCTCTGATCCGCCCCAATTTCTCCCTCAGATCGGTCTCCCTGCTCAGAGCGGGATGCATGATTTTAAACAAATGACCTTTGACCGCGCTCGTTGATGTTGGGGTTTTGAGATTCTTGACGATAGTCAGGTACTCGAGCGCGAGGTCCGCATGGGGAGGGTGTGCACCTGTCAGGGTCGATGACAGATTCCCAGATGATGCAGGAGCAAATAATGCAGGGTTATACAACTGTCCCTCAGCGCTCATCACCCCGTCCACGCCGGTCTCTTTCAGGCACTTCTCTACATCTTCATGAAATAAAATGTTGCCGTTTGCGAACACAGGCACCCGAACTGCCTCTTTCACGGCTTTGATGTGCGACCAGTCTGCGAGTCCAGTGTTTTGTCCACGTTGGGTGCGCAGGCGACCATGGCAAGTGAGGATCTGGGCCCCTGCGGATTCCAGCATTTTGGCGTAAGCCACTGTTTTTTCTACGGAGGGAAATATTCGGAATTTGGCAGTGACGGGTATGGAGAGGTTTTCGTGAAGTACGTTAACTGTTCCGACGGATACATCATTAGCCCTAAAAATTAGAACTCTAATGTAAAATAATGAAAAGAACACACTTAAGTCATGGATCAACTCCCATTCGTCCATCAAAAAGCTTCCGTAGTGTCCCTTCCTTGCGATATCCTGAGGACACCCAAGATTTATATCAATAGCATCACAGTGATCTTGTACAGCGAGTGCGCTCGTGAGGAGCTGTGAAGGATTATTGGCACAGAACTGAACGATGAGGGGGCGGTCATGTGTACTTGAACCTTCTTCCAGACAAGAAGTATTGAATGCCTGAGCACGATATGCGTGAGAAGAAGGGGGGGAGAACATCTTGGCGTTTATCATGGGTGTGTAACAAAGCTGAGTAAATTGGATAAGTGAATGACAAGAGCAGAAAATGATGGCAATCAGAGACGTACCTGGGAACCATATCGGCGTGATAGAATTCTCCAGGCCTGAGTCAATCAAACATAAATTGATAGATAGCGCGTACATGAATGGACTCTACTCACCAGCTCACTTTGATCTACCATTGGCGCAACGATGAGCTTTGGGCTACCGAGGATCCGGTGGTAGAACTCATACCCAGCGAGTTTCCTGGGATGATCGGAGGTGGTCTGAGCTGCCATCGTAACGACCTTTTTGAAAGTGCGCTCGCGCAGAGCGCGCAAGAGTAGGGAGACGAAGGACGTTATTGGAAAACCGGCGTAGTACTTCGAAAGTTCGAAGCTAAGATGGACTATGGCCTCACGTGACTTACACGACTAAGCAAATAGAATATTTATTGGAGTAATTAGACCAGTTGAAAATATGATGTATCCAAGCCAATAAAGGTAGGCAAGGCTAGCCTCTATTGACGCCAGTGTGCCTTATACGATACAAATCACGCTTGGCGGAGTTGATAGTTGGAATACCAACACGGACTATGTATATATATATATCTCATGCCTCATTCCCTCCTTCCCTCAGTCCGTTCTATCTGACTGAGGGTAAGCCGCTCTTCGTTATCACGCCATACATACATAACTTACTTGTCATTCCTAGACTAACGCTGTCTAGGTATTTGCCAATATCAGTCCGTTCTATCTGACTGAGGACTAACACTGTCTAGTATCAACAGCCTCTGCTATAACTGTGACTGGAGAGGATTGGAAGCGCTAATCGCAACAGAGCCTGCTATTTTTGTTAGACTTGTTAAGATGCTATATTTGCGATAACCGTTCGTTCAGCCGCGTGAATTTTGCAAAGCGAGATATATGCTACCACTCCAGCATAGTCAGCGTTAGAACAAGCCTGAGTATATCTGTAGGCCAGAAGCAGCACTCAATCTGTCCTGAAGGGCGTCGGAAATCTAATGCAAGAATTTGGTCGACGAAGTATCGATGGGCAACGACGAAATGATGTACTGTAAAGATACTGGTGTACATTTCACCCAGTGTGATATTTATAGTCCTATCAATACATAAGTTCAAATTGAGAGTGTGAAAAATCGTCACATACCAGGTAAGAGTAGTGACTGGATGCAATTTGAGCTCGGTAGTTGTGAAGCACAACATGTCTTGGAGAGAAAGTCAGAGACCTAAGCATTGCCTCCTTTTCTGGGTGCCTCTCACTTCCCAAGAGCTGTTTATACGCCTTGGAGTACGTTGGTAATCCAAAGATCGTCATTCGGTCCTTTGATTCTTTGTCGATTCTATGCCTAGCATCGAGCCTCGATTTACAGTTGTTCGTCTGAATGATCTAATGAAAAGTAGACTGGATGAGACTCAAATCTTGTTGTTGATTCGTGGGAACACGTACCGAGACTGATGTGCATTAGCGACGTGGTTGCGCCCTTACAAGATGTCGAGCAGGTTGGCGCCTCGGTGTTGCTGTTTTGAGACGTCATCACTATGATGGTTACTTTCAAACCTGAACTTTTCACGACAGTCTTTCATTCGAGGTGTAGATGGTTTAGCGGGTACAACCTCTCGTGTATGGAGATGTGTGAGAACGAGTCAATCACCGTGTACACATCATGTATAAAAAGCAATTGACTCGTTCTCACTTCTGAAGTTTGATAGGACCGCAGCAGTAGAGGAACTCGGATCCGGCGTGCTGCATAGGTTGTATCATGATAGACTGAAGATGCCTTCGCGATGACGCTTTACCTATTCCGCCAGGCTGGTGTCACAACCCAATAACGAATTAACGCTGGGCAGAGACTAGGACTCAAACGAAGGTTATCGGACAAAGATGATGATGAGCAGGTACGTCTTGGATTGCTACAATGTAGATACAAGAGGTTTGAACTAAGGAACTATCGACCAAGACATGCTACCTATATACAATTATTGAGACGGAGATTGAAACTGAGTTACAACTACTAGCCAATCATAAAAAGAGAAAGGGAATCGTACCATAGAACATCGTAGAATATTAAAGAAGCATCACGTGACCGTATCTTATCTTATCATATCTAATCTAATCTATTCACAATCAAAGAACTCGTCTTCTTCATCAGTCACATCGAAGACACGTGTTGTGGGCGCTAAAGGTATTTCGGGAATGATAGACGCTTTCAGGGTAGGGTTAGGCTTAGGCTTAGGCGCTGTGTATTGGCGTTTAGGAAGATTCAGGAAAGAATAATGGTTTGTTAAAGGTACTCGTGACAGCTGGCACGACGAAAAAGATGTGGGTTGCTGTTAACTCGAAGTTCTGGTTGTTCCTGCGGGTCATCGTTCACAGGCGGGTCTACAAGGAGGTTAAGAATAAATTCGCCTCCCTTAAATGTGCCACGGTTTCCATTGTTTATTCTGAATTTCTGGTATACCTGTCAATAGTCGTCAGGTATATCCTTGATGAGATTAAGACAGTGCAGCACATATCAGAGAGGATGGACTCAGGAGATCAAATTAAGAGCTAGCCAAGTTTCCACCACATTATGGCAGAACGATACATCCTCATGGACTATGATCCATTAATTGCGATACATCCTCTACTATAGTTATCCATTCCAGGATATATCCCCCATGTATAGCTATCCACGGTGATTGTTCCTTGTTCCAGGATATATCCCTCGTGTGATTGTTCCTCGTCCTCCTTTTGTTCAGAAGGCGGAACTGTTCTTAATGAGTCCAAACCTGTATCTGTCAACAATCGATCGAGTGATCTCCTCAGGAACCAGAACATAGTACCCCACAGTTCTAAGATCAAGATCAAGGCACACCATCAATTCAAATCTTCGGTACTAGTGTACATATATGCTACAGCGTGTTCTCGACGTCTTCGCAAGGCGGCTCATCAAGAGATGGTCCATCATCCTCTTTGACAAGTAAATCAGCATCCAAACCTGAGGCAACGAGATCAGGGACTGTCCTCCAGCTCTCTTTGAAGACGGCTGCCAGCCTGCGGCGGATGTGAGCTTGCCGGAAAGCATAAGCCACAAAACCCTCCTCCACCTCCTCCTTCAGCGGCTCAAAAAATGGCCTTGACGCCAGCGAATCCCACTGCGCTGCTTGCCAGTCCAGGAATCTCAAGACACGTTCCATCTCTTCTAACAATAGTAAGATTTCTTCCGACCACCTGTTGTGGCGCGCACGGGCCTTACACCATTCCATCCGAAGCGCTATCCTCAGGCTAGTTCAGTAATCGTAAGACGGTTAATAAATTATGCTACTCACAGTCTTGCAGCCCCTCGTTGTTGTCAGCGGATATCCCGTGCGTCAACCAAATCCAAGACATAATGTCTGTCCCTTGAGTCAGCGCTCCAAAGTCTCCCATGGGTCTAAGGTGAGCCTTTTTCAAGGGCTGCAGTTTCTGCTCCCAGCCTACCCGATTAAGATGACGAGCAAGGGACACCAGCGCCTTGTGGGCGCTCACGTACTTGGCGTGACTCAGCATCAGGCGTTCTTCAACGGCATCTAGCGTTTTCCGAGAACGTGTGCTTGCTCCTTGTCCGCGCACATGCTGGGTCTTATACTGATATAGCTGGCGGCGGACTCGAATGTGGGTTCGGCACTCATTAAGAGCATCATTGGCTTGTGCATATCGAAGGGACCATTCCATCTCCAGCATTTTTCGATCGCATGGCACGACGCCACAGACTTCTGAAGGAAGAAGCAATGGGAGATCTTCTGCGTTACTGGAGTTGGGGTTTGATGTTGGACAGCCACTATCATCAGTGACGTCGTTATGAGGTAGGAGGGTTGCAGAAGCGCGAAGATTTGGGACCATTGGCATATAGACCGTTTGGATTGCAGTCCATGCATCTAGGCGCCGTTGTAGTGCAGTCCTTCATGTCAAAATTTTAGTTCTCTGAATCTCAGTTGAATGTTGACCGAGTGCGGAGGCATCTGAGCGTAATCGGCGTCTGAAGCATTAAGTTAGACACACTTCGCCAATGCTGCAAGACCACCTACTGAGTATGTTCAAGGTCAATTCCAGTGCTGAGGAGCACACTGCAAGTCACCTCAGCGTGGAGTGGGATCGCTAATCCATCTTCCAATTCCTTTGCATCTTGCTTGGCCAATTCAAGTCGCACGGCTGCCTGTGTCATTGCTACATTGATTAGCAACTTGTCAAACACGTCTTGCAGGGCGACGTACTGGCGACTCTGCTCTGGAAGGGGTTGGGCTGTGAATGGTCCATCTCCCATGCCTCGATCTCTGTCCGCCATACAGAAAGCGAAGCAGCTCCTAATTCCGACTCGGTGATAGAGCTCTGGAAGTCGTGGAGGGCAAGGCGGTGTTCTTTCTCGCTCACAACAGCATTGCTGATCTTCCTCAGTAACACTTTACCTGATGACCGGCCTTCATGAGTAATTTGTTCAAGTAAAAATAATAATAAAGCACTAATACTTACCCAGTGCCGTGACCTTCTTCCAATTCGAATCACCAAAGTGATCGTTGAGCGTGTCTCGCCGTGCCCCCGGACCCATCTCCTTCGTGCTGGTGGCCACGCGATTTATATTGGCCCAGCCCCGCTCGGGGGCCTCACCGTCAGTCCTTCCTACACCAGGAGTCCAGTTGAACGAGAACTCAGTCTGGCAAAGTTCAATGTGTGCAGCGAGGTGGAACTTCGGCACGAAAAACTTGATGTCCTTGTCTTCTCGGTTGAAGTGAAGGTGTGAGGGCAGTGTAGGCACACGAGACCACACTTTCTTGTGCCACTGACAAGCCACGTTGTATGAGATATTGATCCTTCGAAGTGCGGAGAAATTGGAAAGGGCTGAGAAGACCAAGTAGTCCATATTGACGTATCTAGAATAGTACAACCAATGATTAGCTGGGAAGCACAAACTAAAAAAAAATACTCACCTTTCACCTCGTTGCAAGTCGCCAACACCGTTTGGAAGCTTCATGTCATGTCGCGTGCAATCCACAGTGCCTACTCCAGTGGCAGCAAGACCCTTCGAAGACTTGGTGTCGGCATGATTTACGGCGTTGTGGCTGACGCAGGTGCTTTTCTATTATTAACAAAGCGGATATTGTCAGTTTATATAGTCAAAGTCCACAGGTCATGACATACCTCTTGTGCGATCCCAGTGTGCGTGTTCAAATGATATTTATAGTCTCTCTCGTCAACGAAAAAACTCCACCCTTGGCTAAGACCTGGATCTTTTTCATCGCTGGACACCATCCGACGTTTTAGGCGAAAATTGGCATCAACCGCGATGAACAGCCCATATTTCCATCTGAGGATAATCATTTAGTTAGTTAGGCTGGACAATGGCTAATGTATTGAAGCACGTACTGGTTAGGCTCCATTTCCCAGCCATCTGGCAGGTTTTTACCTGGGTGAGGACAGGCTGGACACAGCACTGCTAAGTTGCCATTGCGCGTGGAGTGAACACCTGCGGGATCGTGTCCACGCCCTGAACGTTTCAAGGTCTTGCAGTTTCTCCACTCAATAACCATTCGGAGGAACTCGGAATAACGATCCTGAATTGGAGTAAGCCCAACATATCAAGTGAGATTGAGAAAGATGAAAGTAGACTCACGCGGATTGGTGTGATACCAGTATTGTCAGTCCGTCGAGCTAAACAATGATAAAATTCATATGCGGAAACTTTTGACTCGAAAGAAAGCAAGTGGAAGAATTCCAAGACTGCAAACGTTGCTGCTGTTCTTGGGTTGGTCACTGTGGCAGGGAACCAACGTGCGCGAAGTAACTGCTTGAAATGCGACACCTCGTGCTCACATCCGCAAAAGTCGAGACCAATCTCGTGTATCCCATGGACATCGACAACAACAAAGTCATCGTTATAAGCAGGTTTTGGCTTGTGACAGGTGGTAAGCGGGTAGTGACCGAGTTGCACGCGCAGGCCCATAGACTTGAGGGACACGGGATGAAAAAACCCATCCTTCCACTGCTGCATCTCCCATAAGTAAAAGACAGATAGATAAATAAGAGACACTGCGTACCTTGATTCTGTGGAGGGGTGCATTCACATGTAACTGGATGGTACACGAGCAACAAGCAAGTTCGACTGAAAAACAATCCTGACACCTGAAAGCCGCATGTAGGTCACCGCACTGACATGGGCTGCCTGAGTTTTTGCCCCTTCCTTCCAATCTGATGAATTCATCGATGTAGGTCTGCCGTTCCTGCAGCCAAAGAGATATAGGATTATTCTAAAAATCTAGCATAAGCTTCATGTCGCATTTGAAACACAAGACATACTCCACTGTTTTTTTGATGTCTCTCTCTCAGGACCTCAGACTCAGCAAATGGAAGGTCGGTATCCTCGCAAATTACAGGAGCAGAGTGCTCGACTTCGTTCCAAGGATCTGGGTCAGACGCACTTTCTCCCAGATCATCTGTGATGTTGGCAGGGATGTACGATGTTCGAAGTGAAATTTGTCCAGTGGGCTGTAGGCTGAATATGCGGTGCCTCTGAACTTGATCTGGTGCGTTGGGTACAGTTTGTGTGTGCTTGACCAGTCTGGGCCGCTTGGTTGGTCGTCCTGCGCGTCTAGACTGCGACATTCTGTGTATCCGATTAGTCCGCCGTGGGCGAATCCTTGTGAAGCTGTTGTTTTGACACTGTGTGAGACAGTAGTACTGTGATCACGTACACACTTTGCATTGGTAATTCACAAAGGTCAATGGTGTCCGCGGCACTCAATTTTTCAGACACTTTTGGTTACATTTACACCCATAAGGATGGAGAGCACGGCCTCCTGTACAGTCACTGAAGTAAGTAAAGCAGTAAGTGACATACTAAGACTCCCGTGTAAGACGGAGCTACAGGCTCAGATCATCGTCGTTTTGATACATCAACTCTTTGGCCACGAAAGCGTAGGCAAGCTCACCATAGCTTATGTTGAGATACCACAAGATATCCTGCAAGTAAGCCATTAGACGACGAATCTCTCGACATACTTCTTCAGTGGCCCTCCACTCATCACAGACTCCGCATATGTCCCAAATCCTATCATGACCATGGTGCGCCTTGTCGTGGATACTTCCAATGGTCTGGATGGCATCCTTAATTATGGAAATATCTCCACTTGTGGCTTCGCCGTTGGTGGCCTCTGGGACGGATGCAACATATTTGCGGAGAAGTTGTTCCACGTATGCGATAGGTGATGGAGCGAGAGCAACCAGCTCGTTCTTGGCATCTCTCACGATCCCTAAGCAATCTGAAAGTGTCTCGCTAAAATATGTACTATTCAGCACCGTCATGTTTCAAAGTTTAAACACTTACGGCTCAGGGGAGAGATCACGCGCAGTATTTGCCTCCAGCACATCGATAGCCTGGGAGTCCATTTTGCGGGTGTTTGGCGTGCAACATGAAGCAAGCCGCCGTTTCAAATTGATGCTGGCCTTGTGCCTGCAGATACAAATTGTCTTATGATTGTTGGTTTGAATACAGGCAGAAACTCACCTAGCATAATAGTTGCGCCGCTTTTCACGTTCTGCTGCAAACTTGGCCTCCGGGGTGGTGTGAATGATTGGTCGACCTGCTGGCATGTTGAAGGGTTGGTGCAGTGAGAGTGGGAGACGAGGACTGAATAATTGAAAGTTTCAACCAGTGGCGAATCATCAGCTTATACAACTGGTTATGGACCAATAGTGAATCCAAAATTACGGTCCAATGGGAATTACGGTCCAACGGGAATTACGGTCCAACGGTGAATTCGATGCCTATGGAGTGATACTAAATCCTGAGCTGTCAGACCTAAACACGCACGCATTATTTCAGTACACTTTACCGCTCTATCAATCCCACTTATCTTCAGCACATCAATCCATAGTCAATGTACGTCTGTGCTGTCAGAAACGATCACATTAACATATATCAGCGCACAGAATTAGATGGCACCACCGAAATGGACGACAGCCGAACAAGAGGCATGGCTCCAACCATGGTATGAAAAGTACCTGGGAAAGCAAAGCGAAAAATGCAGGAACTACAGCAACTTTTTTGCAGACCTTAACGAACACTGGTTTGATGCATTCCCGGAGCCTCGCCCCAATAACTGTACGACAGTTGGACCATTGACAAAAGAAGAAATGGATAGCGCAGTGGATGCACGCAAAGACGTATGTGAGAGTTCGCTAGCTAAACATTATCACGGACTGACATTGTGATAGAAATTGTACATACGTTTCAAGAATAACTGCGGTGGGTCGAAGGCTGGACGACAGGCAAAGGCAAAGGCTACCGATGCCTTCAATGCTGTGGTACGAAGAATAACAGAGTGTGAAAAACCCACTCGGACACTTCAAGAACATGAGGCTTACTCTAAACTTTACTATGCCGACCGCATCCAAAAATCGGTTCAAGAAACACTCAAAAAAGCAGAAGAGGAACAGCCACTCACTAATGGCCAGCACATAGCTCTTTTGAAAAAGGAGACAGCCGCTCTCTACGCAGACGAGTCTGAGGATGTTAAGAGTCAGGTCAAAGAGTACATCGCGGCTCAGAAGAACCAGCGCATGGACCGACCAGAGACTTGGAGTATTGAGGATCAAGAGCGGTGAGTGCTTTCCACCTGAAGTAATCTGTAAATCAGCTGACTCACAATATTCGCACAGAAATCTTACGAAGTTGGCGGCAATTGTGAACCAGTTCATAAGAGGTCTTGCAGATGCCACCGGCCTGGCATTTAGTCTTCTGGTGGGCGGTCCTTCTGCAGAGTTAGGTGGCTTAATTGATGTGTGGAGGTAAGTCATACTTATGCGTGGATGGAGCACAGAATTTGAACGCACCATAATAGTTTCCATGTCGGACATACAAAACTAGGGAACGATTTCAGTCAAGCGTACCCTGATTTTGATAGCGGGATTATCGCACCATTTCGTGATTATCTGTATCGTGTGTACCGTGAGTGTTACGCTGGTGGAACTCTGAAGGATAGGTAGCTTACCATGTTTCTCAACAGCGGATGCCGCAATGTTGAAGCCAGGGGAAATGGGTATGTCAAAGAACTCAACTGCGAGTGTTGACTGGACGATAACACCAAGTAGTAGTACGTCATATCTGCATCTGTTGATTATGTGAGCATTTTTGACACGGGTTTAGCCGAAGTACCTCTCCCCTCGTCATCGTCATCTTTGACGCCGTCGTCTCTGACTTTCGACAATCAGTTTGATTTAAATTCTGTTGAGCATGCAGAGCTGGACTGGCTGTCTGATGACTATCTTGATAAGTTACATCAGATGTCTATGCAGATGCTGCCAGGTGCGCCTGCTACAGGTCCAGCTGACCCTCCCCCACATACACCCATCCCTCTTGGTCCTACTGCGACTGCAGCGCCGATTATCAGTCGTCCCACTCCGTCAAATTCATTGGCCTCGCCTCCTGTTGCCTTTCCCCCCATTTTTTCTGACCCTCCCCCACATACACCCCTCCCTCTTGGTCCTACTGCGACTGTGGCACCGACTATCAGTCATCCCACCCCGTCAAATCTCTTGGTCCCACTACCTGCAACTCTTTCCCCCATTCTTTCGCCCCCTATTGTGCCACTCTCCAAGATGATAGGCCCCGCTGCGCTCTCCACTGTGCTATCAGCTGCAGCTTCACTGCCTGCTGTGTCGCCCTACATGATTGACACTCACCTTCCTCAACCCCAGCCACTGCCACGCCGCACTGCTTCAGTTAGTGCAGAAGCCCTGCCTGCTGCATCACCCTCCATGGTTGACACTCACCTCCCTCAACCCCAGCCACTGCCACACCGCACTGCTTCAATTAGTGCAGAAGCCCTACCTGCTGCGTCACCCTCCATGGTTGACGCTCACCTCTCTCAACCCCAGCCGCTGCCACGCCGCACTGCTTCAACTAGTGCAGAAGCCAACAACGATGTTGCCGAAGGTGGTCGCCGTCGCAGTGCACGAGCCCCCATGCCATCTACACGCAACACTGTTGCAAACTCTATTGGAGGTACAGATAGTTTGCCACACGCATCGATTTCCAAACGCGTGCGCGAAGTTCAATCATCGACAAAGGCAGGCCGTCGACCTAAGTAAGTTTTTTGTATTTCACCGGCGTGGCAGGACTTAAATCTTGATATAGAAGAGGGAAATTGTGAGGTCTTGTTACCGGTCTTATCTTGCGGGGCTGCTTGTATTTTGTCGCTCATTGTTTTATTGACTCCCGCTGGTATGTATAAAAAATAAATCATTTTTTTGGCGTAATCACAGGGCTTGAAGCTACACGGCCAATCACCGTACTAGTACCTAGTAGTAGTAAGTATGATGGACATGAAATTTTATCTTGTCTTGACATTTGACTTCGCAGATCCATGTGCTTCTAAATATTGTGACACAGCGCTGCAGGCTGTGCCATGTGGCTTGCATCATGTGACGAGCTGGGACTCTGTATTTTCTAAGTACAGCCTGAATTAGTAGACGCTTAGTTGGGCTTGAAGCTAGACACTGAGTTGATGGACTGTGGGTCACCTCAACAACACCCATTCTCACCCGGGATTTGGAAACCAATTTTCGCTCAAGTAGGGCTGTTCACTGTACCGCGCATGGTGTGCCGCTGTATGAAGTTAAAAAATGACCGTCTATAACAGTTGAAAAAAACACGATGACTACGGTACAATATATTTAATGAGCTGTATGATCTGGACATAACAGACGTCACAGAAGCCCCAAGTCCGATTTGACCTGAGCATCTTCTACCAAAACCTACGGAATTCTGAGCAAATGCAAAGTTCGATATCAAATACAAACTTACAGATGATTGGGTCTCAATGATAAATGAGCCATGTTCAACAAACTCGTTATCCTCAGCGACTGCTTGATCCTCAAGCGCAGATGCTGGTTCAACTGCAGATACTGAGTAGGACGGCATCCAGGGAGAACTACTGCGCTCTTCGTCAGGGTCGATAGTACCCAATTGCTGTTGAAAATACTTAGCGTGACTGATTTCAGGATAAAAAGCACTCACCTACCAAGGCTAGAAATGAGAGCCTCTTCTGCAAACGGAACAGGTTGCTCTTCAACTCCCTCCGCTGCAACAGATTGGGCAGCACTCGGAGGAAGCTGTTCCAAGTCATCAAGTCCCTCATTGGCCTGGGCAACGTTGCCTTGTACGGTTACCGAGTAAGAAGACGTCCAAGGTGATTTAGGGTGAGGTTCTTCCAGATCGCCGAGCGTAACCTATCCCCAAGTCAAGCTCAAAGCAAAAAGACAACGGACATAGGTGCTCACATGCTCCTCAACTGGAACGCCTGGTCCTTGAGTGATAACGCTGTACGAAGGAGTCCATGGTGTCAAGTACAGCACGTCCCCATTGTACGGTGTACAGCGAATAGCCCTAAGAGTAAGGGAGTAAGCAGAGTGAGATGAATCAACCGTGAGAATTTAGACTTCAAAACTTTCAAGGTGTGTGGCATGGCATGTTGATTGGAAATTCAACACCCCAAGATTTTAAGTATCGAGATCTAGTGGGGCTGGCCGCTAAATTGTAGGCTGCCGCCGTCAACTTCTGTGAATGCTGGAAGGAGGAAGATTTGACCAGATTATGCAGCCTATTCTGGTATTCAAGCCCCCGGTTGGGCGTGGTTTGTAAGCATGGTAAATGCCGAGAAGTATCTGGTGATTCTCCTTCAGGATACATCCGGGATACATCTTGGTTGGACAATGGATAGTTATCCATAAAGATGTATCGGCATTTATGGATAACTATCCATTCAAGATACATTAATATAGCACTATAGGCTGAAGTTTCATCCATGTAAGTCTCCAGACGTGCCAATCGGCGGATTGCTGAGTATAACTTTTACTGTTCCTATGGCGAGCATAAAAAAGTCAAGGAGCACGAGAAGACAGCAAATACTTCTCATTTGTCAAAGTGTTACTCTCTAGTGATGATGAATTGAACTTGAAACTTGATGTCGCTTTCGCAGTTTACTCAAAAATGCAGAAGGAATTGTGTCCACCAGGAGCTGGCATCGTATTTCATAGAATGATCATGGAGAAGTCGTAGGCTTGTCGATGCGTCATTCATTTGGACAGGATGCTGAAGAGGAGCCGATAAATGTTCGAGATCAACAATTTGATAAGGAATCATGGGAGTGCGTGCATAAGGCTGGACGATACGTTCAACAACTTGACGAAGGCTCTGATTTGTGGCTGCGGCAAAGAGGTATTGAGAAGAAGGTAGGCTTTGATTTGTCCTTGATCGAGCAGGTGAAGTAGACAAATATTTATTGCCAACGGTGCATATTGTAGTGAGTATACACAAAGCAAGGCTGAATCTGCAAGGTTTCGGGGTGGTCGGACTCTGTGTGCACCCGCTGCGAAGAGAGTGTTGTCCTGCTGATGGAAAACGACGAAATGATGAGCTGTCAGGTGTTTCTATTATTCAAATCGAACAGACGCCCGAGGAACCTTAACTTCAGGTTTATCCGACCGTAACTTGTAACCTTGCTTGTCACTAAATATTGGCCATGGCCAGTGATGCGACTCCTTGCAGGAAATATGTTGAACATAACATCTTGTCAGTCCCATGTCTTTTTGCGCAACATAATAGTACATTAATGACCTGTCAGGATAGGGCGTTGACATCGAGGCAGTGCTGCGCAGTAGGCTATGCAAATTCTTGCTGGAAAACCTTGCTTCTCTTTAGTTCCGCAGCCTTAGCTTGTTATGGCTAAATATCGCACCCTACAACGTGCCTCTGCTGTACAAATCTGATGCCTTGGCTCGATATCACTATGCAAGTCACTTCTGTCCCGTTGACTCATCAGTGCTGCATGATATAGATGATATGTGCATGCTGTGGTTCCCCCCTTTATTATAATCCATCACAGGTACTGCAGTATTTCATGGCCTCCAGCATACGTCTTACCCTCAAGCGTCAGTTTGAATCCATTCCTCAGCCATCCATATGGCCAGTCCTCGACGTGCCACCTTCAAGTCTTCAAACTCACCAGAATCAGACTCTGATTCAGAATTTTCTTCAGTGTCATCACATAAAACTTCTTCAGCTCCAATGGAGAAATCTACTCCCGGTACCGAGCCCTTGAAAGGGATAAAATATGAGCATCAGTCGTCAGGCAACAATGACGACAACACGACGAAGAGTTTAGAATGTCTACGATCGTAAGTCGTGGTGTTGTATAATACATGTATGGACTTTAATCTCGCGTTTTCAGGCAAATAAAGGGAAAGTAAGTATCTGAAGCACTGATCATCTAAATGCTTGACAATGTACGTATTGTTTAGCGAGGAGTCAAACTACCCAGAACGCACCCAACACCTGGGAGAGATACACTTCGGTAGAGTACAACAAGTTGTCATTACTGGTACGTGATATCGATCTCCGTTCAGCACATAATGATGATTTTCCTCATGAAGCTATTCGGGCAACTTATATCACTCTTGGTCTATGACAGATCCCCGCTGGCTTCCATGCAGTGGTCAAGACCGACGGTGCAGAATACCAGACAAGCAATAAATCTGTGCATGTAGACCAGGCTATTGTCGAATGGCATGAGCGCATTCTTCTGTAAGTCGATCGATCTTAACCCTGTCTGTCCTGCAGGTATTGAGAAAGACTCTAGACCGGGGGAGCCATCCTCTAAAATTCGAGTCAGCATATTTGCATCATTTGAATTGGGTCCCATGCTCTGTCACGGCGAACTCCTCCGCACATTCGAGATCTCTGTCGGAGAATTATTGGATTGTAGCGAATCGTCGCATCGTCAGTGTTGTGTATCGCACATAATGCCTAACAGATGCTAACGAGTATCATAGCAATAATCTTCCAGCCAAAGCAGGAGGAAGTCGTATCCGCTTGTGATTCACTGTCCATGATAGTGGAGCGGCAACTTTCTGATCAAACTGATGCCGCAGTTCTTTGCCCTCTTACTACCATAAGTGATCGATCCTGTCTGACATTCTGATGCTGAGCGCTTGTAATGTGTAGCTTACATCTCGCAATATGGATGCGTTAGCACTAAGGACGGATGCCGGGCATCGTCTTCTCGCACGATACCACAGGACGCAGAACAGTAGAGATCTCAACCAATCCATAAAGCACTTCGAACGCGCCTTGAATCTCTGCCCCATGGACCATCCCTGCCATCCTGCAGCACTGTTCAATTTAGCCACCACAAAGTTTATTAGTTGCCAAGCTAACGGAACATATGTCGACCTCGACGTACTTATCCCTCTTTTTCAAGAAGCACTTGATTTACGTCCCACGGGTCATCCTGACCAACCTATCACCCAACTTCATTTTGCCATCTCTCTGTTGTCGCGCTTCGCAAAACGAGGATTTCAAACTGATGCCGACATGGCTGAAGAGTTACTGTGCGAAATCCTCAATGTCTGCCATGCCGACAGCCACATTTACAGAGCAGCTTTGATTGCAATCGAAACATTCGCTCTGCATTCTGCTGGAAGCATTGTTGTGAATGATCTTGAGCAGGAGCAGCCCGCCACATCCATGCTTCTGTTAGCGCCGGATCAACTTGCTGATCGAGCAAAGCGGTGTATGCAGAGAGATGTTGAACCCCATGAATTAGATGAAGTAATATCTTCTCATTATAATGCTGTGGGATACTATAACACCGGGCATGCTTGCCGATGGCAATTGCTGTGTAATCTTGCTGCCATGCTGCACGCTCGCTTCAAGCGTCGTGGCGGTGACAAGGACTTGGATCAGGCTATCGCACTTTACAAGGAAGTGCTGGCTATGTGCCCAGTCGGTCACACAGATCGGACCGTGCCATTAAACAACCTTGCAAATGGACTTTCCACGCGCTTTGAGCACCGAGGCAACGACAAAGACCTAGATCAGGCTATCACGCTTCATAGAGAAGCACTGGCTTTGCACCCAGTCGGTCACCCATATCGGTTTGCGTCATTGAACAACCTCGCGAATCGACTTTCCATCCGCTTTGAGCACCGAGGCAATGTCGAAGACTTGGATAAGGCTATCGCACTTCACAAGGAAGCGCTGGCTTTGTGCGCTGGGGTTTTCACAGATCGGTCAATGTCATTAAATAACCTTGCGAATAAACTGTCCACCCGCTTTGAGCACCAAGGCAATGCCGAAGACTTGGATCAAGCTATCGCACTTTGCAGGGAAGCGCTAGCTCTGTGTCCGGTCGGTCACACATATCGGTTCATGTCATTAAACACCCTCGCAACTCAACTCTCCACTCGCTTTAAGCACCAAGGCAACGACGAAGACTTAGATCAAGCTATCGCCATTAACAGGGAAGCACTGGCTCTCTGCCCGGTCGCTCACACAGGTCGCTCCCTGTCATTGAACAACCTCGCGACTGTGCTCTCTATCCGCTTTAAGCGCCGAGGCAGCGGCGAAGACTTGGATCAAGCTATCACACTTCATAGGGAATCGCTAGCTTTGCGCCCTGTCGGTCATATAGATTGGTCTATGTCATTGAATAACCTTTCAAATCAACTCTCCACCCGCTTTGAGCAGCAAGGCAACGACGAAGATTTGGATCAGGCGATCACACTTCATAGTGAAGCACTGGCTTTGCGCCCAGTTGGTCACGCAGATCGGTCGATGCCATTAAATGACCTCGCAAATCAACTTTCCACACGCTTTGAGCACCAAGGGAATGAGGAAGACTTGGATCAGGCTATTGCACTTCATAGAGAAGCGCTGGCTTTACGGCCAGTCGGTCACACAGATCGCTCCAAGTCATTAAATAATCTTGCGTCTGGACTCGTCACCCGCTTTGCGTACAAACGCAATAGAGAAGACCTCGACGAGTCACGAGAGCATCTATGCTGCGCATTGACTCTGTTGACGCAACATGATCCTCTTCAATTATTGGTTCATCAGTCGCTAGCTGCGGTTCATCTATCATTCCTTCAATCAGGGCTTGATGGCACTGGCATGGGCAAAGATATGAACAACCTGAATGCTGCCATGTATCATTTCAAAGCAGCAGCAAATGTTGTCTCTGGAGGCTTACTGCATCGCCTGCAAGCAAGTCTGAGCTGGGCTCGTTATGCTGATAATTATTCACATGATACTCGACTGGAGGCTTATGCAACTTCTATGCGACTTCTGGACGCGCACACGTCTGTGACAGCTTCAGTATCATCTCGTCGTGATGCCATAAAGGGATCCCCATGTACCGTAATCGGTGTGCTTGCTGCATCATGTGCTCTTCACAGTGGTGACGTGCATCGTGCTGTTGAATTTTTGGAACAAGGCAGAACCGTCATCTGGACTCAGATGATACGCCTTCGCACGCCTCTTGACAGGCTCCAGACTTGCGACGATCATGCAGCGACTCTGATGAAGAGATTCAGAGACCTCAGCTCTATCCTTGATAAACCTCCTGCGAACCATTCAAAAGAGACCTCAAGAGCCGATGTAGAAGCAGAAGAAATCCGGTATAGACGTCTAGTGGGGGACTGGAATGGAATTGTAGAAGAGATCCGGAAGATCGACGGCTTCTCTCACTTCCTACTCCCCCCTATGTTCTCTGATCTTCAAGATGCAGCTCATGATGGGCCTATCATCATGCTCATCGCAGGCGCACCGTCTTGCAACGCCATTATTATCCCGCACAAGCAACCTCCGATTAACATTCAACTCCATACCGATTTATCAAAACTCACCAAATTGGTATTCGCATTCCAAAATGCAGTTGAAAAAGAGGCCGGTCCCAAAGGGAGCCAAACAGCGCTGATAAAAGCTTTGAGGGAGTTGTGGGCTGACGTCGTCTGCCCGGTGGTCGAGAATCTGGGTAGATTTGTACGACCAGGTTCCCGAATATGGTGGTGTCCGACGTGTTTTTTTCAATTTCATGCCGTTGCACGCTGCTGGCGAGTACAGGGCAGATGGAAAGTCCCTTTCACAGCAGTATATCTCTTCATACACACCATCTCTCACTGCGCTGATCAACGCTCGCAGAAGTCATGACAGACCCCCGTTGGCCCCCTTTGTTGCCATTGGTCAGAATCGCCCAGCCGGTGCCTTGTTCACTTTGGATGCTGTAGAGCCTGAGCTGGAATTGGTGCGGAGACTTTTGCCCCCTCCCCCAACAGTTTCCTTCTCTAAGTTAACCAGTGTTGATGCCACGAAATCGAGAGCACTGTGCGCATTACAAGACAATACTTGGCTTCATTTCGCGTGTCATGGGAAACAGAATCACGAACCCTTCGAATCGGCGTTTCTCATGCGCGACCAGCCGCTTTCGCTCCTCGACATCACTCAAATGGATCTTTCTCAGCATCAATTTGCATTTCTTTCTGCCTGTGAAACCGCAGTCGGTTCCCAGAGTACGCCCGACGAAGTGATACACCTAGCGGCAGGCCTGCAATTTGCCGGGGTTAGGAGTGTCATTGGGACATTATGGAAGGTCAACGACAGTACTGTGCAGCGCTTAGTTGAAGCATTCTACCAAAACTTTTGTGGGGATGGAAAAATGAATCCCAAACGAGCTGCCTGGGCGCTGCACCAGGCAGTCCATTCGTTGGCTTGTGACAAAGAAATACCATTGGACCAGCGCATAGTGTTCATGCATATCGGCATATGTGCGTACTTTTAGCTTGTTGATTAATTTGTTGATCTGACGAAGCATTCAGCCATGGTTACTATATAATGTACATTTCATCTTTCAGACTTCGGGACTGCGTACCACCTGCCCTGTGCACCCAATGCAGACTTCTATTTATATTCGCAATCTGTTGCCTCAAAGCTAGATGTGACCGTTTTATGCTCGTGAGTCACTGCCGTCTGCACTACTGAAGTCAACGTTTTGAAATTCTAATATCTTTAAAATAGTGCTACCAGTGTTATTATCAACATCTAGGTCTGGAAGAGGACAACGACTTCCACTCTGGTGGGAAAGGGATCGCGGAGATATCTTGTTTCCTGCTCTTGCGCTATCGTGAAGTGCAACAGTAAGTGCGTTAGATTTTGTGTCAATTATAACCTGCGCTTGAGAGTTGACTGACTCGCAGCGACTCGACTCATTCTGACATCCAAATGTATATTGCAGAGCCATTGATCATTCTTTGCGAGATATTTTGTTGTAGTGGACGCAGACGCAGGTGATTCTGAGATGGAAGATAAGATGGTTCATAATTTACAGTTTGGCCACTGGTAGTAATTCTGAGCGCGTTTATTGTGTCAATGCGAGCTCTTGATTTTACGAAGTTGTATTACTTGGAGAACAGTATCATCTAGGGTGGGTACTATCATGAGCCCATAAATCTACCTCACATGTGGCGACTGTCCCAGCCACACGAGGGATACACAAGTTGAATTGAAGATTTGGAGCAAGTGTTCGTCATCTGACAGAATGATCAGATTTCTGCGGCGCCCACAATGCTGTAGAGAGCAGGTAAGTTTGATAGCGATGGTAACAAAGAACATGCTGTATAACACATAGCCACGAAGGGGATATATAAGTAGAGGTTGCCTATCAACCACGGTATCTTGTCCTTGATAACATTCGTGTAACGTGAATACCCAACACGAGCATCCTGCGCTGATGAACTGATAATTGGTCCAAGCAGGAAAAGTACAGTGGCTCTCGAGACTGGCGACGTCAGACCTATATCATAGGAGGACGACTCACCGAACACATCCAATCAACCACCATGGCTTCCAGCTCGAAACGGCCTGTTATGACAGTGAGTGAATCGGTTCTGACACCAGTGATGACCTTGAAGGGTCATAAACTGTATTCATACTCCTCTGACGATGGTACTCATCGCGAGCTCAAATACGTTCAATACATTTCCTATTTCCCCGACGGCAAGCAAATGATCAGTGGATCATCGGATAAGACAATCCGGCGATGGGACATGCGGGAGGGCAAGGAGATCAAGGAAGCTCGGGAAGTTTGCGAGGATTATATATATGGAGTGGGGGTATCGAGGGATGGTCGATGGGTCGTCACTGCAGTTGATGGGGTGCTCAAAGTATGCGACGTCGAGACGGGGGTCGTAAGAATATTTGATGCAGGCGCTGACAGTGGAATCAACTGCATGGATATCTCGGCGGACAGTATGCTGCTAGCGGGTGGGTCATGGGATGGGACAGCGCGGATATGGAGCTTGGACACTGGCCAAATCGTGGCTGGTCCATTCAAATTTGGTGATCCATATTGTCATGGAATAGAAGTTCGACTCTCGCAAGAGCCTCGGAAGTTGGCGGTGACATCATGGGTTAACAATCCCCAGAAGCAACACCTTCAGGTGTGGGATGTCCAGGCACAGAAATTGGTTGTCACTAGAAAAATGACTAATAATCGCTTCCTGCTTCATCTTCCGGTAATTTGGACAACAAAAGGGAAATCCATCATAACCATATCCAGTCCAAATTTCACATCATACGACCATATCTATGAGTTCGACGCGTCGACGCTCAAGACTGTCGGAGATTCCTTCCAAGGCCACACAGGCAACATCTGGGGGCTAGCACTCTCATTTGACTGTCTTCTTCTCGCCAGTGCTTCTAACGACCACACCATCAAGCTCTGGTGCTTCGAGTCTCGCCATCTCCTTGCCTCATTCGACGTCCAAAATCCTTATTCCCTAATACTCTCACCTGACTCGTGCCAACTGGCTTACACCACGTTTGAGGAGCCCAATATATATGTATGCGATATTCCAGCCAACATCCTCGTTAGTATCGGACTCGCAAAAGAGGTATATATTCACCCATTCATAGTAGTAATTTGCACACTAAGTTATCTTCTAGACGAGCGGACACCTCACTAAGCTACTCAATGTACGTGATCCTGCTATTTCACTCATCTACACCACTCCATTCTGTATCGCAGTCTGACGCAACACGTCATCCCGTGCGCTGTAAACCAGCAATATCAGTCATACCTCTCGCCCCCTGCCCTCTAGCAGTTACAATTCAACCCTCGCAACCCATCTTCCTTGGCTTTTTGCGCAAACTGCTCCCTTATCGTACGGACACAGTTCATCCCATTCACTCCAACGAGTCCCGTAATCCCCTGGACGTATGTTTCATTCATCTGTCTTATTCACAGTTAACTCGACGGTCCCCTTGCAGTTCCCCGCTACAGGACCCTTACCTCGCTCAATTGTAGATCACAATGACAATGTGAGCAAGGAACACCATTATCACATATTTTACTGACATTTGTTTTAGTTTCTGCCACCGACCACCCAATCCTCTCCCCCTATTGCCACAACCTTCAAATCCCTCCTACACAGCCTGTCAACCTGGCGGCCCCTTCAGACAGGTTATGGCTCGTCGGCTACCGTTGACGTTCCTCTCGCACATGGTGTAGAGGTATGCACAGCCCATTTCTCTCGCTTCTCAGTGCTCATACATCAATTTATAGCGGAACGTTGCAGCAGGTGGTACATGCCGCAGAGACGATGAATGGATAACTGAGGAAGAGTATGTCTCTTCTCCTCCTTCGCCTAATTCAGATTCGCAACAGCAGACCACGGCAAGGCAGGTCAAGACCAATACAAGCGAGCATGGAAGCGGTCGGTTTTGTTTTTGCTTTTAGGTTGACTTTGGGAACGGTACTGTGACGAGTCCGTCGTGGACATCTCGCTAATTAAAACATGCTTGTATCTACAGTGTATATTTACAGGTTGGATATCACAGCATATTCCTGTTTGCATGCAACGCTTTCTTGAGCAAGTATATCCAAAGACAAGGAGGTAAGGTGTACCCATACACATAAATTGCTCTTCGTCTTCACTAGCATCCTCAGGGTGAGTCATGACACGAACACCACATCTGAGATTTGAGCGTAGCTGATATCGACCAACACTTTTGCAGGGATGGACAGATGAATTCCAAACGAGCTGCCTGGGCGCTGCACCGAGTAGTCCATTTGTTGGCTCGTGACATCGTGCATATTGGCATATGATTGATTCCGTGCGTCCTTCCCACCTTGCATTCTTGAAACAATCTGATGACTTCGCATTGTAGCATCTAGTCATGGCCACACGCAATCTGTTGTCGAGGACTTCGATGTTCCAGACTTTGAGACTATATATTTCCACAATATGCACACCCAATTTTAACTTCGATTTGTATTTCCAGTTTGTTGACTCGGAGCTAGAGGTGATCGATCCTAAGGTGCACCGATGATTTGTGGGTAAGAATGAAGCTGCACAACACTGATCCAGCGTACAAGACACAATTTGCGATGAACGTGATGGTCACCCCAAGTGTCTGGGCGTTGGATGCACTCCCACTCGTCCAGTGCTTATTATGGAGAGCCTGAGCTTGGCCCCGGCAGGATAGACACACCATAGACGAATGAAAATAATGTTCGTTCTCTTTTTGCAACAGACACTAAAAGCATTTTGTGTAAAGCCGATAGTCAGAATGATGCACATTCGTCAGCCTCGATCCCACAAGGTAAAGTCGATCGAACTGATCGATGTAGGGGCCACAAAAGCCAAAAGGGTACATGCAGTGCGGTCGTTCTCAATAGTTACAAAGCTGAATGACTTGGAGAACGGTATCATTTGGGGTGGGTATGATGAGTTCACGATATACCCTACATGGTGCGACTGGCCGAGCCACTGTGACTACATGAGGGATACACAAGTTGAACCAAAGATTCGAAGCAGGTATTCGTCATCTGACAGAATGATCAGATTTCTACGGCGCCCACAATGCTGTAGAGAGACAGGTAAGTTTGACAGCGATGATTAAAAAGGACATGCTGTATAACGCATAGCCATGAAGGGGATATAAGTAGCAGTTGCCTATCAATCACGGCATCATTCATCGTCCTCGTCCTTGATAGTGTTCGTGTAACGTGAATACCCCACACGAGCATCCTGCGCTGATAAACTGACGATTGGTCCAAGCAGGAAAAGTACAGTGGCTCTCGAGACTGGCGACGTCAGACTTAGAGCATAGGACGACCTCTCACCGAACACATCCAATCAACCGCCATGGCTTCCAGCTCGAAACGGCCCGTTATAGCGGTGAATGAATCGGTTCTGACACCGGTGATGACCTTGAAGGGACACGAACCGCATTCGTACTCCTATGGCAATGGTGATCATCACGAGCTCAAATACGTTCAACACATTTCCTATTGTCCAGACGGCAAACAAATGATCAGCGGATCAATGGATAAGACGATTCGGCGATGGGACCTGCGGGAGGGTAAGGAGATCAAGGAAGCTCGGCAAGTTTGTGAGCATCATATATTTGGAGTGGGGGTATCAAGGGATGGTCGATGGGTCATCACTGCAGTTGATGGGGTACTCAAAGTGTGCGAGGTTGAGACGGGGGTTGTGAGAATATTTGGCGATGACAATTGGATCTACTGCATGGATATCTGTGCGGACAGCACGTTGCTAGCGGGTGCGTCACCAGATGGGACAGCGCGGATATGGAGCTTGGACACGGGCCAAATCGTGGCTGGTCCATTCAAAACTTGTGAGCATTATGCAATATTCGAAGTTCGATTCTCGCAAGACTCTCGGAAGCTGGCGATGACATCACAAGATGTCAGGTCCCAGAAGCAATGCCTTCAGGTGTGGGACGTCCAGGCACAGAAATTGGCTGGCGATAGAGAGATGTCTATGAACCTTTCACCGGTAATTTGGACAACAAAAGGGAAATTCATCATAGCCATATCCAGTCCAGATCTCACATCGGATGACCATGTCGATATCTGCGAGTTTGACGCGTCGACGCTCAAGACTGTCGGAGATTCCTTCCAAGGCCACACAGGCAACATCTGGGGCTAGCACTCTCATTTGACTGTCTTCTTCTCGCCAGTGCTTCTAACGACCACACCATCAAGCTCTGGTGCTTCGAGTCTCGCCATCTCCTTGCCTCATTCGACGTCCAAATCCTTATTCCCTAATACTCTCACCTGACTCGTGCCAACTGGCTTACACCACGTTTGAGGAGCCCAATATATATGTATGCGATATTCCAGCCAACATCCTCGTTAGTATCGGACTCGCAAAAGAGGTATATATTCACCCATTCATAGTAGTAATTTGCACACTAAGTTATCTTCTAGACGAGCGGACACCTCACTAAGCTACTCAATGTACGTGATCCTGCTATTTCACTCATCTACACCACTCCATTCTGTATCGCAGTCTGACGCAACACGTCATCCGGTGCTCCGTAAACCACCAATATCGGTCATACCTCCCGCCCCCCGCCCTCTAGCAGGTACAATTCAACCATCCCGACCCATCTTCCTTGGCTTTTTGCGCAAATTCCTCCCTTCTTCCCGTACGGACACAGTTCGTCCCATTCGCACAAATGAGCCCCGTAATCCCTTGGACGTATGTTTCTTTCATCTGTCTCATTCACAGTTAACTCGATGGTCCCCTTGTAGTTCCCCGCTACAGGACCCTTGCCTCGCTCAATTGTAGATCAATATGACAATGTGAGCGAGGACCGCCATCATTACATATTCTACTGATATCTTTTTCTAGTTTCTGCCACCGACCACCCAATCCTCTCCCCCTACTTCCACAACCTTCAAATCCTTCCTACACACCCTGTCAACCTGGCGGCCCCTTCAGACAGGTCATGGATTGCCAGCTATCGTCGATACTCCTCTCGCACATGGTGTAGAGGTATGCACAGCCCATTTCTCTCGCATCTCAGTGCTCATACATCAATTTTTAGCGGAACGTTGCAGCAGGTGGTACACGCCGTAGAGATGATGAATGGATACGCGAAGAAGATTATGTCTCTCCTCCTCCTTCGCCTAATCCAGATTTGCAACAGCAGACTACGGCAGGGCAGGTCAAGACCAATACAGGCGAGCATGGGAGCGGCCGGTTTTGTCTTTGCTTTTAGGTTGACTTTGAGAACGGTACCGTGACGAGTCCGTCGTGGATATCTCGCTAATTAAAACATGCTTGTATCTATAGTGTATATTTACAGGTTGGATGTCACAGACAGCGTATTTCTGTTTGCATGCAATGCTGTCTTGAGCAAGTATATCCAAAGACAAGGTGCACCCATACACATAAATTGCTCTTCGTCTTCACTAGCATCCTCAGGGTGAGTCATGACATGAACACCACATCTGAGATTTAAGCGTTCCAGCTGATATCGACCAACACTTTTGCGGGGTGGAAAGATGAATTGATAACGAGATGCCCGGGCGCTGCACCGAGCAGTCCACTCGTTTGCTCGTGACAAAGAAACACCATTGGACCAGCGCATATTGTTCGTGCATATTGGCATATGATTGATTCCGTGCGTCCTCCCACCTCGGACAACCAGGACATGAACAAGGCCACATCGTTAGAGGATGATGATTTGTGGCGACCAACAAGCGCTGTGCTGACTGGTGATTGCTAATAGGACTTATTCTTGCAGAGGATTGTTCTTTATTCCCACTTGCTTCGACAGGCAGGGGATATTGTCAACAGCTAAGTGCTCACGCTAATTGCAGGTGTTTTCAAGCATCAGGCACGGACTTGCAGTTCGAGGTGACCCAGATGTCAAGACAGCGTAAGTAGCCCAATCTATCAGGGTGAGCACTATCTCAGGTAACATCGTGATAAGCTTCAAACCATCGGACTGCCAGATAAACGCTTTCGATGTCAGTGGAAGAGGGATTCTTTGGAAACTTCTACACGGACTGCTTATAGGTCGATAAAATCAGTACTTTATATTAGATCTGAAGACAGCACGTACTGAGCACGCCTTGAAATGTACATGTCTAGCGCCGGTGGACGACACCAAGCGCTAAGCTCTGGGATCTGCATCGAGCCCTTGTGAAACAATGCTACCTTCTCACATGCGTTATAGCCATGACGAATGTCAAAGATAAGTGGCACCAGTAAATCAATGCAAGGTCTTAAACATACATCTCGTGCGTATCGCATCTACAACATCCTTCTGCACAACATCAAAAGCTGTACACGCTAACCAATCTCGACCCCGCCAACTTTAACCACAATCTTGATCGGAAAAGGAGATATCCCTGTCGCGTTCGTGATGAGAGGAACCGCCGTGCGCCCGCGCTCCGACGAGGTATGTGTTAGCATCACGTTCAAAGCCTTGAAAAGTGCCGATGCAATGTTTGCATTGAATTCTTGCCGATCTGTTATCAAGAATGAGCATGACGGAAAAATCGCATCAGATTGAGAAATTACTCGCCTTCCGACTTGGGTTGTCGCATCTCGACGTTCACGATCCTGTCGTGTGATGTACACGTCAGCCGCTTCCGCTCAACATGAATCACCAAGGAAAACCCACCATTGTTCCCATGGTACTTCCTCCTCCCCGACGTATACCTGAAACCAGGACTTCTTTGCTCTTTTCTCCGAGAATGTTACTATGATCTGGATGAAGAACGAGTGAATGGGGAATGTCTATGTATGCAGCCAGAAAAAAAAACTCACTTGACCACGCTTGTTCGCTCCACTTTCGATGCCTTTCCAAAAGATATCCACTTTTTCAGTCACGAGGTGCTCCATCTCAGGATCCGAAACGCCTGGCTGTAACGACGACTTCAGTCAATGAGTGCTGGTGTAAAACGTGAAAAACTCACCATGGTGACATCAAGCACTTCGAATGTTTGAGGCTTCACGGTGCCAAATAGCCTGTGGAAAAGTATCGAGTGGAGGATTGCGGTGAGAACCTCTTTGGCGCTGTGTCTGTCGAGGATCTGGGCTAGCATCGCATCAAAGGGTTTGGCAGTGAGAGAACGAGCGGGTACGCACGACATCTATCGTCACGGTGGGGAAATTGGCATTCATAGTACCTGGGTCCTGCAGGCAGACTGCAGAGTATGGACGGAGTTAGTGGAGCATGAAACAAACAAACGATTCGCAGTCGATCGCCTAGGTCGTTCGTTGGAATCTAAAAGGGATTGTGGATCCCGCTCTTACGTTGACGGTAATCTTATCTTGGCTCAAACTAATTTCATTCTCCGTGTCAATTTCGATATTTAATTTTTGATCACAACGTTCTGCACATATTTTATGTACATATTTCTCCCGTGGATCAACGGGAACGTTTCAAGCTGATGAACGTACAAGATCAAACGCCGCGTAGGTCGAACCAAGCAAAAGTCCTAGGTCGTTACATCAACACCCGCGTGCATGATACTATTTCGGAGATGCACATACCAAAAAGAGGGAGTTCACCAAGTATGCCACCGCGTGTATTACGCTACGTGGTCATCATTAGCAGGTGATTTCAAAGGATCGAGTCCCACGTACTTTGGCTGGATCTCCGGTGGTGTACCCTAGAGTATACAGAACACGGGACAGTGCCCATAAACCGCTTGCGTATCCAGCAAAGACGGGATACTTCATCGAAGTCACCAAAGTGCTAAACCAAGCCTCAGATGAGAGAGGTCACACATGGATTCAGCAAAATTCTCACCTTATGATGATAAGAGGCATGTGCTCGATTGTGTTTTGGTGGGCGCCTAAGAATCATCGTGAGTAAGAAAGGGATCATGTGTTCGGTGAATGACGATTTACGCTGGGCGCAGTTAAAGAGGAAGGCTTCTTTAGAAGCATCAGCTTCTGCTTTCTCGGCATACACTGCAAAACACCCCTGTTGAGCATTCCGACATCACTTAGTAGCAACAGCACGCACGTTGAGGGTACTTGATCCCGGATTTCTTTCTGTGCTTGCCTACAACTATTGCCTGCCAGCCAAGAACCCAAGCGGTAGTTACCAGTCCGGCTGCTACATAACCGAAACTTGAAAATAGTGATATTGAGACGCCATTCTGCGAGTGCGGAAGGACTCACCTGGGGGGAAAAGCGACAGATGAAGACATGATGGTAGTTTGGAAAGAACTTGTGCACGTAGGACAGCTTATAGTGACACGCCCCGACAGGGGACGCGTAATCATATCAGTCAGCTTGCCGGAAAACAACGCGTACACGCAACTACTATAGTCTAAATTTAGCAATTTGGATTCAAGTCTGAACGTCGCTTTTTAAATTAATGAGCCAACAGACAACGCAAAGATACTATAAAATGTGTTGCTACATAGCGAGGAAGATAGTACAGCTCTCCGATAAAGACAGGTGTGGAAATGATTGACAGCCAGAGATGGACATATATAAAAGAAGATTCACAATACGAAGATGGGGTCAAAAAGGGTGAACTAAACCATCTGTGACATCGCTTCAGATGGATGGGAGGAAGCTTTCGGGGAGATCGACGAAGGAGATGGAGAGTGAGGAGTCGCCACGTCTACATCTACCTCATACTCCACAGTTTTTTCGACGTTGATTTCCAGCTGTAGTAAAAGTCAGATAAATCTTATGGTCAAGGGTGAAAAGCTGGACCTTGGCTGCAACAGCATCCATCCGCGACTGCAGCGAAAATGAGCTAGACCAATCATTTATTTTACGGTCACTTACACAGTCATGGTTTTGGCGGAAGCGACTTGATGGTGTCAAGCCCGGAAATGCTAAAGGGAGTTCTGCCGACAAGCCTCTCTGGGCTCGCTCTTGCCGGAGTTGCTTCCGAGCGTTCAATCTGATCAAAGCGAATATTGGATGTGTATACGAAAGGTTTATAGCATACGTACGTGGCCAACAGGGAGTTCGCATACACTACAGATCAAAATATGAATCAGTAATTATCATTTCGTTTGAATAACTCGAATGCAACGCACGTTTACTAATGACGAAATGCAGCCCCATGAAAATGAGGTTGGTAGGCATTACAAGCCACTGTAGGGTCAGCACAAATTAGGGATACAACAGGAAACGAATGACTATTAGGCTCACGCAAACCATGGAGATGACAGTTGCGGCACTGGTACAAATAGTGAGCAACTGATAGTCTCCCTTCGACCAAGCTTCAGCATTACCTGGTGAGAGAATTATTCTCCAATGTATATAAAATGACGGAATTTATGACATAGTCCATACTGTTCGTGTAAGCCTTTGTGAATGTGCATGGGGAATGAACTCACCTTGAAGAAGCTTTGCGGTTAGATCGCAGCGAGTGACAAAGGAATACCGCAATGAGAATGTCGACGAGAGATGACAGTGCGAGACCCAACGTGAAAACCCACTACATGCCCATAACGTTACAGGGCACACTATGACACAAAGTGTGGCGCTTACTCGGAACTCCAGCTTGAACTCTGTAAAGGTCTTCAGATGAATCCTATGGACCGTTATGATTGTTGCGTAGCATCACATAACGTGCACTTACATTTCGGCCGTCGTTACTACGGCGACAAAGATAGATCAGCGCGTCGTATTGTGGTCAAGAATGCTGACCTACCAGAGGCGGAACCTAAAGACAGCCATTAATCCCAAGAGCTCTGAAGAAGAACGAGGCGACTCACATAACCGCAAAAATGCGAAGACCAACTACAGCGAAGGGCTTTCAGCACTCATTCAATTTTAAGAAGGAAAGACCTACGATAGGGCCGGTGATGCGCCAATCACTATGGCTCACTGCAACGGAACGTGGTATGCGCTTAATACAACGATCAATCGGAGAGCTTACGTTTATGTATGCGATGAGCAAAAAAGCTGCGCGATTGGCGTAAATCTCTGGCCACGTATCACCAAAAAGACTTACCAGTGGACAATGAACGTCAATATCGCCTGCAAATTAGTCAGAAAGTTTGATCGTGTTTGAGAATGACAAGAGTCTGAGACTTACAGTCAGTGCTATTGTCATCTGACACAAAACAAAAATCAGGGCGTGTGGAGACTGGGATCAAATTTACGCACCGCCACGGTGCTACACAAGGTGGTCAAACAGAGAATAGACAATTGTGATCAGAAAGGACGTACTCAGGTATATCATTTATCTTCGATGCATCGCCAAAGTTCTGTATTAGATAAATCCATATCGACGCACAAACCAGTGCGGTATGAACACTGTCCAAAAGCCTGAACATGCGGTGACTTGGTATTAGTACTTGGAAGTCATGTTCGGTGAAGGTACCCACCATATCGCAGCAACCTTCCAGTCGTCCAAGGTTCAGCAAAACATTAAATCATCATGGTATATCACTCACAACGGCCTTCCTCCAGGCTAGATCTGTAGGGTATAGCTTAATGTAAATGAATGATTGTACTGTAACGATCCCCGAAAGTCTAAAATGTGGCGAGAAATCAAACAGAATTAGTGGTATAGACAAAATTAAGTCACGACTTACGCAGCGGCCACAAAACCACCCACAAGAATGGCGCCATACGTTGCAGGCACGCTAACCATAATGCACAAGAAGTCTGTGTGTAAGAAGAATAACCGTGACTGGAATAAGAGAAACGACGAAAGACGGCACAAAGGATGAAGAAACAGCGAGCGTGAGGGGAAACGACAAGAGGTTGAAAACGGGCGAAAAGCACGGGTTTAATACGGTGGTCATAAGGCCCAGCATTCCAAGAGGTAATACGATCCAACGGCATCCGTGTAGGCCCCAGCAAAAATGAATGAGGAGACATGAATTCTTGCTTGTCCTTTTGTGGACATTTACGTAAATGAACTCTAACTGTCGCATCTTTTTGTTCCAGGTTCAGATTGGATTCAAAGTGTTTTCTGACAGGTTGATATGATCCGTCGCGCCCAATAATTAACATGCCGGCACTTCATAAAATAAACGCGACCTGGAACACCTTTCTCAATGATTCAAGCTTCAAAACTTCACGGATCAGCTGCCTATCTGTTCAGACTCTGGCGGGCTCAGCATCAAAGGGCCAGCGGTGTCTAGTCTAAGGCCATGCGACCTTCGCCTATGGACGGCATGTATATACCACGTTCCTTGGACTATGCCGAAAAGAGCGCTCTTCTTTTTGATTATGTTATGTTAATCAACGTGTCCCGATAGGTTCGGCAACCACTGATCATCATCACGGTAAACTCGAACCAAAAATGAATCTAGCAACAGAACGTTTGTTTGTGGGAGTCGGTCAGTTTTTAAAATAAATAGATCATAGTCCAACACGATTTTGGGTCTGGATCGTCGGATGGCGGCGTTGAGGCGAAGCGGGGATGACAACTGACAAGCACCAAATTTTGATTCGAGGCCCAATACTAGCTCCGAGGACTTGGGTGTTCGTACATTATGTAGCTGACATGTTTGAAAGGTTGCCCTGCATATAGGTACTTCTGTCATTTCAGTCCCTGCATAGCATTGCAGGTGTGACCCTCGAAAAGTACGTTAATCCCGGCCTGGGACCGCCGATCAGAGGGACTCATGGGAATAACTATACCAAAGGACCTTTAGAATGTCCACCTCACCCCATGCATAATCTGTAACACCATAACCCTTGATCTCTGTGCAGTGCTATGTAAAATGTAGTTCGACGGCCTGCGACTGGACCACAGAAGACAAATAACTATTGAGACGCACAAAACCACAGAGGAAACAGTAGATGAAGTGATTTACTTGTCCTGTGGACGGACGCGATTGCGACGGAAAATTCGACTTCGACCAAGACGTAAGGAGAGACTGCAAAAGATAGGAGATCTCGCGCAGCACGCACGAAGAGGAAGCGGTAATATAATTATTAAAGTGCGTTGACCGTAATGTGGTCCGGATCAGCTGTTGGGGGTGGACTTTCCGAAGGGATATGCGGACTTTGTTTCGCAAAGCCTTCGACTACTTCATACTCGACGGTCCGTTCTACATTGATTTCCAACTGGATATAAAGTTGGTCTCACATAATGTTCATGATAGCTCTGACACGTTACCTTGTTTCCAGGATCCAAACGTTTCTTGTACCGTTAGCGTACATTTATGCTATCGTAAAAGAAACTCACCGAATATTTGGACTGATACCTGCCTGGAAAAGCAACCGGAAGTTCGTTTGAATGGGCTCCACGCGCACGTTCTTCTTGAAGTTGTTTACGGGAATTCAAGCTAGAACACGCAGATCAAACTTCGTTCTTAATTTGGCCGCACTGCTCACGTTGCTAGTAAAGAGTTAGCGTAAACTGAATGCCGAAAACCGTTTCAGTGACAGAAAACAGTCGAACCATAAAACACCCACGTTTGCTGAGTACAAAATGGACCCCAATGAAAACGAGGTTGTGCATAGTCGCCCACTGTCATCACTCAGTGTCAAACAGGAGACGAGCACGTCGCAGTGGATGACTTCACTTACGCATACCATCGAGATAATGGTGGCGGTACTATGGATAACAAACGATACATGAATGAACTATCATGGACGAAACAAGATTCACGCACCTCGTGAGCGCATTATTCTCCAATGTATACAAGATAATGATGTTAATTATACGGTCCACGCTGTTCGCGTGCGTGAGTTTGTGTTCAGGCCGCCTAATGATGCGCGACTCACTTCGAATACGAATTACGACTTCTGCGTAGCGTGAGGCACAGACCCGAAGTAACGAGGATGTCCACAACACATGATAATGAGAGACCCGCGGTAAACACCCACTAGTAGGGAAAATTCCGAGATTATCGAAAGGCCCAGGGCATAAAAGACGAGAACTTGCGTCAATGCTTTGTCTGAATGCAGTCATTGTCTGCAATTCGATCCTGAATATCTCTCGGTTTCGTTTATTTGCAAAGGAGTACGGCGCAAGAACTCACATCTTAACAGTGGTGACTAGACGCAGAGACATTACACAGTGGATTCAGGTCCGCATACAAGGGAACTCACTAAGTGCAGCAACTTAATGACATAGCCTAGTGAGCAAGAGCACACAAAAGCCTCAGGTTAACTCACCCAGTCGCAAGAAAGCGCATAAAACCTGCAGCACGATCAGTCATGTCATTCTGAACATCGGAAGATGAGGCTTACAATAGGAACACTGATCCGGCAATCGTTGTGCGTTACTGAAGTTCATTAGGTGAATGACAAAATCTCATAGTATGAAGCGAGGCTTACACTTGTAAATACGATGCGCAAAGAAACTGAAATGGTGTTGGTATACAAGATATATGCATGATAACAGTAGCATACCAGTGCACGATCAAAGTAAGAAAAGCCTGGTTTTGTGAGATTACAATGGCGCGTGACGAAATATGCAACTCACTGTCAACGCAATGGATGCCGCCAATGGCCTGAAAGACGAACAAGAAATCAGGCGTGAGAAGGTCCGATAAGTGAAAAAAACACGGACGGAGGTATGTTGTCTATCTTGCTCTCATCACCGAACCACTGTATCATGAAAATCCATGATGCCATACACACGAGGCAGGTATGGATGGAGTCTAATATCCTGGACAAGATGCTCTATTCAACATTTTGCAAGGAACAGACAAGCGACGAAACAAACCAAGTCACAGCAACCTGTCCCATGTCAAAATATAAACAGTCAGCGTGCACACTCTAGAACAGACCAAGAAGCCATACTCACAATCATTTTCGTGATGCGTGTATCATTGGGGTATTGTCTGATATAAGTAAATGTCTGCGCCGTTATGACCCCAGATAATCTGCGCGATGCAAAATTTGGTCATATGCCAGTAGGGCTAGTCAGAATGAGCGTTACATACACCGAAGCAAGAAAACCACCCAGAAGAACAGGGCCATATACTGTTGATAAACTGCCCATGATTTGAAGGGAACGAAGGAAGGAGGGGACGGAAAAGCGTGCAGCAGCAAAGATTTATCATGATGATATATATGAAGATTGGACCATTGATGACCATATTTCCGATATACGGTCAAGAAATTGATTCCAGACCGTAGCGGTTGCAATTGTAATGGTGGTGGTATCGATCATCGCTCATCCAGGCAACTTGCACCTCCACATTTGGAAATTTCTAATTTCTTACCATCAAAACTCATTGATCAGCTGGTGATAAGTGTCTCTAGCTATGCAACCCACTTCAAAACAATGATATTTCGGCTCCGAAGCGCTACATGGCAAGTAGATGATAGACGCACGGACGACGAGTTATTATAATTGATAGTGCATATGGCCCTTGAACTTTTCTTGAAAATGAGGGTGTAGAAAGTCACCACGAAGATCAGAAGAAACCACAAGCTGGTCTTGCATATAAGATGTGTATTTTTACGAGTGCAGACCCTGTTCCAAGGAATGTCCACAAGTAGGACAGCAAATGCTGATATGTGCGCCGATCTCCAACTGCTGCAGAATGAAAAGCTGTCAAATCACAGCGGAAGATTCCATTAACGTAAAGAAAAGAATAAAGTACAAGTGCGAGCTCCGAGTCCGTCCAGGAAATATGTAATAACAAATTAGTCATATACTATAGAAGCAATAATTATGGCACTACACATATGCTCGAACATGTCCCATACAATCCTTCATCGCCGCAGGTTCTCTATCTCCTTTATTCTGCACCGAACAACTTCTAGGAGCTCATCGAAACCCTCCCTCTCCACAATGTCTAAAGCGGCGCGTAGGATTAGCATCGAGTCCGGCTGCACATTTGAATTCATCTGAGATGTATTATGTTAGAAAGGTCCGTCACGATACTGTGGCACTAACGTCGATATAGACTACGTCCAACCTATCAAGCTCTAGATTGAGAAACTTGAGATTGAGTGAGTGAGCTTAGTGAAATTTATCTTACCGTCCAGATAATCGGGCCGTGTCATGATTTGCTGGCATCGCCACTGTAAAGGTGTCAAAATCATGTGAAGAGAAAACAAATTAAAGAGCATACCGCTGGGATAACGGGGAGTTTTAGTGGATCCCAGGAGTCCCCGGACGCCTTCTGCTCAGCTCTGTATAGCCTTACGAACTCTCGGAGCAATGTCCAGCAGTGTAGGCTCCACTTTTGCTGTAGAAACTGATCTTCAAGAGTTTTACAACCAGGGTCATCGTCAAACACACCTGAGTGACAACTTCATCATCATTGTCGCAATCTGGTATCAGCCCGAGGCGGTTCTCGAGCCACGCCTTCTCCAAGCGCAGGAGATCCTGCGCAGCTTGAAGCATCTCCGAGTCTTCGGCCTTCGACACCTTATTGAGGTAGGACTGACGTCCTCCTACAACGCGCACAACACTGTCTACATTTATAGCGTCTGGCCGTCTGCACAATAGAGTGCGCCTTGACATTTCCCAGTCCAGATCTTGGACAGAGCGCACCTAAATAATTATCAAAGTGAGCATGAGCATATTATTACGCGGCTGCACACTGACTTCCATCAAAGTTGCTGATTTGCCTGCTAAAAGGTCAGTAAGTTGCTTGCGAGTTATTTTCTTGTGACTTACGCAATAACGTATATGGCCATACATCATCCCTAAAATGCTCATAAGATGATGCTACGCAAAGTAAGACAAGTAGCTTTACGTGGTGAATACAACAGTGACAATGCCTAGATAAAATTGAGAAAGATTGCTAAGGTATGTGGAGCACGCTACCTCTCATGGCCCAGCGTTCAGCATACTGTTGTATCTGTAAAAGAAGATTTCGACCTTGGTCGTTGTTATGAAAATTCTGAATTTTGGTGATGACGAGAACGAGCGGACGACGGCGCCGTCCACATCGCATAGCAACTTCATGTAGCTTGTCTAACGCTATACTGCCATGTCAAATCCAATTCAGACTCGCTTCTTTGAAAACGCACCGCGTTCAATATCCATCGCGGGACCGCCTGTAAATGAGTATGAGTCATAACGACAACAGCATCAATAGGTCATTGCATACCGGATCGAGGGTACGGTCTCTGGAACAGTCCAGCCTGCATATCCTCGCTGAATTCATAATTTAAAGCATTTCCTAGGCGCAAACGAAACACCTCAAGGTCGGGATGGGCCTCAAGAAATACCGATCCTTTGTTACGCATGTCCAACATTGCATCGAACAACATTCCAGACTTTCCCGCGCCCTGCACCATAACAGATACTTTCAGAACACGCAAGCGCACCAGGCAATGCAATGCACGCAAGTATCTCACCTTCGGTCCGACGAAGAGAAAGTAGGAACCTGCTATCTCTCCTTTCACAATGGAATCGACGATGTCTTGGTCCGGCTGCCGTGGATGTACTTCGGAGAGCTTTGCTGCCAATCGTTGCAAGTCAGCGTGCTCCAGGTCAGGTGTTAGAAGGTCAAAACGTGATAGCTCCTGCTTGATTAATTGCACTAGGGCTGCATCATTTAACGTTTCATTGAATGCCGCTTCAATCTTGTGAGACCGCCACATTAGATACGTTTGCCTGTATAATTCATCGCTTATCCTCACCTTTGAAATGACGTCATTTTTGTACCAAAACACATATAAACTCCCCCCGGTAAAAACTAGAAGAAGTTGATCAGTGTACGAATCGGCTGAGAGTGCACTTACTGACTCCCAGGCCTATCAGGGTCTTTAGCGCGATGTCAACGACTAGCGAGGGATCTACTTTGCTCCAAGTACTACTTGCGCCTGGTGGGAAGAAAGAATTGTTCTCTGTTTGCTGCGCTTGTCGCGATTGCGCGGAATGGAATGGAACATCGAGCTTGCTAGTCCTGAAACGTCCAATTTGCGACGGAGTAAGTCCTCGCGCAGAAATCACTAGGTGCCGTCGCACACGGGTCAACAAATATAGCCGCTGCATGAATTGTGTAGCGAGGGAAGTATCGGATAAAAAGCCGTCCATCAGATCCTGATTCTGGCATCTTATAATATTCTCGGGCGCGATGCTGTAGACGCCAAGTATAGCTGCCCTGTCACCTTGACGTAAAACTCTGTGTTTGGTGTTACATCCACAGGTTGCAGTCAATCGAAGCAGGTCACTGCGAGCGCTTCAAGGCTCGGCGCCCGGCGAATTCCAAGCGGTGTAACCATTCAGCATCGCCTCCGAAGTAGTCACATGTGCCCTCCTCTGCCAATGTAACACTCGTGGCTATGTCTGTGGCTGTTAAATTACATAATGTACCACATGTAACGAGGATACCGATCAAGTGCCTTGGCTTGCCCTTGAAGCAGTGATTACAGAGTATCAGAGCTGTAAACCGAAAACTATTTTCCAATTAAAACCACAATAAAAGCGACGAACCATAGATATGCAATGGTACGACTCACCTTCAAGCGCAACAAAACCCTGCCAATATAGGTCTCATGCGAGCATCCACAATGTACCTCTAAATGGCAGTTCGGCACTTGAAAGAGCGTAGGTTGAATAAACCGCATGGCTGAGGAATCTTCGATAGGCCCACAGGGGCTTACAAGGCTGAGAGATGCCTTCTGAAGTCATGTGTGCGTGTGGTAACAAATGCGTATAATGTGTAGTCGCACTGCGCAGTGCATGGGGATGACGCGATGATGCATTCGAGAACTCCCTCATCCGATCACCACGGTCCACAGTGCAGTCTTGGCTAATACACATGAGTCACGCAGTCATCAGTGGGCGGGTTCAAGAGAAGTAATCTGGATATTTATAAAGTCATCACAACGAGACTGACTGCCCCTCGCGTTGCTGTCCAAATTGCTCGCGAACAAAAAGGAAGCTTCCCATGTCCGCGGTTAAATGACTCGAGTCTTGGGTCATGACATCAAGAACGGGATCCTCGCTTTTGTCTCGATCGCGAGTCAAAAACTGTTTGCTGGCAGTCTTGCATGGCAGAATAGCAGAGCAGATCTATCAGATTAACGGATTACCGGATCAGCAAGTACTCTCAGAGTCAATAATGGTCTCATAAGAACGGGATACTGACCTGTATTATTTCGCAACGGTCAAAATTTGACAAAAGGAAGACCGTCGTTCTTTCTACCTGGACTACTCGGCGTGACTCGTGAGATTCTGCCCCATCCCTACACCCGTCATGGAGGAGTCAATTGACTTAGCTAATAGCTAATAGCTATCGTAATTCCCTGCGAGATTGAACTTATTCTGATCGAAGCCGGTACATAGAGGCTAGATTCATGTCCGCATCTGGTTGAACTTCCGCGAGTGATTCAGTCAAATGCACAGGCGGCGTCATGCTGTGGGATTCATCTCAGAGTGCTGACCACTGCGGAGTTCTGAAAATAAAGTAGTACATACCGAATCACTGATACTCGAGTCAAGCCGGAGCCTAGGATTTCGCTGTACTTGCTCGTTTTACCATTGTACTAATGCAAAGCGAAGAAGGATTCGGAAACGTTCAAGGTGACCGTGACGGTAATAACTTTCCCTGCAGTCACCTACGTAATAGTGACAACACTTTACCGCTCTGCATCCATCGTGAGGGCTAAGCGTCTTTTCAGTCTTGGCTCTCATTCACCTAATTTACTTCACTCCTGAAAACGTTGCTTCCACACCTTTGATCGCCATCAATACTTGCATCGCGTGCACATCACTTGGTCTTGAAACCTGCCCATAAGTGGTCTCCCCGGCCTCGCTTCCTAGCCCATATTTATGCGTTTCGAGCATGATTCACCGTGCATCCATCGATTTACCCCGTATCAGCATTGTCGACATTTTAATTGCAAAGATCACCCCCACGTTGACGTCAGGGTTTGTCACTACCCTGTGTTCAATCCGCAAGGCCATCACGCTTCCAATTGCTGAGTTTTCTAGCGATAACATGTGTCGTCTTAAACCTTCTTAAACCATTCCTCAGCCCGGAGATAGGTTGAGTAAATGAATAAGCTCATTACGACTTTTACGAGCAGTTCCGATTCTTATCTGTAAGGCTGCTCTGCTGTGCAGAGTGTATTTAAAGGACCTTATTTCACTCGCTTCTTCTTCCTCCCCGGTCACAAGACTAGATTCTCCAATCCTTCTACCTTTGTATCTCAGGGAAATAACGAACCCATAGTAGTGCTGGCTCACCATGTTACGGGGTATGTTTTTCTGAAAGAATGGATCATGATCATTTTAACTCAGATTCAACACATTGGGGTAGCTCATGTAGCTCGTTCTTTCCATGACGCAGTTCCAAGTATTTCAGGTGCACCTGACTCCTACCATCGAGGTGAAGCGTATGGAGACTCGAGGCGGGATCAAGCTATCGCTAGTTTCTTGGATATCCTGAGCGAACTTAAAGACGAGTCTTCTCTAGACAACAGTCAGTCACCCTCACTGGCCATCAAACACTACTAATATTACGCTTTCAGATGCCAATCTTCCTCCCGCCTTTGAGGATTACGGTCGTGAGTATCGGCCAGTGTAACATATAATGTTGGCCTTATACGCCCGTTCAGCGACAATAGATGAGAAACTGCAAATTGCAGGATCAGAATCATTCAATAAATTGGAGAGGTGGGAGTGCCTTCTTATGTTTGTCTTTTACGCTGAGCAATCTTGACAGGCGAATAGAAAATCTTGACAAAGAGGTGGGAATATGATTGGTACACTTTATAGTTTGACACTCATCTGCTATATAGTTGCGCAACTTTGCTAATGCTGCTCGCCAGCTTGGCAGTTCTGTCGGAATCTTATCCTCTGGTTTTCGACTACGAGAGCGGCTCGCGAAATTGCTATTTCTATTCCGTGAGAACGCAGCCACTTTGTTTCCTCAGAAAATATCGCGTCAACCTCGAGAAGCGCCTATTGTTCATCAGTGGACAGAGCAACGACACATAGATAATCAACCGTTGCCCAAGGCTCACCCTGACTCTGAAAGTTTTCCCGACCAATTTGCTGGTTTCGCAGAAGACGTCGTAAGTTTTCTGAACTGCCTGAACGAGTTCCCGGAGTTTACGGACGAGGCCGTCAATACGTCAATACGTGCTTTCGAATGCGATCTGAAGGTAATTTTTGGCTGGACATGCAGTCGATCCCTTTGTTTACCATGTTGTTTAGTATTGGGCTTCTTGTCTTGAAGAGTACAAAGGTAGTGTGCCTCCCGCTGATCTATTTGAGGATCGTGCAGACTGGTTTCAGGTCAATTTCGATATCCAGCAGTGCAACGCTATATCCATGATTTGTCATCAGAGATTGGGGAGCACATTGACAACATCACAGTTAATCTGTCCATGTTTATTGAAATCGGTAAACAACCAGTTTCTACTTGCTAATATCATATTTAGCCTTTCTTCCAGGTGTTCCGACGATTCGATTCGCCCAGCATCATGCAGCATCAAACTTGCTAAACTTATCGACAGTCGCGACATTCTTTTCAGTTGTGACGGCAACGACCCTACAGTTCTCATACCGGTTGACGGATGGCGCACTGGAGACTTCTGTCAATGCGTTTTGGTTCTCTTCGTTGGTTTTCAGTATAGCAGCCGCTGTGAACAGTCTTCTTGGTCTCACTTGGAAGCAAGCGATTTAGTAAGTTTATTTCGTGTGCCGCTTGTGTTCGGTCAAATGACAGTCCTCAGTCGTTCTCCAGGTCATAGGGTACCTTGGTGGGTGTTGATATGGATCAAACGATCGCCTTTAGTGTTTCTCGTGATGTCTGTGGCATGCTTTTCCGTGGGCTTGATGCTATTCACATATGCTACAAAACAGGTATGGGTCCTATCCTACTGCAGAAAGGATTTCCGACATAACATTTACACTTAGGGATTCCTCACGTCCACGATTACCACTGTTTTCACGGCAAGTCCATGGATAGTTCCAGTTACTTTCGAAACGCATCCTTACCCGAATTACAGGCATTCACCTCCTTCGGCCTGGCTGTCGTTTCGGCGTGGTTTGCCTCGGAGCGTAGGGTATACGTTCGCTACCATGGTCAAATATGGCTGGATGATGCAATCAATGGAGCAATCAATGGAGCAATCAACCACATCCTCCGCTTTTGTCTAGTCATGGCAATGCGGGATATCATTCACTGGTGCCTCTCTGCTATCAGCGGCCTGTTAAGACGAGTAGCTCTCAAGCTCCCAGACATGATCACCCGCATTGGTAATAGGGATCATACACTTCCCACTATGCAGGAGGGCCCGCCGACGGATGATCTTTCTCACCACCGTGACACCTCTACATCCGCATGCTCGGCTTTTACTGAGGATGGCAAGCCATCTCGCCCAGTCATTGCCCGTCAGCGCTTCAAAGGAGCTGTGCGTTCTATCATTGTAATGCAACAGCAGAAAGCAGGACGGCCCTTGATGCCGCAACGGATTCCATCCTTTGACTGGAACTCTGCCGTGGGGATGTCTCCTACCCGGACTTCGTCTGTGGATTTGGACGCCATTCGAGGACCGCGAACCAATTTAATTCCGAAACTTAAAACCCTGGAACCTGTGCAGGACCTCTCCGTGCACACTGCCCTTGTCCGGCATTTACAGTTCTCCCCGAGTGGCAAGTATCTAGCTACGTCAAGGTGCGTTGTGACAAGTTCATCGGAGCTTCTCGTGCTGAGGTGAAACATTAAGTTGGGATCGATCTTCTGTCATCTTTCGTGTTGAGGTAAGCATGTGAAGTGCCACGTTCTCATACTCTTTGTTTATACCATTCCTAGGATGCTTTTTCCATTCATGCCATTCTGGTACACGTGGGAGGCTTCATCGGTCAGGTTGCATGGTATGTGGCGTAGCAAATGTTCCTTGTTTCTAAATATCAAACGTAAACGATCAGGTCCCATTCTGGTGCCCTTCTTTTGACGAGATTTCCCCGCGGAATCAAGGTTTGGACAGAGGATGGACTTTGTAAGAAAACGATTGAACGCCCGCACTCGGTGTCATCCGTTGTATGGCTACCTGCGAACGAGAGTGATTGGTTTCGTCCTTTTTGCACGATTGCATGTTGCTGAAGCTTTCTTACAATAGCGCAATTCTTTTCGGTCGAAGGTAGCAGAGTTCTCAAACTGGTCGGTGCAACTAATCATGACATCTGTGCTTCCTGGTTACTCATGGATCCATTATCAGGACATCAAAGGAAGGGTGATTAGATCATTCTGAGCTAAAGGAATTTTGTTTGAACTTTTTCAAGGTTCTTGATTCTTACCACTTCGGTGGCATCCAGTTGCACAATGTGGCTGTGACTCCAGATGGTCAGCGATTACTAGGTGTAGGTCCACTGCTCGCGGCACCCAATGGGATGCATCCAAGCCGCACTACTAGAGTTGAGAAGTGTATAGTAGGTCAGTAATACGCGTATCCGCGAGTGACCCTTTTAACTCCACCTACTGCAGTTCTCAACATGGAGACCAGAACATTTGAAAAGTCAGTTACCTTCAATGTCTTTGAACCTTTTCACTGATGAAGTTCAAAAGTCAAACACCCGTCTTCAACGACGTGCGCGACATCACGGTGTCCAAAAGGGGTGGAAATGTGTTAATTTCATTCGAGTACAAGGTATATTGGCAACCATATGCGTCAGGTTCTCCATTCACGCCGTTTCATATCTGCAGACACCTCCGCAATTATGGAAGATGGAGTTAGTTCGGGATACTAAAGACCGTGAAAACCCCTATGCCCAAACCGCTAGGCTTCTTCTCCGTCACACGTATGAGCCAACAGCTCATGTGGAGTTTGTGGGCCCAAGCTACTTCGGCGGTGTGGATGATCAGTTGGTGTTGTGTGCGGGCAAAGGTGTGTTTTCGCTGAATCTTCAAATATCCCGATTCTAACTCCTCCATCTCAGCGGGCGATATCCATATCTGGGAACGCGATACTGCAATTTTACTCCACTACATTAGACCTCAGACGTTCGGCGGAAATTTAACATGCGTCGCGTGGAATCGTTCCACTGACGAACCTTTCATGTTAGCAACAGGCAGCCATGATGGTACAGTGCACATATGGAGGACCCCGACGTGGGACTGCTCATCTGAGGGCAGTTCGTATCTTGAGCATGCTGGCATGTTAGTCACGGACCAGCCTACGTCTTCCCCCACCCTTAGCCCACCATCTGGGCCTGGATCCAGTCGAGGGCACCGATAGAAAGCACTGACCATACATACCAAAATTACCACTTAGTATTATACACAGGCAAAACAGGTATTGCGTTCATGCATGGATGTTAGTTGTCGCCATACATACTGGGTATCTATGGTGTTCATTGGTATTTATGTATACTTAGGACTTTGTTTCAAAATATTTCCTGGCAATGAACTAGGTTTGTCGACCGCGTCGACCTGCACATACTGCGCTCATTTTGACCCAGTAACTCAACCAAGTGAATTGAACAATGAAAAAGAACCAGGGTGATGTGGCGTAGCATTCGCTCAATTGTTCAACGTACGATCTGGTAAGATTCGTCCGTGATGATGCGTTCAAGTCATGATTGCATGGGAGCATGACAGTAGTATACGATGCATAGTGGAAATCTCATATGAGTAGCACGAACACAATCCAAATTAGATGGTGGTCTCGTAAGGAACGGGCGTCATCGTTTGCGGCGTGTTTTGGACGATGGAGACGGTGTGTGCCTCCCGAGGGAGAGCATGGACGCGCTTGAGTGATACACGTTCTGAATGGCGGAATGTAAGGTGCATCGGATGCCGGGAAGTTGATATCACTTACCACCCTTCTCTTTTGCAGCGGCATGTGCATCATGGTTGCGCTTCACCCTGTCCAAAAACTCCTGCCGGCATTTTGAGTGCTTCACGTGCTCGACACGGAGATTCACTCGCTTCTCGATGTAGCGGTTGCCTACAACCTTGTAGACAATGACACCGACGGCATGCGGGGTGACATTGTAGACGATGCCGGTCCGTCTGGAAGATAATTAAGTAATCGAGGACAGATGTAACTTTGAAGTAGCGCACCCGTGGTAGTATTTGTGAGGCATACCCTTTTGTTGGGCGGCGTTGGCCTTTATATCGACAATGTCACCGATGCGGTAGTTGATGAGGTATGTAGACATCTTGACGGGGCCATGGTCTGCATGCAATGTCAGTCGTCGAGTCTGTGAAGGACTTGATTGAAGGACCAACCCTTGAAGCCCCGCTTGAACATGTCGCGCGTACGCGCGCGGTAACCGAATGAGTGAGGCATTTTGAGGTCTTGAGTAAAACGTTAGCAGCGGGCTGCGATGAAATTTGGGAGACGTACAATGTCGTCGGCGGCGGTGTCGATATTGAGTATGTGAAAGCTTGTTGCACCGGAAATCTCCGGGTGGCTTGCTTGGTACTTTACAGTTGTGGCACAGGCGAGGCTTACATCCTAATTAGGCCACAACATTTGGTGTACACTGTCAAGGCCATCCCTCAAGAAAAATGCCAAGGTATGAATGTCATTGGACGTGATGAATAGACTGTTGAGCAAATTTTTAGGGCCCCACGGAATCACAGCAAGACGTGAGCGTCTCATTCTTCAAGATCCACTTGAGTGGAAGGCTTTCAGCTTGCTGATTTATAGCCTTGTTCGAATCGCATTAATCCTACAGATACAAAGTCCCTCGTCGCCCATTCGGTTCAGCTCGTCTCGATGCTGAGTTGAAGGTATTATCAATGTGGAATCCGAAATCCGAAATCTCATGTTTTGCATCTTACAGCTTGCTGGCGAGTACGGCCTACGAAACAAGCGTGAGATCTGGCGTATCGGTCTCATCCTTTCCAAAATCCGTCGTGCAGCCCGTGAGCTGCTCAAACTTGATGACAAAGATCCCAAGCGTCTCTTCGAGGGTAACGCCCTCATTCGTCGGCTCGTTCGGATTGGTGTGTTGGACGAAACCCGCATGCGTCTGGATTACGTGTTGGCATTGAAAGTGGAGGACTTCTTGGAACGTCGTCTCCAAACACAGGTCTTCAAGACCAACCTCGCAAAGAGCATTCACCATGCCCGTGTTTTGATCAGACAACGTCACATTCGGTATGTACATCTCAACTCTCCTTGCTGTGATTCTGAACATGGTATAGCGTCGGCAAGCAAATTGTCAACATTCCATCGTTCGTTGTCCGTCTTGATTCCCAGAAGCACATCGACTTCGCTCTCACATCGCCATACGGAGGTGGACGCCCCGGCCGTGTCAAGCGCAAGCGTGCTGCCGCTGCCGCCAAGCGGGAAGAGGGTGGCGAGGAGGAGGAGGAAGAGTAAATTTTCTCTCGGTTTCTATGTCATTTTCACATCTATGTCGTCCCCATGCTATGGACACATGCAAAACAACCTTTTGACGCGCTCGATGTAACATCGGGCAATGCAGATTGTTGCCACAGAACTGAATCCGGCGAGGCGGCTCGTAGCATACAGACTCGACTTGTATGAGTATTTTGACTGAACATATCGTCAGTTAAAAGCTGTGAATTTGCTCCGTGTACTCAGGGATCGGATTATATCGCGCAGTGTCTGCCAAGGATCTAGTGTTTGAATTTGAGGATCGGATCTTCACTCGGAGTCTCGGACTAGTTTAACCGACTAGTTATACCACGCCGAACTCGCAAGCTCCACACATTCATCATCATCATCATCCCTTATGTCTGACGCAACAGTCACTCAGCACACCCCTGCAAGTACGTTCAAGAGCGATAACAGTCATGCAACTCAGTTTTCACTAACGAATCCTTTGCAGTCAGAGTAGGCGGTCGTCGTCTCTCAGGTACCTCACACCCGAGACCTCGTGCCAACTCGTGAGTGCTATTTGACATTTTGTGGTTCAACCCTCGAAACTGATCCAACATGCAGGGAAGCTATGGCGAATATCGGCGCAAATACAACCGAAGATACTGATTATCCGCGCCCGGCAAACCATAGCGAGGAGGAGGCACACGCCCCTCCGCATCATAATGAAGAAGAGATTCCAAAGAAGAAGAAACATCATGGACAGGGCAGCCACGACGATAGCAGGCTTCAAGAGACCGCTTATCGCAAGGCAGAAGCTAGCATGCCCACCAAAGACCATGTCGGTGGTAAAAGCGGTTATGGTGGAGGAGGAAGGATCGCTCAGCCTGCGGGAAAGACCTTTGGAATTTAGGAAAAGGGGCCCATGTTCTGATCGAGAATGCTGGATTCATTAAAGAGAGAAAGATCACTTCGTTTGCCACCAGTGTATTTGTATAGGTGTCATTCTCGGTGAAATGTACCATCATTTTTGAAGCCAACTAGGAATGTGCAGCATGGGGTGCTTATTTCGGCATGGACGAACATAGCAATGGAGGCGCTAGGGATACAAATAATCAATCATGGAACGGATGCTGCTGCCTTCTTCCCCCGAACTTTCTTCGGCGGCGAAGCTTTCTTCTCTTTTTGTGTAGCGAGCAGTGCGGAGGTACGACCGAGAGCAGCCTAGAAAGCGAAGAAACAGGTGTCAGTACAAGTTCTTCTACGGATCATATCAAAAAAAAAAAACGTTGCGACGACTGTACTCGTCAGTATCAGCCCACTGCAACAGAAATTCGCGGTGGTAAATATGAATTATGACGAGTAGCCCAAGCAGGGCCAAATTGATATTGCAAACATGTCCACGCCCAACTTTCATACACCTTACGGTGGTTTCCAGCGGGTTCTAACGAGAGTGCTTTATGTTGTCGAGAGAAATCCTGTATATCCAGAAATAAACCATCAACACTCACAGCTCTCAGGTCGGGACGGTAACCCCTCTTTGCGACGGAAGCAACGACTCCCAATGAACGACGGCCTCCTGAACGGTTGCGAACGGTTGCGGTTGACCGTGCGGGACGAACAGCGTGTGGTGATGCCTTTGATTTCCGTGTGGTGATCTGTAACCCAGACTCAGAACTCTGAATGTCGATGGTCTGTTGATGCAACATTAACGAAGGGTCATTTGATTAATCACAGGACTACACACCTTGGAGTTAGCAAGACCGGAATATTTGTGCGAGTGCAGGTTAAGGAGGTTACCCTAATACAACGTAAGCTTAGCACTCGTGTGCAAGTTCGAACACACGACATACGGGCTCCTTGGAGAAGATGGGACCTTCAGGGACCTTCTTCACAAGGAAGGAGTTGTATTTCTGTAGATATGAAGCACAATTTTTTCAGTATTTGCACTATGGAGTGCGAAGACGGTGCAACTGACGCGGACAAGGATCCACTCGAGGTCGTTCGACATTTTGAGGATGCTGCTAAGCCTTACAGGTTGTTCTGAACAGCGACCAAGTGTGGCTGAGGTAACTGTACAGTTGAACCAAATAAAGGCAAATATCGTGCCGGAGATAGCCGATACACTTGTATCTTTGCAATCGTTCCCAGCTGGGCTCGTCTAGAATCGACCATGCGTAGATTGACAAGTGCGGAAAGGGTTGGGTTGTCTGCATTGCCAAGCCAGTCTAGGGTCTGCATTCCTGCGATTCCGTTCATAACTACAAGTGACTATAGTCGTAGACAAGTGATACATAGTTTATATCTACAGTATAGATAGACTAGGCAAATTGTTTGCAGTTCAACAGACTTTATATTTCACTTCGGAGCTTTCCGGATCATTGCTCACGACGTTGAAGCCGATTTACGTTTATCTCCGCACCTGACTTTAATTTGCTGCTGTCGCTCGTTCGTCGTGCCCTTTCTTCACTGTCATCATGAGCCAGCGTATGCTTTCCTCCGTCCTTCGAGCACGGCCTAATGCCGTCCTTCGTCGCGTTGCGAGCCCTGCTGTCACAGTACCACACCGTTTTTCATCGTCGGATTCGCACCCTCAAGAAACGTTCGAACAGTTCTCTGAGCGCTACGTCGCTTTCTTCCAAGGCGCTCAAGACCTTTTCGAGGTACAACGTGGCCTCAATAACTGCTTTGCACACGACCTCGTTCCTTCACCTGGCGTTGTTGAGGCTGCCCTTCGTGCAGCACGCCGCGTAGATGATTATGCAACCGCTGTCCGTGTCTTCGAGGGCATTAGGGAAAAGGTTGAGAACAAACAGCAGTACCAGGCTTACTTGGACGAGTTGAAGCCGGTTAGAGAAGAACTTGGTGAGTGCTAGTGTTATTCGGATATATATAGCTTGTCTGCTGACCATCGCTTTTCTGTCGGCGTTGTAGGAATTGACACAAAAGAAGACCTTTATGTCTCATAAGTTCTGCCTGAGCAGCACAGGTTCCATGTGAGCCAACTTTATCCTCGTGCTTCTGCTAGAGCTAACAAGCCACGCGTACACAGTAGACGCAGTGCCTCACATATTATTGTCACTTATAGTTTCCCCCAATCCACAGCGCGCGGATTTACAAACCTGTTGTGGCCTATATTGAGCACTGTTTTACTCGCTGCGGTATTGACCTTTTGAGGCCAATAAACTTTATTTTGAACAAGGTCTTCTCTGAAAAACATATTGTTCGCCCGCACTTGATCTTCGTGATTTCGCACGTGAGGATTTATTATAGGTGAATGGGGGTGGATTGATTCATGCGCGAAAGCGTGCTGGCATATGATCACTGGAGCTGTTGAATCCAAGGGTTCAGCTCTTGTGGATCCCGCGGACATGATTGTGGTTGTGGGCATTGGTATAGGTATATGAACTTCTCCTTGGACCCTTAAGCTAAGCTAGTGGGTGGATCGGGTGTGCGTGTTTTCATGAGCGAATTGCTCCCTGATCCTCTAACGCAAATTATGTTGTGTATGTTCATGGAAAGTTTTGATACCAGAGGCGAAACACGACTACTATAGTGAGTAAAAACCGCCACCATGATGCATCATATTAATTACCCTCGTCTTCAGGGTGACTGACCCTCATGCCTCCTGGCGAGCACTACTCGGTATTACCAAAACCTTCAAAACTGCATCATCTGCAACACATCAACATCATGATCTGTCTCGGCTCATACTAAACCACCGGTCCCAAAATTACAGCCAACCACCACGTAACGTTTTGCACGCCAATAGTGCACGACACATCCTGTTTCAGGTACTGCATGTGTCGCAGGGTGGTTGATCTAGTCCCGTAACCAGCCTAGTATACACTTCCACGGACAACCCGAGTGGCGTAGTCAAGGCTGATCTGTCGCCTAGCCTTTGCAACACTCCTGTAGCCCTCGCAACGTACTATTCCACTCTCTAGCTGCTGCAGCTTTCTCGGTAGGATTGGATTCATCCCGTTGCTGCCCGTGCCAAAAATTCAAAATACGGAGTCCTCGAACCAATCAACATCGCCACGCACTGTATACAATTGGTGTCTGATTCCTTATTCAAAAAGAGAACTCCTCTTGAACTCATTTTGATACAGGTGCCGTCGTGGCAGCCTACTCGCTATCACAAGACCTAGGCCCGAATTCTAGGCCTTCGTAAACGCTCCCACGGCTCTCGCGACATAACTTCCATTTTCCAGTTTGATTGCGCTCCTTTGGTTGAGATGATTTACGATTGTCACCTCTCCGCATAAATGTCAGTTTTCTTTCTAAAACAACTCATTGTTCTTTGTTCTGATAGACCTGATGTCGGACATTCCTAGAATGCTGGGACCTGGCCTCGGCATCGATCGTGTATGTATAAGCGCTCTATCATCGATATGCTACAGGTACTCCGCCCGGCAGCGAGTCGATTTATTCTGATATTAGTGCGTTCTGTACTGCATGTCTTTACTGTTGAAATTCACCATTATATCCTTCAAGGTGGCTATCGGAAGACCCACTAGTTGCAAAACAGCACCGAATCCCCGTTCAAAACTGCGCATCGATCTCTTTTATCGGTTGGTCATTGGAAGCAACATAGCGGAGATCGGTGAAAGAGCGAAAAAAATCGATTAATGAAGCTTAATCTTGGCTCGCCCGTTAAATAAAACCGCATTCCAGCGGTAATCGTACGAAGCACCTTGACGTGCGGACAAAGAAAAACCAAGTCGCCGTCGTTGCAACCATCACTCCACAGCGACATGGATACAGCCTGATACGCTTGCGAGGTTCGGATTTTTCACTCCTACTGCCAACAAACTTGAACTCGAGACAAAGAGCAGGTGGTGAATTCAGACGAGGCGCAGGCCCACGCAGTCTACATGCTATAATTAAGTCCTCGAATGCAAATCAAATTCTAAAAATGCCCAGCGCTACTTCGAACGGTGCAGGTACTAATCAAATATATCCGTTCAAGTGTCTGTCCAGACGCTTCCCGCGTTCGATATATGATGATTGCGGCCCCCTGTGCTGGCTCCAGACTCAAAAATAGTTTTCATGGCCACCTGAGCGCGAGCAAAGTCTATCACTTTCCTTAAGAAGTTTGTCCTCGACTGCCGTCGATCTCAAATATTTATGATGGTCGATCGGGCGTTAGTGAGGGAAAGGGGTATCGTAGCATTCGAGTCGCCCAAGGTCTGCGTTCATTGGTCAGCAAGGCGAAGTGGGGTAAACTTTGCCCCACACTGCGCCGTGAACATAAATTCAAATGATTGGCAAAAACCTGATTTATTATTGTATCCTCTAGCCTGATGCGTAAGCGCTAACGGAGCGGGCTGAGATTGGGCTGGGATACCCCATAATCACAACAGAAAGCACGAAAGCCATTTTATCCCTCTCATCAATGTCAATCGTTGTAAGAAGCTCGGAGCCATTTGAACAGGGTTAAAGCCAACGCCAAGGAATCAGACAGCGAGATGAAACAGGCAGTTATGTATGAAGCGTGCACTTGGCGAGACACGAAATGCCAGCAAGAATAAACCAGAATCAACATGTGGTTCAAGAAGAACGCGCTTAAAGACGAATACACCATCAAGCATCTTCCGACATACGCGGATGCAGCGGTGTTGGCCCATCTCGGGACAACCTTTACAAAATCGCATGACGAACGAAGTCGCTGGGGCCTTGGCGTGACATTGTTCATCGATGTATCGCAGCAGCAGCATATCACCATGCCGATCTCCCGATGAGAGGATCAAATGATCGATTCGCTGCAAGGCACCTGGCTCTGAATCAGAATTCCGCAGTCACTCAAATGATGTTCTGAACCTTGAAAGCGAGAGGAGATAGGTATGGCTCGTGACCAGCCACACATGCTCCCGAGGAGGGGATCAAACAATCGATTTACTGCAAGCGCGGCGCACCAGCATGCAGTCATCAACAAAGTCCCAAGACAAAGTTGCGAGACAGACGCTGACTCGCGATGATCAAGAAAGGTCTTTCCGAAGATAAAAGAAAAAGAGATGTCATCGATTCCTTCGCGCGACAACAGGATTGATGGTCCGAATGTTCGGATAATGAAAGTCGCTGCTGATAGACAGAGGACTAAGCCAATGCGATACCATGACCATGACCACTCGAACGATGATGATGGCGTCACGTTGCGTGGCTGAAGCGCTGATGGTCCCGCGCACATGCATGATCACCGGGGAGGCTATGAAAAAAAAATATTACGGACCGATCGTTGATCCCTGTTTCACGGACAAGCTTCAAGTTGAACGTTTGAAATGAAAGATATGCTTACTGATCAAGAGTTAGCTTTATAGGCGATAGCCACATGCGATGGCGTCCTTAATGTTGTATAGACTTCTTGGTCAGGTTAGTCTATAGTGGCGATGAATCAGAATTCCGCAGCCACTGGCATGGTGTCCCAAACCTTGAAAGCATGAGGTTAAAGCTCGTGACCAGCCACACATTTGGGAGAACAAGCCTGATCAAGCGGAGTTTTAAAGAATAAGCTCTACAGAACATCATGTATAAGTAATGTATTTCAGAGTCCCAAAATCCCTGTGATAAGTCTGCATATATATGATACAACAATACACGAGTTATAGGCATACATAAACGTCAGTGTGATATGTGAATGCGGCGCGCTAAGCGCTTTTATGGTGTGAGTAGGTATAGTACGAAAGATAAGCAGAATCCAGCAGCAAGGGGAAGTATTGTCCACGGGCCGTGTACAGTGGAGACGTTATGATGTAAGTAGCATGAAATGATGGGGTGTTAGTACAGCTGCGCACGGAACATGAAGAATTCCGAAATAGATAGAAACTTTCGAATCCAAACAGGAATGGCGTGCACAAACGGCTACAGCAGCGTATTTGTGCTTACATAGCCGAAGTGCATGAAAGCTACCGTCGATGGCGGGTAGCGGTTATGATAAGGTCGTCAAGATCGTACAAGTCTTTTCTCCAAAAATGCAACCTGGTTAAAAAAAGTCTCACGCCAAAATGCCCCCGTCGTTGCTTGTGAGTGGCCCGTGATATGCACCCGCAGTGGGCGACTCTTGGGCAAAGCACCACCGCGTCACAAACGCGTTGTATAGCGAATCGCTAGACAGGCCATTGCTACCGGGCGATCCAAGTGCTGCAGACAAATGTGCTCGAGGAGTCAAAGCAGATCCGGTAGGATCAGCTGGCCCATCTGTGTCATTTCCAAGTTTTTGCGTGGTTGACCGCTTTGACATCACAGCTTGTGTCGGCGGCGCCATCCACTCCCAATCATCAACGTGTGGGCTTGCGTAATTTGCTGGATGCCCAGCAATCATGACGCGCGGGGCTATGTTGGGTGAAGCGGAGGGCGTCGAGAGCGTCGACGAGGCAGGTGAAGGGGAGTCACAGTCACGTGATTGCAAGACAGGTACTTGGAGCATCGGGCGTTGGGCTGGAGAGGTGGTTGAGGGTGGAGAATTAGAACGCTTCATAGAAGTCACAGAGGAAGTGGGAGAAACTGTGGAGACCACAGGAGGTGCAGCATAGTTAGGGAGACGGAGCTTCCCTGACCTCGGCAGAAATGAAACTTTCTCCTTCCCGTCTGTTGTTGGCGAGAAAGAAGAGAATGTCATCTTGTGTCCGAATGTTGGAGACGTATTTGAACTCAATGGTGAAGCACATAGACTGGGAGCATATTCGCGGGGCGCGGGTTGTGTCACCATCGAGGTTATAATAGGATCTACGGAATTTAGCTATCAACTGACCGTCCTGAAAAATATTGAAAAAATTAGAATGCTCACCAGGTGCTGTCTCTCTCCGAATCCTACCTGATGTTGGTCGCGCAGTACGAAAAGCAACACGGTAGTTTCCGCCATTGTTGTTATCCCACCATTCACCACCAGAACCTGGAACGCCCGTCGGCGAAAGTTGAGTCGAATCGACCCTATAGCGTGCGGCAAGCCACAACACTCGTGACCCCAAGCTGTGTGCATAGTCCTCCAAGCGAATAAGGAAAGAAAATCGATCCCATCCGCACTTGTCTGCGCCTAGAGCAACGAGATCGCCGACAGTTGTTTTCGACGAGGAAGACAGTGAAAATAAGGGCGGAAGCGACGACACGGAAACAACATGTTGGGCTCTCACTTCGCTGACGGTTTGCCAGTCGTCGAGGGTAAACCTCACAGCGACGTGCTTCTCGTACGCCAGATTGCGCACTAGAAGGGTACCACTTAAATAGGGGTTTACGCCTTTTGATGAAGCGTGCGAGAAAGTGAGAGACTCGATTAAGATATTCGCATGAGGAGGGTGATTAGTAACTGGGACCACCGATGAGGAAGCGGTGTCCATCTCGAAATTTGGGGACGCAGAGGGGATTTTTGGGAAGGGGAATCCTGGTTGATGGCTGATCATCGGCTTCGGTCTCTGTCTCATCGTCAGGGGTGCTGACCGCTGTTGGACAGGCTGAGCGGCTAAAAATGCGAATTGAAGCCAGGCCAATGTCCGTATCGGGGAAATGAACATTTTTTGGAGCATGGGCCGTTGGAGTGGATGGTGCAGAGCGGGAACGCAAGTGGAGATGGTTATTAGTGCGCTGGGGTTCGATTTGAGGGATGGAGAGGGTGGAGGTTGATGATTTAAGTGATGACTTGAGTGGCTTGCCATTGGAAAGAATTATTGATGATGCACGAGACGTTTGTGGACAAGGAGATGTGATTGGGGGTGAAGAAGGTGGGGGAGAGGGGGAATGGCGGGGAAAGGGAACAGCCTGAGGTGACTGGGGAGCGCCCTGTGAAATTTTCACTGAGGGTGTGTCGTTACGAGAGCGAATAATGGTGTGCTCGTCGAGGGAATCGGATGAGTAGTCATCAGGGTTGTCGGCGCCATGAATATGGAAAGCGGCCGACTTGCGAGTGTTGTTGTAAGTGGGAGGATGATGCTTTCGTTTTGGAAGGGAACCTAATGATACGAAAGCTCCTGGGCCACGTTCGTTTGAAAAGGTTGGAGCTGTTGAGCGGGTACGGGAGACATCAGATGCTGCGAAAGTCATCTGGAGTGACGTCAGTGATATAGAAAAAAAAGAGCACGGTTGTTAAATACCTCTCAGAGCGTGAAGTCGAATGAACAACCCTCGAGGGGAGGTGGAAGGAGATGGGTGCACTGAAACCAAAGAAACTGTTCATTTTTCACGACTTTGGAGTGATCTGGATTCATTTCGTCCGAGATTGGATCGGGGTTCGGCATCTAAAAATGGTTAAAACGGCTGAACTTGCACCAGTGATCTGAGATCTGATGCGTTCCTTATCTTTAGCCAGCATGATACTCTAGATTTCGTTCTAGCCCTCCTCGCTCACTCACTCCATCTATATCGCGCACAATTTGCGCAACAATTTGTTTGATTTGAATTCTACATGGGTCTCTGCAAATACTGTTCTTGCGTTTACATCTTCCGAATCTTATCCCACGCACACGGCATATCTTCTGATAATCCTTGCAAGCCAGGCTTATGACGCTCACAGTATCCTTTAGCGACGCCACAGCCTGACTCAGTTTAACGTCATCGTGGTTTACTGATGCGCCGGCGGCCCTCGCCCGCCTCCGAGTCCCAACAAAATGGCGGACTCTACTAGCTCCACTCTCCACGTCGGCGCTGCTCCATTATCGTGAATCCTACATCACCCGAGTGTCTATCTCTGGCTTGCACCACTTCTGACTCGGATATTCAATACCGATTGACATCCTCGGAATTTCCACCTCTTTGACCTATTTCTCCCGTAGCCATCTCTCATGCCAATCGCAAAGAAGGATAAGTCTTGCACCCACTCGCTTACTCTCCTTCTCATGCATAGCTAACTCTTGTTCTACTTGCACCTGGTATGTTCTCCTCAAAGCGCATCTATTATTGGCGATAAAACATGCTATGTGAACATTATACGTGGGAAGTGGCTTTGTGTCGCTTGCAACTCGTACATAATGCCGATCACCTGTTCGTCGAACACTGGTCTTTCAAATAGTTATCTCTCGGCTAATTTTGTTCTATGCGGAACAACATATCAAACAGTTCGCCTTATCCACTCTCTGTCGATGCACCCATTTTCCATGTCAGGCCTGCCACTGACTTGCCCCGCCTCGACTCCAATCTGTTGATCATGTTCATTGCAAAATCTGTCCAGATCTCATCAGACACCTGCGAATGAAACAGTAGCATAGGCACGTTGCTCATTTTCGTTCCTAGCTACTGGTGCACGTTGGCAATCTCACTCCTTCACAGGTCCTTCTTTTAGACGATTCTTTTTCATACATCATTCGAAGTAAAATCTGTCAATTGACACCGCAGTGCTTTTTATGATCAATTCACTGGCAGAATCATGCCAGCTCTTCTTCCTCATCGGGTCTTCCTATTCATTTATGCCTGGGCGCTTAGATACTGCAGCGATAGCACTGCTATCACTATCTTCGTGCAGAGCTGAATGGCTGTTGTAATAATGATAACGCTACGTCGTTATCGAACACTTTCAAATTCCGTAGATGCTCGCTGAATTTTAGATTGTCGCTCGAGCCTCGAGGTTCTCATATCTTTGCATCGTAACATTGAAAGTTGGGATGGGCAGATCATCATCGATTCAACCAATCACCATGCTGATATTTCTCCTTGACGCCATCTGATTCTCGCAAGCGCAAAAACGACCACATCCTAGCGTAACACTACTATCATGATTGTTGACCATCAAACTCGGGCTGTTCTACGTATCTTGCTTCTACTCCTGACAGACTCGGAACATTGCTTTAATCGAAGTGCTCGGCGTGGAGCTCGGCTTGTCGTACAAGGCAGTCCTATCCAAATTCCAAACGGATATTAGGCCCGAAGCCACCTTCACCCTAGCGCACATCCGACAGAGTCCCGACTTTTTTTGATGAAACACGGCAGCAGGGTCCATCGGATGATTACCGCCGACGCTCGCCATTCTCGCGTCATCCTGAATTCGAGAACGGGCGATTAGATCCCACAGGTGGAGCGTCGTATAAAGGTCCCGTCGATTATCTTATACTTCCATTTGGTGCAATTATTGCGCCTATCTTTTGAGAAGCGGACCTTGAGTTCAAGGGCGGATCCACGAGGCGGCAGCCGCATCTTGATCGCTGATTAGATTCCATGGGGGTGTATTTTCCATTGTGCTCGGTGCCGCAACCTGCTACTGATAAGTAGGATTAAAATGTCGTTACTAGTAACGACACCGCGATTCAAGGACATTGATATATCTGACTGGTTGATTAGCGAGGTGAAAGATTTGTGCGGTACGTACGATGTTATGATCTACAAATTAACCATGACGATGCTTGCTGGCATCGAGCGAGACCGTCGGGAACGGAAATTCCACAACGGCCGCAGCTAGCGCGATTAATGCTCTAGAGTGCGGAATTACCCCAGCAACCGGCATAAGATAGGCTCTACATTGTTGCATCCTACGGGATCTCACCAGAGACAAAAGAATGGAGATAAATCGGGTGCGCCAGGTATTTGGAGAGTAGCAATATAGTAAGGGTTAGTACAAACTGGGAAGATGATGCCGAAGGGGTTAAAACATGTCACCTCCTACTAGGGTATGTCGCAGACTAGAATGGATTTTTTAACTTTGAGTGCGCTTGTTAAACAGTTACAGAGTTTACTCACGCTGTAAGAATGGACCTGATAAGTCCTGTAGTAATACATCAGTGAATGTTGATAAGACTTGGTACGTACCTGGGACCAGCCAAGTATAATCAAGAAGAAATGAAAGTTAGAGTACCGTAGCAGTGTTTCCTCATATGGCAACTACGTCGAAGGTGAGCAATTCTACTACGGGTTGGTTTTCAACAGTAAGTTTTCCACGCATGCCGGAGACAACAATATTAAGCATCGATCACCACACCTGAGACTCAAGTACTCACCGTAAAGAATCTGCTGAGGCCAAGTACTAGTACTCGGACTCAGTGTATGTTTGTGGCGGTGGCACAGCTGTGGGAGCGATGATGCCAGTTGAGAAGCCGGCTTGGAATGCCATCGTGGGACTAGACGACTATCCGTGAGCAAAAAAATTATTCCAGACTCGCGAAGTATGTATAAAAACATCAAACCGTAATGCAGAATTTATGGTTTGATATGGGTCGTACTGCACGCCAAACGAAAAAAAAAGAGAAACGGTCGAGCCGTTTCCTTGGCGGTAGATTATTATGTCAGCGGATATCAGACAATGTGAGATTACATAATAAGCAGCGGCGCGACTTCAAAGTTCTTATGCCATTCCGCATTATTCCAGCGCTACGCCCGAGTCATCGCATCAACGTACTTAGCAGAGAGGGATGGCCAGGCTGCTGATAAACTGGCGTCTGTTCATCTTTCTCTGCTATGACGCTGCAGATCTCGGCCGAGATGTCGATCAAGGTTCAGTCTCCTGCAACCACCTATAGTTGGGGTCGTTCGAGACCGTGACTCTCGGAACTGAAGACTTTCATTCCGTCCTATTCTCACTGATGAGGCTATGAATTCTAGGCCTTGTTGCTGTCGATTTTAGAATAATTTCCCTTTGTCCTTACAGATCATTCATGTTCTCTGAAGGATCCACCTCGATATTTGTCCAAGTTGTTACCAAATACCGATATCAGCGTACGTCCTTGCTGCCTCGAGCTCCAGGCTCAAGCGCTGACCAGATAATTGGATAATGTTCAAATTGCATATTGCACAGTGTAGAGTTACGATTGGATAGAATCTGTCGTCGTCCAAGTCGGTGGGTGCTGGTAAACATCATGTCCCAAGGCAAGATTGGAATGAGATCAAAGGCACAGCACATATGAACTAACTGAAGGGTCCCATTGGTCTATAATATTCAAGCAGTGCACATGATACTAGTATATAATTTATTCGCTCTCCGGGCTCGATCCCTCGTCTCCATCTTCATCTGATGGTAGAAAGTGAAGGTGGTCATCAGGGCAAAATCGGCGAATAACTTACAGTCTACAAAATCACGCCTGTCGTACATTTGCTTCCTCATTTGTTCTGGCTGTATTTCATCCTCATCATCACATGGGGGATTCGCGATGACCTGATGTAAATCCTTTTCCGAAGGAAATCGGCTCTTTGCATACTCCAGGGGTGTGAGCCCGCCTGGCATCGCCCTATGGAGAGCGCTCAGCACTTCGTCTGACCAGGACGCGAAGAACGCACTGTTTGCTTTCTGCGCCGCAACTTAGTAGTTCTGTAACAATTTCAAAACGTGCCTCATCATCGTTGATCTCCTTCAAAGCGATATAAAGGGGTGTATCGCCATTCTTGTTGCGGAGATCAAGGTCGACAGCCCCACCACAGAGAGCCACTACATCAGCCGGATGCCCTTGACGTACACTGAAGAATAATGAGATAGACATGAGGAATCGTATCACATTATAGAAGCTTGCGATACGAACGCGAGGTGAAGAGCTTCCCGATGCCTCGCGAATGTGAGTAGTGGTAGAGGAGCCTTTAAATCTGACTTACCAGTATTTCCCAATCTAACGTGACGAGCGCCATGTGCATCAGAATAAAATCACTCTGTATGTGAGCAGGCTTACGCGTCTGTGCAGTTGAAGTCTCCAAGGAACTCATCGGTGTTCTCGTCGAAATATTCAGGATTTTCCATCATCTCTTCTAAAGCCCCCTCTGTTAAGGCATTGACGAGGAGCAGTCTATCTGTGATGAAGATCTGAGGACAAGTGCATCGGGAGTGACCTCTAACGCACTGATTGTTTTGCGTTTGTCTTCGTCTTCAGCCATGTTGGTCAGGAGATTAGAGTTGCCACAGTCAGCAATTACTGTGTTGCGTGGCTGTGCAGCTTGATTGATCCTGTACTAAAAATAACTCACCTCTTCACTACCGACTCTATGTCATGTATGTCTGACACTGTCAAATCTGGGTTCGCCATGGAAAAGTAGGTCTGATTGTGGCAAATGAGAGACAAGGGCTTTTCAACGTTTTTCCCTTTCAAGCAGCACACCACCCACATCCATTGTCGGCATGCGTCTATTTCTACCAGATAGCTGCGATTTGACTATGATGCTGACAGCCGAGTGGTTCTCGCGAAACAGTCGCTGAAGGCCCGGTTTCTCTCGTCTCAAGGGGCTTACTCGAGCGTGAAGGGCAGACTCAGTGTATTGCGATAAAGACATCCACCATCCACCACAGACATGCCAAAGAACCACACGACATCATCAAAGAGGCGAGGCTGATCGCCTCCGTGTGTCATCCAAACGTGAGTCTCGCGCAGAGTGGTCGGGCGAGTCTTACGTCTCATCGTTAGGTGGTCCCTATCTTAGGCCATGACATTGATTCAGCGCGGCAGACTATGAGCTTTTGGATGCCATACGTGCCTTCGTCTTTGATCGCGTTGTTATCTTCGAATGACTTTTCTCCTCATCCACTCATTTCAATCCTGCTTGCAGATCCGTCAAGTCCCAGTCCACGCGAGCAGCGCTTTGTCCTCGTCGCAAAATCGCTCGTGTTTCAAATTTTAAGCGGTGTCGCATTCCTTCATGAGACAGCAAAGATCGCACACCGAGATATCAAACCAAGCAACATACTCCTCACCTTATCTGGCCGAGTCCAGCTTATCGACTTTGGCATATCCTGGAAGGAAGGAGAGGATCTTGCCGCAAAGAAAAACGATTTATGGGTTGAAACCCCGGAAAAGATGTATTTCGAAGTTTCTACAGGGTATGTCCCTGTCCGATCGAGCGTGAAACGGGCTCACTCTCTGAGATGTAGACCATACCGTGCTCCTGAGCTCCTGTTTGGGCCTAGGAGTTATGATGCATTCGCGATCGACTCTTGGAGCCTCGGAGCGACTTTTGCGGAATTTTTCACCTCCGTTCGTCTGTTCAACCCGCTTGACGACGAAGATTTCGATTTTGAGGGCGATGAGCTGTCTGATTCGGACGACAATAGCCCGTCGAAGTCAGCTGAGCCGTTTATCATACCAAAGAGACTTCGCGTCGGAGATCCCACGAACAGGTGGACCAGGGATTCATTATTTGATTCCACACGTGGAGAGATTGGCTTAGCATGGAGTATTTTCAAGACACGAGGTTCGCCTAACGAGACCAATTGGCCAGTGAGTGTCATTGGATTTGTTACCGGTTTCTTCTTTTCTGACTCCAACAAGTCCTTTTTGAGCCTACCGGATGCGAACAAGTTGTCCTTTATCAATGTGGAGCCTGTTGAGCTTTGCTCCATCCTGCCCAATTTATCTTCGTCCACACAGCAACACGAGGTCGATACGAAGACACACATTCCACCAGAAACCATGCTGCCAACTCCTGTCGATCTTATCCACCGATTCGTTGTATACGAACCATCTCGGCGTCTCCGCCCTTCCAAGGCCTTGACTCACCCCTGGTTCACTTCTGAACCACCGTTACTTCTACCAGATGACTTTCCTGTTGGATGTATCCATGGTGAGGCCCCAACGAGCCTTCACTGGGGCGCAAAGTCTCTGGGAGAATGGATTTCGGATGTTCATCCCAGTGGCGCAATTTGAAGGGATGGGTAGAATGAGGATACGATAACATCATTTGTTATACAATGCATATAATTTACAAAACATGATAGAAAGCAAGAACCGAGAAGAGCGCCCGTGCATGCCTCAGGGTGCTGCCGGCGCAGGCTTGATGGTTTGACGAGCGAGAGCATGATTATCGATGGATATACCTGTGCGAGAACAAATGAAAAACACATCCTGTGAGATAATAATGTCACTGACTCTGTGTTGCATTTGCAGTCTTGTATATACCAATGAGACGGTGACTGAGCTCGAACATGTCATTCCTGCAAATTTCATATTAGCAAATGTAGCTATTGGGAGAAGGAATGGTCACCTCAAGGATATAATAATGAATTGCGCATTCTTGGTACGGTCCTTGATATAATTTGCCACAATCGAGACATTCCTGAAGTCTAGGGCCGCATCTATTTCATCCATGAAATAAAGTGGTGTGGGCTAGGACAGGTTCAGGCTACTGGGGCTGCTCACGGAGTCGATATGAGGTTTACCTTGAACACATGTAGAGCGAACACGAGAGCAAGAGAGCTAAGAGTCTGAAGCACGATTAGCAGTGTGTTCCCTAATCCTCAAAGCAGAACGCACCTTTTCGCCACCAGAGAGATTTGAAATATTCTTCCAACTCTTCTTCGGAGGCATCACACTGAAAATAATGCCCTCTGAGAAGGGATCCATGCTGTCGACAAGCTCAAGCTCTGCGTTACCCCCCAGAGTGATCATCTGACGAAAGATATAAAATTCTGATCAACCAAAGAACGTCAGCACGAACCTGGTACATTTCCTTGAGTTTCAATGAAATCAAGCTGAAACCTGCCATGAATTCATCCAAGCGTTGTTTCCGGAGACCATCGTAGAGTTGCTTCTGCGCATCGCGTTCTGCAGTCGTCTCATCCAAGTCTTTTGCGCGTTTCATGAATTCCTCCTCTCGCTTCTTGTACTCCTTGAGAACGTCGAGGTTTGGATTGGAGCTTTTGAGTTTCTCTAAGACGACCAGTTAGTAGAAATTGCGCGTGACTAAGGTGACAGAACATACCATCAAGATACTCAGAATCTGCAAGCATATCCCTCTTCTTGAAGCGTGCAAGTTCATCGGCGCTGTATATGTGTAACTCTGTCGATGGAGCGCGTTGACGAGCTTTCTTCGGAGGTGCAGAATCTGCATGTTCCTGCTTCACTGCCCCTTCACCACTGCCTGAAACTCCAGCAACTTGGTCAGCACCTTCCTCTTCCTCTTCGTCCTCGTCATCACTGCGAGTGGCTGTAAACACATGAAAATTTAAATAATCAATAGACAATGGCTTACTCGATTTCGTGAAGCTTAAGCCGGTCGTGTTCTGTCTGCCAGTGGTCAAGTACACGCTCATTTTCAGCAGATTCTTTCTTCTTGTCGGCAAGCTTCTGGGTAATCTCAAGCTGGAAAACCCGTGAGTATCGAAATATCAACTGCATAGCAAATAACCGACCTCTTTCTTCCTGAACTCATCGATTTCCTCGCGTTTTTCCTGAAGTTGCTGCTTGAGTTGATCAAGATCATCTTTCGAGCTCTCTTGAGCGGCCTGTGCAGCTTCCACCTTCTCCTTGAGGTCTTCCAAATACTGTGCGACCTCGGCTAGCTGATCCTTCAGCTCCTCAAGCTCTTTCTCGACTTCCTCCAGCGCCGCACGGTTGGTCTCAATGCCAGACGCATACTTTACGATGTTCTTCTCTGCAGTAGCCTTCATAACTTCAGCCTTGGTGACCTCTTCGTTGGCTAGCTGGTGCAGCAAGCGAATACCATCAACGGTGGACTTCTGTTTCAGCAGCTTTGAGCCACCTATTTCGAGAATCTTCTTTTCAAGATCTTTAATCGCGGCCTCGATAGCGCCAGTCTTGGTCTGCAGTTCTTCAAGCTCTTCGGTTGATGATGCAATCTGGGCATCTAGAGTGTTGATTCGAGCAAGATCCTTAGCGTTAGGCTTGCTTTGTGCTCTAGAAACTATTTAGTAGCGATCCTGCATAGGACACATAGAATGCACGTACTTGAGATCCTGCACACGCCTCTCAGCATCACTTAGCCGCTTCTTCCCATTATTGACGCCCATCGCAAGCTTTTCGATATTGAGCTCTATCTCCGGTACTGACTGAGTGAGCCTTTCGGCTTCGGCTTCAATATTGCGAAGCTCCTGCTGTGCCGCCTCAAGATTACGTGCCGCTTGCTCACTCTCTTGTTCATAAGTTCTCAGAACTTGTGGGCTCACTGCCTCCGCCTGAAGCTTCGAACTCATTCCACCCCGCGAGACGTGGTTGCCACCACCCGACATCGTTCCTGATGAATCGATCAACTGCCCTGCGAGCGTAACAACGCGCCAGCGCTTTGAGCCCCCGAATGCAATCCTGTTCGCTTGGTCTAAAGTATCAGCAACAAGGGTATTCCCAACGGCTTTGTAGAACGCAGATGCGAAGCGGGGATCCTTTGGTTTGATGAGATCGAATAGGCGCGGGACATTCTCGGGTGTGACCACACGCTCGTTGAGTCTGTCAGTGGGAAGCTTCTCCAGCACCATGAACGATGCGCGCCCGATGTTCTGCTTGCGCAAGAATTCGATGCATGCTTGGCCCTGGGCGACAGTATCGACGACCATGTTGCCAAGGGCACCACACGCGGTAGAGACCGCGACATCGTATTTGTCTGAGATAGTGCCTAGGCTACCGAGACGGCCCTGTAAGATAATGAGTGATTAAAAGGCTGCGCAGAGGACGAGAACATACATGGAACCCATCGATCCGACCAGTCTGCTTGAGCCTCGTTAAGCTATCCAGGACTTTGTTCTGCGATGTGCTTGCTGCTTGGGATGCTCTAGCCTCCTCTGCCTTTTGCCGCAGGGAGCCTGCCTTGGATCGAAGCTCCTGGACGCCAGCTTGAGCAGCCTAGACAGAACTGAATGTCAAAATCGATCACATCCTGTATGCCCGCAGACGTACATGGAACTTTTCTTCACATGTTCCCAACTTCTTCTGCACATCCGTCTTTTTCTCCCTCAGGGAATTCAACTCATTCAGCTGGATATTCTATTAGCGTCATCTTTCCCATTTTACAAGATGGAACATCACCTTGCCCTCTTGTTCTACCTGCAATTCAGCCAACTGCTCCTCCGCTTGCGTAACGGCGTCTTTAAGCCCTGTGGCTTTCTTTGCAAGTGCGTCCCGTTCAGAGGTTGCTACGTCAATCGCAGCCTGTTTGACATTAATCTTGGCGGTCCACGGCTGCAGTTCTTTCTGCTTCGCCTCAATCTGTTCGTGGAAGACTTGCGTTTTGTCTACCAATCCATCTTAATAATAGTGTCAAGTACGGCGAGACCATGGACCCACCCTTCAAGCTATCCCGGATTCCTTCGAGCACCTTCTCTTCCTTCTCCAAGTTTGCCTCGTGCTCCGCAATCTCACGCTTCTTCGTCATGATTTTAGCATCGGAGTCCTGGATTGTGTTATCGGCTTGCTTTTTCGATTGTTCATCCTGTTTAAGCAAAATGTTAGATCCGTCCCCAAGAATGGAAGCCGACAGATGATCATGAGACAGGGAAACAAGTGAAACATGGGAACGTGTCAAATAGAATGAAAGGAAGTACGAATGACAGCGAAAATGGGTGAAAGAAAACTCACGTCTGCCAACGTCTTCTTCAGCTTTTTCGCCTTCGCGCTCGCATGCTTCCGGCGCTCCTCAAGACTCACGGACTGCTTCTCGCGTGCCGCGTTGTCCTTCGCCGCTTCCTCGGCTGCTGCTTTCACTTCCTGCAAAGATAAGATTTATCAGCATTGGAGGAGGACTAACAATATACGTTTATACCTCGTACGCCTTTTCACGCTCCTTGTAATGCTTCTCGAGCAATTCTAGATGCGTGATATCGTCCTTGTTCCGTTCCCTCTCACCTTCAAGCTCCTTCTCCAAATGTTCCTGCCCCACACATCAGCAGCGCAAAGAAGGGGGAGAAAATCAAGCACTCACAATCTGCGCGGCGAATTGTTCGTCATTCTCTAAACATTTCCACAAATAATACTGCCACAGCCGGCTGAGAGCCCTCACATGCTCGTTTGCAAGCTTCAGCCATGCCAACGCCTCCTTCCTCTCTGCATCCAGCTTTGCCTTCTCCTTCTCCACAATCCTCAATCTGGCAACCTTCTCGGCTCTCTCCTCTCCCAGTCGATCAACTTCAGCGAGGGCAGCCTCGATTGGTGCTTTGAGCACAGCAGTACCGATAATGTCCTCTAGGTATTCAAGCAGTCCGTCATCGTGCTCAGAAGTACCTTTAGGCTTCATCTGCGCGATAGATTCAACTTCACCCTGCAGGATAAGGAAACGCTTGTGGGTAAGGTCAATCCCACGCCCCCGCAGAAGTGTTTGGACCTCAGTGTAGGTGGACGGTCTTAAATTGACCGTGTAACGAGAGTTATTGGACTTGGTCGCTGTGCGAGCGACAACGAGTGAGGAGTTCGGGACGATAGTGTAAGCGTCGGGTCCAGGCTGAGGCGTTGAGTGACTTAGTTCGGTCAGACGTCAATGAGCGAGGGAACATACGAGGTCGATAATCTCGCGGAAATGAACTTCCACGCTGCACTCATCCAAGTCAGGATACCGTGCAGAATTGTGGATGAGCTCCGAGAGTTTGCCCTGGCGCATCTTCGACGCGCGATAACCAAACACAAAGAGGAGCGCATCGATTGTGTTCGATTTCCCGGAACCATTGGGGCCTACGATTGACGAAAAAGACTGCGCGTCACCGAAGTTAAGTATAGTATATGTTAACTATAAGCCGTATACTAGGTACATACCTTGTGGAAGGGGCCGATCTCTTGTCTGCCCGCGTAACTCTTGAAATTAATGAGCGCCATCTTGTGTATCACAAGACGCGGCTTAGGACCTGAAGGTTCTTCAGCAGGCGGGGGCCGCATCACCGACACAGGTTTCATGCGGGGCTCAAGAAGGGAAATTTCTTCCTCTTCCTCTTGCGGCGGGGCAGGGCGTTTAGGTGTCATCTGCGACAGCTGCGATTGTCGGGGTACACGCCGAGGTGTTTGCAGAAATTCTTCCTGAAATCCGTCGAGATCATCTGCGTTGCCTTCGGAAGTGGGTGAGGGATGCCTGGGGGATGTAGCAGGAACAGATTTGTGGGGCCTAGGCGTAACTTCGACATCAGCGGGAGGCGCGATCGCCTTTGGCTTGCTAGAAGACGCTTTAGGGGTTCTAGGAGCAGCTGTAACGTCAGATTCATCACTGGATATAGTGATGGGATTGTGCTCGTCATTTTCGGATTTGAGTTTGACGGGTTTGCGGGATCGAGGAGCCGGTTTAGGCTTTGCGGGCTTGATGTCTTGTGCCTCATCATCATCTTCGACCTTGCTTTTTACCTTGCTAGGTTTCTTTCCCTTAGCCTTTGGCGCAGATTTGATTTCTTGAATATCGTCATCGTCTTCAGGTGCTTTGCGAGATGTTCTTCCGCGTTTGGGTTTGGCAGGCTTGACCTCTTGAATTTCCTCCGTCGTCGTCTTCCGAGATAGCAATAGGTTCCTTCGTTTCCTCTACGTCCGAATCTTCTACCACAGTTTTGCGCGATCGAGTTGGCCGGGGCTTCGCGGATGACTTCCGAGAGGGTTTCACTTCTTGCACCTCGTCGTCGTCATCGTCCTGCACAGTTTTCTTGACCCGACCTCTCCTTGGTTTCTGCAATTCCACAATTTCATCCTCGTCGTAATCCTCAACCTCAGCAGAACTTCTTGGCTTCTTCTTCACAGGCTTCTCCTCATCCTCTTCTGTCTCAGCCACCTCTTGCAGCTCACGACTAGGTTTCACAGACGTACGCGTAGATGTTCTTGCAGATGCTCTGGAAGACGGTGCTGCAAGTACTTTCGAAGAAGGGCCCACACTGCCTCTTGTCGATGTCCTGCGTGCTCCAGGCGCATTTTCTTTCTCCTCTACGTCATCCGCGTCGGCTCGTTTGCGTTTCGCAGAGTTTGATGCCTCTTGTTCAGTGGATGGTCGCAAAGAGCGAGACGACCTGCGAGGAGGCATTCTTCGGAAACTTCTCAAATTCACGATGATTTTAGTTGATCCACAAGAAAGGTTCGACGCGTGATGTGATGCGTTCTGTGACTGATCGCGTGTGTCACATCACATGACTAACTTGTCAGCTGCTTCGTCATGCCAAGTGACAGCGCTGAGATAAATTTAAACGGATGATATTTGGGATGATATAAGTCTCCTATCAGATTCCCACTCTCTTGATCACCACCCACCGTCTCTGATATACATCAAAGCCATCATGTCCAACGCACACACTCTGCCTGATCTCCCATACGCCTATGATGGTCTCGAGCCTTTCATCTCGAGGCAGATCATGGAGCTTCACCACAAGAAGCACCATCAAACATATGTGAACGCTCTCAATGCTGCCGAGGCTAGCTACGCAAAAAGCTCCACTCCCAGGGAGCGCATCGCCCTCCAGGCAGCACTCAAGTTCAACGGTGGTGGTAAGTCTTCATACTTATCTCAGGCACCAGATTATCGCGTCATCGGTGTTTTCATCTTATCGCTCGTAATCGATCGCTATCCATTTAGGTCATATCAATCACTCTCTCTTCTGGAAGAATCTAGCGCCTGCCTCCAGTGAGGGTAAGGGTAATGGTGGTTCCCTGAAGGCTGGTCCTCTCAAGGACGCCATCGAGCAGACTTTCGGGTCGCTCGATGCGCTCAAGAAGGAGTTCAATGCCACCACTGCTGCTATTCAAGGTTCCGGATGGGGCTGGCTCGTAAGTTTGTTGCTTCATCGCACACGACTGATGCAGTGCTCACGGCATTTCACTCTCAGGGTTTGAATCCTTCTACCGGTCGCCTTGAGATCACCACGACCGCAAACCAGGATCCGCTTCTCACTCACGTCCCTATCATTGGGGTTGACATCTGGGAGCATGCGTTCTACCTCCAGTATCTCAACGTTAAGGTTGATGTGAGTTATTATCCTTCGTTGGAGCGAGATGCACTTCATTGACGTCTATAGTATTTGAATGCCATTTGGAGCGTCATCAACTTTGAGGAGGCTGAAAAGAGGTTCACGGAGGGTCTTGCCTCTTCTAGCAAGCTTTAAGCTCCGCAGGAGGGCAATGAAATAAAATGAAAGAGGGAAAACTTGCGCCATGTTGTATTATCGGATTGTTACTCATCTTTGTGCTGCACTAGTAGTATCTTCGTACTCAGTCATGTTCAAGCAATGGTATTCGGTGAATGAAACAATGAATCTAGAGCAAACAATACGTACGACAGTGCAGACGAGACATGTGTGCTGTCCCAATCCTCAACTAGCGTCAAAGCCGTTTCACATACCCATCCTGCTGGATGTCACGCGTCTCCCTCCACACGCCCTCCCCATCCTTCTTGCGCACAGTAAAACAAGCGATACCGAGAAACTCCGTGATATCCCTAATGACCAACGCGCAGAAGCGTGCATAGGTGATGAACGAAACCGCGAGCGTCAGGTAGATGAACACCGCCGTTCGCTTTGGTGTTGACTGTATTAACGACGATCTGTTCAAAATGAGCTTTCTCAATATCAGTGCATTGACACTCGATGCTCACCTGTCAATCAGGAATGGGAGCTGGGCATCGATCACCCCGACAACATTCCATAGCCACAAGCTGTTCCACAGGGGAAATGGTGCACGTGTAATATGGCTTAAGATCATCCTTCCCACTTGATGAGCAAACTGTAAGCCCCATGCGCAAAGAAACGGTAGGAAGAGTGGTGAGTGAATGATAGCGGAATCGTGGTAAGTGGGGCTCAACAACCACAAGATCTGGAGGGTCGCTGAAATAACGAAGGGCAAGAGGTAGACGAGGGGTTTGAGACTTGACTTCCCCTCAGATCTGGTGGCTTTAATGACGTTGCGGTAGCTGAGGAAGCGTTAATACATAAACCCGATAATTTTTAGTGTATTCACCTTGAGATAATGTTGAAAGCCAGACCAAAGGCACCGAAAACCATGAAAGACTCATTAAGACCAATATTAGGAACGTGCTGAACAATTTGGGGTATCTTATTTAGACGGGTAAAAGTCAGGAGTTTCTTGTCCCAGAATGTAGGACCTGTGGTACGAATAAGATCGAGGGTTTTTGTAACAAAACTTCTCTTACCAAATATTCCCGTTATAATATAAATGATCACAATCATTAAGATACCCTCTACCGGGCCTGAAAATGGACCAAGGTACAATATTCCTGGATTGCAAGTCGATAAATGAACACGACTTGTACATGTCACTAGACCCACCAGTATGATATTCTTCCCATGTAGTCAAGTAGAAGCTTGCAAGGGTAGCAATTTGCGATGCAACAGTCCACCATGAGCGGCCAAGATTGAGTGCACGCGAGGCGAGAGCGACCTCGAGCTGAAGAGTATGAAGGATAAGGCGAGATATGCAACCTGAAACGCGGACAACGTACTGTAGTGTTGAGTGCATCACAACCTGCGAGAAAAAGGAGGTTAAATATCGATGTGCGTCAGGAAACGCGCACACAGACCGTGATCAAACATTTCTCCCAAAGGACCGGCCATTCCCGTTCTGCGTGCTTGCTTGCTGTACTTGGATAAGCGCCGATCGTGACTGGTGCAAAGGTATCCTACTCACCCATCTACCGCATCAAAACTTTGGTACATGAACAATCCAATCGCCCATCTAAGTTTCGAGGGTCAGCGTGATACAAGCTTGATACAAAGAACAGAACGCGCACGTGAAGTAGATCCACTGAGGAGGTCCTGGTGCCCCGTCCTTCTCGGTCAAGTAAAGCGGGTCATAATATAGTAGTGTAATGACATTAAAAACAACGATGCATAGGCCAAGGAGGGTTATCTGAGCAGGTTTGATCCAACTGGCACCAAGAGCTAAAGCGGTGATAACCTACGGTGTTTGGGGCGATGGTCAATGGAAAGAGCTTGATGAACCAATTCCAATATGGCGTAAGGAGATAATGCGAAACCAAAGATCTTATTCTCAAAGTTCAGTATCACAGCAAAAGAACAACTTGGAAGAGGCTCACTCATCTACACCTTTATAGGAATATTTTTTGAGGTTTTTGAGTGCTGGTTGTGAGAGGTAACCCATAGAAAAGTGTGTAATTTTGGGAGATGGTCTGTAAACAACGTCGGAAACGTTCAAATACACAGAACATACATGCCAAGCGAACAGTAGCTATCTATGTGACGAAGGCTCCAAAATTTTGCTCCGAGTTGTTAACCTGCACAGCCACTGAATCTCTCAGACCAAACTTGAATCAACACTTGGCAATGGATATTCTTGAAGGTTTTCCTCACCGAAACATGTGGCGGTTTCTGTTTAGAAGGTCAGAAGATATAATTCGACGTATATAAGATATAAAGTTCAGAATCACATCGTCTTCCAATGGTTATTGTTATGTTCGAACCCAATGTGAGCTGCAGGGCATTTGTTGTATTGATCAGCGAGACAAGGTTTTGACGTGCGACTTGATGTGCGTGACGCACAGCACCGAGAAGCAGGACCAGGGTGCGGTGCTCGCTGCGGAAATATATAAAAAGGATTTAATCTTGGACTATATTGAGTACATCATAGACGTTTCTTAACTTCCATGACATCTCCGCATGACGATTCCGAGAGCTTGCTATGCTCGTCACATATGTTGCACTTATTATCTCGCACTTGTATCCCTGCACTGATGCAGATGGGCCTGTATCAACACGAATGCCCGCACTTACTAGTATGCTCACGTAGATATCTTCATTACTACTTTTGTCACTATCTCCTCATCTAGTAGCCTCACATCCGTCGCCTTGCGGGTCCTACGATCTGAGGATTCAAGGTTTCACTACGCCGCATCGCATTTACTCGCTTGCATACTTCACGAGTGAAAACGACACCTGACAGAGCACATTTAAGCATGCTTGCACTAACTTGTAATATTATGATAAGAACCGCCACATTTAAAGCGAAGGTCTTCATATCCGAAAGTCTGATGAGTCGGAGGTAAAGCTGTATCATGCGCGTAATCAGAACGAAAGAACGATGCTGGAGAAGTCTGCCCTTGATACGTATATTAATGGCACTCATGACTGTATCGCTTCCTTACATATGCCTGGCTCAATAATATCAGCTTCCCATATTGGACGTGCGCCCATTTGCTCAGTCCATGTAGACAATCTGATTCATGGACTCTTTTCTGTCGACGTTATGTTAGCAAATGTCGTCAAGGCGCGTGCGGCATTAATTAACGGTTGCAGCAGGAAAAATCGTGGTGAGTAGGCCCTGGCGTCGAGTTTGCTGTGCTACAGGCTGAGTTGCTGCTGAGGACGACTGACTGGTCTGAGCGTTAGCTTTCACAAGAGGACGCACTACGTAAACGTTCTGGAGATTCGGTCATGTATATGGCAGGACGAGGGAACCTCACACAACTCACCTGGGATTTACATTCTTCCAACAAAGACTTACGACGCGAAGAAACTGCGCCTGAGGCGTTGCTGCAACGAAATGATCTCAGTGACCGCAGGGGTAATGCCTATAGGGAATAGCAAAATTCTAGAAGCTAGCTGAGGACAGGTTGCGACTCCTGGAAAGATAAGAAATCTCAGACAGCGCCGAAGGATGAGATGACTGGGAAGACTACTTATTCATCACAAGATACAGCACAGGGATTACCTGAAAAATGGATCTCCTCGATCACCACTGCCTACGGAGAGGAATAGTCTTGAGCGCTGATGACTAGTTGGGGAACCAGGACACATTGCTGGATGGTGACGAAGAATATTGTAGTGCTCCTATACCACCGGCTCCCCTTATCATCACCCCGGCCGTGGTTCGTCATGTTGCGAGTATCACCAGAAAATGCTTACATTCGTAGAGATAGTAGTAACCTGCATGCTGCTCGATATGAGGTAGCTGAAAGCAATATTAATGTTTGAAAGGAAAGAAGACGCATTCACTCAATGAAAAATGCAGCGCATGGTCCACCACGAGTCCACGACCATCTCGATGAATAGACTTGGAATGCTGTCAAGAACGGGTAAGACACCTGTCCCAGAAAGTGATTCTTCAGCTGGAAGTCACAAAAATCAGCTGACTTGCATGCTAGGCCGCATCGACGAAAATATAAAAAGGACATTACAACTCCGCGAGTATTGGAGACTTGGACCTGATCAACGATGCTACACGAACTGCCTACAGAGATTGCTCTCTACATAGCATCCTATCTCCCATTACAATCTCTCCGCAATCTCTCCCTCGTATCCAGAGCATGGCACGGTCTGATCACAGACAATCTTCAAGCAGTTTACCGCAAAGCAGCTATCTTACATCGCTTTGTCCTTCATGCCGATCTTCAGGCTGATTCCTCTGGTCAAAAACCAGATACGAAGAAAATAGATTGGTTGCAACTCTGTCTGTGCTTCTCAAAGTGCAGCTGATACCATTTGACCATCTCTGCTAGGTCAAAGACGATTGCAGATCGAGAGGGGTTGGCGAGGCAAGGCTCCGTCTATCGCGAGAGAGCTAACTTCCACCGGCAAATTCGTGCATCGAATAAAGGTCGACCAGAAGGAGAAATTCGTGATGACCACTCGCCACCATGGAGGCCTCTCCGTGATCGATTACGACACTGATCGCGTGCTTTGGGCAATAGTGAGTCGTCTGACATGCCCGTCTACCCTATCCTGAATCATCCTGACAAAACAGACTCACGTCGTCGATTACGCCCACTGCGAATATGACCGTGGCCACATCATCTTCAACCGTCACGACGATAGTAAGGAAGTGTGGCGCTACGCCCGTGACTTTCAAGACTCTGAAATTCCAGAGGGCTTCAAGCCTGACGAGGCCATGATCAGTGCATCACAGGAAGCTGCTCAGCGTTATGCATCCCCAACACTTCGTGGCCATTTCAGACCGTGGGCTCTCCTCCACATGCCAGAACCCACCCGTGCATTCCGCTTCTCGTACCCAACGCTGCTTTCGGCTGGCGCAAATTACGCCTATTTGTGGGACGTATCGACTTCTTCTCTTGTTGAAACGATCAACAACATTCAAACGCCCAATCAAGATGGGACTCTAGGGACCCTCTGCTACGTCGAAGTCAACGACCAATACGCTTTCTTCTGCGGGTCCAATCAACTACGCATTTTTGCAAGAGGCGGTGGTGCCTTGGTATATCACCTGTGCATGAAAGACTTGCAGCGCGTCAACTGGGATGTACTTCCAGACAACAATGATGACCCGTCTCCTTCATCTCTCTTCCAGCCCCAACGACTTCACGAGGCATATCACGTTTCTTCATCATCTCCGAGCAACTTTGTTGCAGGTAAGGTCTATACGTCGATCTATATCATCTACTTATTATGTGTGTAGCCCATGTATCCACCTCGGGCAAGGACATCGCAATCCTCACCGCATCAGGGATCTTCATTTGGATTCGGGGCTTTGAACGACTCTTCCATCGTGAGGCCACACTTGGTGACATAGCAACCTTCCTCAATTTCAACGCCTCCCGAAACGGCTTCCGAGATGTCTCAATCTATCTAGCGCTCGGAGAATCGAACGAAAAAGCTGCGATCGCAACCGTAAGTCTTCCTTCCACACATGGGATTCTCAGCGCTAAACCCATCGCAGCGCAAGGGCTTGTTTATCGTATCCTTAGACCCTGAAATCAGCAAGTTAACTGCGGAAGGCGCCTGCGCGTCCTGGCTTATCCGTCTGCCGCATGGCAAGATACGACAACAGCCGACACCTAGCATCTATATCATGTCTGCAAATGACAGATACGGGCCTCTTTTTCAACTGGTACCCGTCTTCAGAGCAAAACAGACCTTCTCAACCAGCCCGGCGCATGATGATGATCCCGCCTCCACCTCATGGGCATCTTCCGGCGCCTATCCAGATTGTGCCGTCGCCTCAAGCTCAAGCTCAGCATGCGAACCAAGCCCAGGCACCTGTTCAAACTATGTTGCCCGTTGGCGTGGAGGGGCAGAGTGATTATCTTCCTGGGCTTGAGCCTATCGAGTCTAGCGATGATGATGAGGTGGGGGAATATGGGGCTCCTGATCCGCCTTCTCCTACTATCGCTGAGGATGCTGGTCCACCCCCTTTGGTCGAGACGCACGAAGACGAAGAGGACGAAATTGACGGAGGAGATCTTGTAGAAGACGAAGACCTGGATGAGGAAGCGGAGGATGAGATCATTGATGGTTTTCAGTTTGGTGGTGATGGTGAGCGCCTATTGTGTCGATACGTGTTCGTGATCTGATGTTGTGTCTTTTTGATGCAGGTTTTATGCAGGTCATCGTAAATGATTGGTTTCTTCCTATTAGCTCGAGCACGGTGCATTGCATACATGTTTGACGTATAAATCTGTTCGTGAATCTATTTTACAGAGTTGTACTACTTGGAGAATGCTACCATGATGAGCCCATGATCTACTGGCGCAGTCATTGCAACCACACGAGGAATACATGTGTTGAACCGAAGATTCAAAGCAGGTATTCGTCATCTGACAGAATGATCAGATTTCTATGGCGCCCATAATGCCGTATTCTTACACGTTGCTGTAGAGAGACAGGTGAGTTTGAGAGTGATGATTAAAAAGGACATGCTGTATAACGTATAGCCACGAAGAAGGGATATATAATTAGAAGTTGCCTATCAATCATGGTATCGTTCCTCGTCCTTGATAGCATTCCTGTAACGTGAATACCCTACCCGAGCATCCTGCGCTGATGAACTGACGATTGGTCCAAGCAGGACAATTGCAGCGGCTCTCGAGACTGGCAACGTCAGATAGGAGGACGACTCACCGAACACAATCCAATCAACCACCATGGCTTCCAGCTCGAAACGGCCTGTTATAGCAGTGAATGAATCGGTTCTAACACCGGTGATGACCTTGGAGGGACATAAACCCCATTCGTGGACCTCGTCTAATGGTACTCATCACGAGTACAAATCCGTTGACTGCATTTCCTATTTTCCCGACGGCAAGCAAATGATCAGCGGATCAATGGATAAGACGATTCGGCGATGGGACCTGCGGGACGGTAAGGAGATCAAGGAAGCTCGGGAAGTTTTCGAGCATTATGTACAAGGAGTGGGGATATCAAGGGATGGTCGATGGGTCGTCACTGCAGTTGATTGGGTGCTCAAAGTGTGTGAGGTTGAGACGGGGGTCGTGAGAATATTTGGTGCAGGCGTTGACAGTGGGATCAAGTGCATGGATATCTCCGCGGATAGTATGCTGCTAGCGGGTGGGTCATGGGATGGGACAGCGCGGATATGGAGCTTGGACACTGGACAAATCGTGGCTGGTCCATTCAAAATTGGTGATCAATTTTATTGGGGAATAGGAGTTCGACTCTCGCAAGACTCTCGGAAGCTGGCGGTGACATCATTGGATTTCAGGTCCAAGAAGCGATCCCTTCAAGTGTGGGACGTCCAGGCACAGAAATTGGCTGTCCGAGCCAGTGTCACTAGAGATCAGAGGTATACTTCTTACCCGATTTATTCACCGGTAATTTGGACAACAAAAGGCAAATCCATCATAACCATATCCACTCCAGATCTTGAATCGGTTGACACAATCTATGAGTTTGATGCGTCGACGCTCAAGACTGTCGGAGATTCATTCCAAGGCCACACACGTCATATCTGGAGGCTAGCACTCTCATTTGATTGTCTTCTTCTCGCCAGTGCTTCCAACGACAACACTATCAAGCTCTGGTCCTTTGAGTCCCGCCAACTCCTTGCCTCATTCCACGTCCGAAGTCCCTGTTCCCTTATCCTCTCACCTGACTCATACCAGCTGGCTTACACCACATGGGAGGAGCCCAACATATATGTATGCGACATTCCAGCCAACGTCCTCGCTAGTATCGGTTTCGCAAAAGAGGTGTGTATTCACCCATTCATAGTAGTAATTTGCCTACTAAAATATCTTCTAGACAAGCGGACACCTCACCAAGCTACTCAACGTACGTGATCCTGCTATTTTACTCATTACGCCACTCCATTCTCTATCCCAGTCTGACGCAACATGTCATCCCATTCGCCGTAAACCACCAATATCGGTCATTCCTCCCGCTCCCCGCCCTCTAGCAGTTACAGTTCAACCTTCGCGACCCGTCTTCCTTGGCTTTTTGCGCAAATTCCTCCCTTCTTCTCATACGAACACAGTTCGTCCCATTCACAACAACGAGCCCTGTAATCCCTTGGATGTAGGTTTCTTTCATCTAGCTTATTCACAGTTGACTGAATAATCCCCTTGTAGTTCCCCGCTACAAGACCCTTGCCTCGTCCAATTGTAGATCTCAATGACAATGTGAGCGAGGACCGCCATTATCATATGATCTACTGACTATTTTTTTAGTTTCTGCCACCGACCACCCAATCCTCTCCCCCTAATATCACAACCGTCAGATCCCTCCTACACAGCCTGTCAACCTGGCGGCCCCTTCAAAGAGGCCATAGATCGCCGGCTATCGTCGAGGTTCCTCTCGCACAAGGTGTTGAGGTATGCGCAGCCCATTTCTCTCGCTTCTCACTGCTCATATATAATCTTATAGCGGAACGTTGCAGCAGGTGGTACACGCCGCAGAGATGATGAATGGATACCTGAAGAAAATCATGTCTCTTCTCCTCCTTCACCTAATCCAGATTCACAACAGCAGACTACGGCAGGGCAGGTCAATACCAGTACAGGAGAGCATGGAAGCGGTCGGTTTTGTTTTTGCTTTTAGTTCGACTTTGCGACTGGTGCTGTCTCGAGTCCGTCGTGGACATCTCGCTCATTAGAACCTGCTTGTATCTATAGTGTTTTTACAGGTTGGAAATCACAGTGTATCACTGTTTGCATGCAATGCAATCTTGAAGTACATCCAAAGGCAAGCAGGTAAGTGCACCCATACAGATAGATTGCTCTTCGTCTTCACTGGCATTCTCGGGTGAGTCATAACACGAACACCATATCTGAGATTTGTGCGTTCAGACTAGTATCACTGGCTTATTTTTCAGGCAAAGCACGTCGTTTCGCGTCGAACTCGTTCGACTTGAATTTCGCTCAACGTCCATTCACTCGAACATATTCATATCCGCCTGATACTACAAAAATACAATTAATTTTCACATGAAGTCATGCTCATCTGACTACACGTCGCAAGATGTCCCTTCCACAAATCCTGACTTGCCTGTCGACGGTCTGTCCAGATTCCCATTTCTGTACACAGAGCCGCTATCTTTATGAGTAAATTGGGATATATGCACCTGCAAAGGCTTCAGGGGATAATGCCGCGAGTTTTCTCTGTCGTTCTCACTGCCAGTAGTCGACCCATGACGGACAGTCAAAATGTGACAGTGAGGATTTTTACCCATCGCGATACGAATGATCACCATGTAGAAAGTGATAGAGATGATAGGTGTGAGCTGGTCGATCAAAAGGTCAGTACGTTTCGACGATGTATGTTATCGATGAACTCACCACGTTTAACATAACAAGCGTTCCATTATTCGAGCAGACCAAACCGATCAATGTGCAGAGGAGCGCTATGGAGTATAAAATAGCAGCATCCATAACTACGCGTAGTATACTCGTCGTGGTGATCTTCATAGCGCGACTGCTAGCGATATTGCGTTCGATTTTCCATATGCGATATGCCAGTAATCCTATAAAAATTTAGCCTGGTATGAGAGTATGACGCCACGGACAGGCAGAAGAGCGCTTACCTGAACTCAGCAAATTAGTGGCAAGTGTCGAGGCATAAAATGCCAAGACCCATTCGCGAGTCTCTTGGCTAAAGACGTGTCCAGAGGTGCTGGTTGTGTGTGAAAAGCTGTAGATAGAGTATACACCAGTCGCTTTGAGATGACATCAGAGCATGCAACTGATTATAATTTGAAACTAACCTGCGATATCGCACCACAGTATGCTGGGTAGAATAATTACCCAGACGGTTTGCCAAACGACGTAACAACGATAAATCTTTATCCACAAAGCATCTCTATCAATGTCAAAACGGTAAATACGCAGTTGAACTCACCACTACCCCATCACCGAGTAGGGTTTGCAAAACGAATATCGCGCCGGTGATCATATAGGTTCCTCGGGAGAAAGACGCCTTTGGCCGGCCATGGAAATTGTCGCGGTACTGCGCTAGTCCTTCTTCAGTCTGAATAATACCCAAAACCATGTGCTTGGAGGAATTCAGCATATGATATCATACAGCAAGGCAAGAAGCTAACTGCAGTGCTCAGTACCAACAGCAAGACGGCCACAGCAGTGATCGGACGATTGATGTCGTGCATGTGACGTTTGTATGTCAGCGCCCAGATGGTGCCAATAAACATGAGGACAGAAAAGCCTGAATAACGCTATCTTGGTGAGTATGAGATGGCGAGAACGTTCGTATGCTGACCGTATAAAATGCCTTCCAGCACTATCGACATCAATGCAGCGCTATCCAGCGGGATGCCTTTTCCAAAAACCATAGCGAAAATGATGATGATAACGACCCGGGGATGTACGCTGGCAAATTTTAAAGTCCTGTGTCCAGTCCTATCTATATCATAGTTCTAGCGGAACTTACATAAAGCTTGAGCTGTCATCGTCGTGATCTCGGAAACGTTGAAATCAGCAGGTATCTGGTCGATATTTATATTCAGCGCTTCTGATGTTCATTAATGGCCAGTTGCGGAACGGATAAAGCTGTTATCTGAACGTGTTTAGCGGCTATACAACTTTGATTTGAACGTGTCGCTTGCCATATGTGCTTGGAAACGAAAGGGTTGCTTACAAGACTGAAGTTGTCATGCATCTAGTAGTACTACTAGCAAATCTTCATCGAAGCGAGCACTGGCATTGGACTTGATTTGGAGGTATGAAAGAGACTGCGCCTTGAGGATAGTGTTTGATCTTCATAGCTGGAAAGCACCTCATAGGCACTATCACGTCTACGTGCTATTGAAACACGAATGATATCAAATTGACATGTGATGCTGATTCCCGGGAGATCTAGAAGGTACATGCAAACTTTGAAGAACCACGACGCTTACATAATTATTTAGAGTTGCAGAGTCTCTGTCTCCGCTAGTTACCGGTACCGCAAGGCACCAGCAAGGATAGCACCAGTCCTTTCACCCAACCTCGCAACGTTCCTGGCATCGAGTTACTTCGCAATTCTGCTGGGCCGCTTCTGTCTATTTGCATCCCTGCCTGATGCATGATGCGCATCTTGGACATGTTGCCTAACGAGTCACGATCTGAAGTTGCAGAGCTCGAGGAAACCTTTAACCTCGGTTACCCGGTATGATGCTTGCATCATGTTCTACGTGAGTTCGAAGCATAAGAACGAATGTAGAACGCTCTCACCCAGTTTTTCATACCTCATTCATACTGTCCGAGTTGCATCGCTATGCGTCTTGGGCCGCCTGCCTTTGAAGCGGTTCATCTCGGACTTTTCTGCACGGATTCGAAACCATGCTAGTGTTTCGGGTTAAGAGGCTGCTGCAGGTTTTAGCCAAATGGTTTCGTGCGTTCCCTCTTCCTACTATTTGTATTCTACCAGATGCCACTAGTCAACAGCCCCATCCATTTACGAAAACTGACAGCAACGCATAGATGGTTTGCATAACTTGTCCCGCGTGCTCATTTGAACTACTCCCATGATGGCACACACGACTGGATACTGTAACGTGATAGGGACTATGTTCCTTGCTGAGTCACGACAGCCATCCTCCATAGGGTAGATCGAGACCAATACCAGAGAGCAAGGGAGCAGTCGGCCGTGTCTGTTTATGGACCGATTTTGATCCACTTCCTAGGCGATGGGTATCAAGCAACTCTTGTTATACCGAACGCCTACCAAAACGTCCTATTGCATTCCTACCACAGCTAAGCTAATTTCAATCACTTTATTTGCCCACAGCAAGTTTAATTTTGTAGTGTAATTCTCTTCTCCACATCCAATGAAGCAAATAATTTATTGCCGATGCAGCATATATACGAGTTGATACCTGACACTATCAAGAATACAATCAACTTTCATACGTATGAAGTCGTCGTTCGTGTTCATATGATTATATATTGCAAGATGCCCCTTCCACAATCCCTGACTTGCCTGTCGACGGTCGGTCCAGATTCCCATTTCTGCGCACCGACGCGGCATCACTGTGGGTAAATTGGGATATGTGTACCTGCAAAGGCTTCAGAGGATAATGCTGTAAGTTTCCTCCATCTGTCTCGCTGCCAGACCCATGACAGACAGTCAAAATGTGATCGTGAGTATCTTTACTCATCGCGATTCGAATAATCACGATGTAGAAAATAATAGAGATTATCGGCGTGAGCTGGTCGATTAAAGATTAGTACTTTCCGATCATACATATTGTTGGCGGAATCACCATGTTTATCATAACGTGCGATCCATTGTTGGAGCGGACTGCAACGATTAATGTGCAGAAGAGCGCTATGGAGTATAAAATAGCAGTATCCACAACCACACGTAGTATGCTTGTGGTGGTGGTTTTCATGGCGCGAATGCTAGCAACATTGCGTTCGATTTTCCAGATGCGGTATGCCAGCAATCCTGAACAAATTTCCTAAGGTTAGCATGAAGATACAACACCGCGCACAGACAAAAGCACGCTTACCTGAACTCAACAAGTTAGTCGCAAGTGTCAAGGTATAAAACATTACTGTCCATTTGCGAGTTGCGTAGTTAAAGTCGTGTCCAGAGATACCAGTTGTGTCCAGATAGTTATGGATTGAGTACACACCAGTCACTTCGAGACGATATCAGACCACAATACTCGTTCTGTATATTTGAAACTGACCTGCAATACCGCACCACAGCATGCTGGGTAAGATAATAACCCAGACGGTTCGCCAAACGACATAACAACGATAAATCTTTGTCCACAGAAGCCCTATGTCAATTTTTAAAATAGCAGATATATAATTGAACCCACCACCACCCCATCACCAAGTAAAGTTTGCAAAACGTATATCATGTTGTGGATCATAAAGGTTTCTCGGGAGAAGAAAACCACTGGCACGCCCGGAAATTTATTGTGCTGCACCAGTCTTTCTTCAGTCCGAATAGTACCTACAACCATGTGCTTGGAGAACCTCAGCATATAACATCAGATAACAAGGCAAGAAGCTAACCACAGTGCTCAGTACCAACAACAACACGGCCACAGCAGTGATTGGGTGATTGACGTCGCGCATGTGACGCTTGTATGTCAACGCCCAGATGGTGCCAATAAACATGAGGACAGAAAAGCCTGAAGAACGTCACGGTCATCTTGGTGGGTATGAAACTTGAAGCATAGTCGTATACTCACCATACAAGATGCTTTCCAGCACTAGTGACATTAATTCAGCACCATCCTCTGGGATGCCTTTTCCAGAGGCCATGGTAGAGATGATGCCCTGGGGATGTACGCTGGCAAATTCGCAGTCCTGTGTCCAGTCCCATGTATATCGTGATTCTAGCGAAATGAAACTATCATCACGATGATTTCGAAGATCCTGAATCAGCGTCGCATCAGGCAGTTATTTATATTCAGCACTCCTGATCCATCAATCGTAGAATCAATGGAGCTGTCATTTGAATGTGCTTGATATTCGAGTCAGGGTAGCAACCCTTCATCGAAGTGAGCACCAGACTGAGCTTCATGTTGATGAAAGAAACACAGGACGTATTGGATGTTGATAGGTATCAGACATCTCGTAGGTGTCGCTATCGGATCTATCATGATATCCGAGTCGAAACATGGAGATTTAAAAGTAAGTATGTTGGGCGATAGGTTACGATTTGATTTGCCGCGACTTATTTAAAGTCCGATGTTTACTCAAGTATCCTGTCGATAGAAATTCGTGGCAAGTACTTACTCTCAACACATTCCCTTGCTTGCAGGCCGAAGCCCGAGACTCGCGTAGCATGGGCCGACCCTGGCCTAATTAGGGTGAAAGAGTGAGCTTGAAGCAGCAGCAGCTATGCCTGATCTGCCTCTGGGCTGTACTAGTATGTCAAATCATATCACTGTTATTGTATTTTTCGTGTTGCAACTTGAACGCACCATCAGATCATCTCTCCAACTGGAATCCAGATGGTGTGTCTCACCGATGGCGGCCAGGGTGAGTCTTTTTCGTGAACAATTGCAATGACGAAAATAGCACAACAACGTTCAAAAATATTCAGTCTGAGCTGTACCATGCTCGATCTCATCAACATGGTTCTCGAAAAACCAGTTCACTCAGGCTATCAGTATCTTGGACAGTCGCGTGATCTCCCGGAACAGGTGTGAGATTTTTGTCACAAGTATCTCTATTCATCATATGCGTAACTAATAAAAGCCATATCTCTCAACTAGTCCGCGACGATATCATGATGTAACACGATCTTCTTAAATTCTCCATCGCATTGCCGCGATAGCAAAAATGCATCAAAAGGCTGTCCAAGGCGAATTGCCAAACGGAATCTCCGCGAGTGAGAATTGGAATGAATTTGTTCCTTTCGTGCCAGCAGGTCCATCGTGCAACGGAAATGACACGGATTTAAAGTATTTCTACGGGACCGACGACGTGATCCTCTTGTATTATTCTTTGACACGCTGCTGTGCTAGCAAAAATAGAACGAAAGACGAACCATCGCCCGCAATGCCGTGAGGTGAGCGAGGCTCCTCTTCTACAGGCGAACAGCCAGGTAGCTTGTCAGAAACATCCATCGGACCCGGGCTCGGTCCAATCTTATCATCGTCTACAAAATCAGGAAGCTCGAGAAGATACCTAACACAAGAATGGACAAACAAGTTTATCTCGCAAACGGGCTTTACCAGTGAAACTGACTTGGGATTCCTTCAGTGATGATCAGAAGTCCGTCAGCCTTGATTCCATGGTACGTGATCACGATGAGAATCTCCTAGGCAGACCACGCCTCCGCGACACAGGTTGAAACGCAAGTCAGATATGGTCTGCAGTTCTGCGAAATGAGGACCTCAGTCGTTCAAGCTGGTGAGTCAAACTTTCAATGACAGAACCGCAGGCACGGGTTTATCGCGGCCTGAGTTGTGTGCGAATATGACTTTTAGCAAAGACGAAAAGGTATTCCTGCAAGAGCCGCCCGAGCGCCTGCTTAGACTTCTTCGTCGCCTAGGAGTTTGATCTAAACTACTCTTGGAATAGCGTCTTCTGTTGACGCAGATCCGCACCGCTCCGACTTTCAGATAAGTCGCGAAACTATACATAGAGTTTTGAACTTTGTATGAGCGGCCGAAAAGCTTGAAATTGTTGCGTAATTATTTGAATGATTAGGTGGATTCAAATGCCACTCCGGTGACGATTCGTTGTATCTCGCTAAGCCATCACAAAATTTGAGTTCAGATAGTGTATGGTGTACAGCATCGAAATCCAAAGAAGCTAGTTATGTAACTTACAAGGAGCACGCACTCCACTCACTAGTCTGGGCGTCTTGCAACCTGTCACATCTTGTTCCAGCTAGAAGCCTGCTTTGAACCCGCGTATGGTAAATCTGGAGCATAAAATACACAAACCCACAAAGTAATACCTAAATGTAACACAAATATTAAAACGCCACATTAATATCGACCGGAGAAGAGGATTGAAGTCAACAAATAGATAGAGTAGAGCTTAGTCGCGATTTAAAGTTACCCAGCCTCAAAACCCAAGCTGCTCCACAAAGCTCTGCCATGCTGGATCCAGCACTGGCACCTCCTGTAGTCCATTCACGGCGCCATATGGATGCGCCGGATGAAACGTATTCAGCACTTGCTGCTGTCCACTATAGATCTCCGCCCCATACACACTCGACCCGCTAAACTGCACATCGCTCATCGCCTGGAAGAAAGACTCTGAGGAGTCGAAAGCGCCGCCAACAGTGAACGGCGACTGCTCGAACTTGTCAAAGACGCGCATGTCCTGCATGATGCGCGGGTGGATATCGAACCCGACGCCCTGTCCGTCCCAGGTGAATTGTCCACTTGACTGGGACGAGCCACTTGAATCGGCTTCTGATGGTGTGGAATGGAAAGACGGTGGCGAGGCGCTGGATTGAAGACTCGTTTTGGATATTAGATGAGTTTTGCCGCCGCCAAGGCGATCGAGCTCGGCGCGGGATAAGCTGGACTGATCGTTATCAAGAGGGCGATCAACAGCGTCGTGACCTTTTTTCCACACTTTTGTTATTGAGTCCTGCGCATAGGATGAGGGCTCTGCATGGAATATATGGAGCTGCTTACGAGGAGCAAGGCAGCAGGCTTTGAGGAAGGCGCTGACTTCTGGAACACTTCGTATACGACATCAAGCTCGCGCAATGAAGAAGGCGCTATGTTTGATTGAGGCGCACGATTAACGATCATACACATGACGATCTATAACACGGGTTATAACGCACTTGAATTATTTGAGTTGAACTGGGCTACTCACGGCGGCGGATAAAGCATGTGACCAGTACAGACTCAAACGCTCTATCGCTTGCGGAATCTTCCTAACTGCATGCGAGTGATTTTCTATCACTCGCCATGCAGAGCGATACATCGCCATGACCGAAGGACCGTACTTATGCTTCAGGAGGTCGTTGGGTTGGTCCTCTAAAGCTTGTGTAAAGTATCGTCGATGGATATTTAACAACGCTAAACACGCCACCAATAAATTCCATGCACTATTCAAAATAGATGGGTATACCCACTGGTTTCCTTGTTTGTGAGGAGAAAAGACATGTGGACTTGCTCAAGAAGTGTGGCTTTTGTGAGAGGTTCGTGCATGGTACAACGGGGCTGGAGATGTGGGGGGATAGGGAAATCGCGGATTTTCCGATCGAGTTCGAGGATAGTGCTGTAGGTAGGTGTCTTGGCTCCAAACGCATTAACCATTACGTGGTGCAGGAGCCGCGAAAATTGCCACGACCACATGTGCCCTAAGGGTATGTGAGGATAGTGAAGTAGAATGACAGAAATGCATACCACTCATCTCCTTTTCCCCTTTATCATTAACTACCGCGAAATCATCATTTGGGTAAGGAGTGTCGATCCAATCAGGGGAGACATTCGGTGGGCGGCCGGAATAGAAACTCTGGAATACACAACATGAGTGAGAAGTCACAGCGCTAGTTTGAATGGCGCACAATCCAGGTGTCCAGCATGAACATCTGCCAAAAGACGGAACTGCGTTTTTGAATAACAGCGTCATTAAGCTTCCACCTAGCACCAGAAAGATCTTGAAGATGTCATTAGTCCCAGATACACCAAGCGGGTAGCCTGAAAGACGTACGAACGCCAATCTAGGAAAATCGATGAGAGACTCGTGGTATGTGAAGTAAATAAACGAACCCTGTAGCCAAGCTTTACAGCTAACCCAATGAACAAGTATGATCTGCTTGAATCCATCTGTAAGTCGCTCAGTTCCAGGTACTGTACAATATGAAGCTAATGTGAATTTTAGCATTTGAACATTTATTTCTCGCTAGGGAAGAGACAAACCAGTGCGATGAGAGTATGGACACTCGTTTCCATGCAGGGGGAAGTAAAGTGCAGCGAAACATGCGATAGAATATGATACTCCTGTGCCTCCACGGCATAAGATGGCTTTTCAAAGTCAAAGAGTGTGGCAAGAGCGAATATGCTGAACAGAAGCGAAAGATCATGAGAACCAGGTATTTCCTCGTAACAACTATCGAGGAAACTTGCTCAGGAGCACGACATGAAAGAAGCAGAAGCAGCCTACCTCGCACGATAAACACTTCCAAGGATATTATCGAAAAGGTCCGATCGTGTCAGGGGAGTCCACCTAGCAGAAATGGTTAGGCGTTCACTCTGCTACTAGTACATGAACATACAAGACTTCACCCCATTCAAGGTAAATCTCACTAAGGCGGATCGCCTCTGATAATGGGGGCAGATATGAAAAAACAGGTTTCCAAAGGCCATTGTCAGACAGGGTACAGTCAGAACCAGGTAACCAAGTATCGAGGATCTGTTTCGAAAGTCGGGGAAAGGTTTCAGAAAAAGGAGGCTTTGGTTGTTTCAGAGGTGGCTAAAAAAACGTCACACAGATGTCGCAAAGCGGTCACGACAAACCATACCTGAATGAGATACTATCAGGATGTTCAGTAAGTATTCATTACTTCTGAATATAGGACTTACTTCTGAACGGGCGGTGCCGCCCATGAAAGTGGTTTCTCCACGAGTGCCAATGGTGAGCGTGCCTATAACCGAACTTAGCTACGTGTATTAACCAAAAACTTCAATGAGCATCACCGAATGCATCTATGACAGAATCAGCATCAGCCTTATTCGAAATTTGGGGCTGTTGTTCAGGAAAGTTGGTGCTTGAGCTAGATCCTGGACTATCATTTGAAAGGACACTAGTGGTGTCTGAAAGCAGTGGGTGCGGTGAATCGGATGATTTGGAGTGCATTTGGCGGAGCGTCTCCTCAAGTTCACGTATCCGCGCTGACATTACTTCGATTTTGTTGTGCAACTCCTCTGTATTTGTGAGCACAAGGCTGTGCATGTGTCAGAACAGTGAGATAGGAAACAGAGGGACTGCATACCGATTGCCCTTTCCCGTTGTCAAAGATCCTGAATATGGTCTAAGGCTTGAGATATCTTATAGATCACGAAAAGAGCAGACCACTAGGACATATTGAGTCACAACCACGTTTTACGCAAGTCTCGCATGGAACCTACACGACAACCAAGTCAGCAATACTATTAAGCCACAAAGAACAGAACGACAGGCCTTGCGATCACAGCGAAGTTTGAGTCTGATACAATGAAGGACGCGAGCAATGGATCGTAAACGTGTTCGTCAAACGTGCCGTCTAACTTGATTGAGTGAGCGAAATGAAAACTGACCTTCTACACTCTGCGCAAGACGTGGGTACTCTGCCAGGTTTCTTTCTTTCCTTCTGCTCGCCATTCTTTAAGTCTGTTGTCCTGGTCATTGCGAGAATAGCAAAAAGACACAGCGCGAATAGGAGGGCAAATGCGCGTTGACGTGACTAAGCACGGACACGACTCTTTGAACATAGCCCTCGGCATGTCGCTGACTGATCAATGATACGAATGTCGTCACTTGCCATCATGTGCATGATCGCCCGGACTCGATATCATCATGGGGTACAACGACTGCCGACTCATCATCATGCATAGAAACCATCGATATATATATAACATAGCCGAGGTTGCGAAGCACACAAGGAACAGCATCGGCTCTCACAACTTCACGTTGTTCAAAGACCTGGGTTGTCCTCGTATAGCACAGGATGTTGCAATAAGTGAAAGCACGGTAATTCAAATTTAACACGTTCTCTTGATCATGTTCGCCCAATAGCGGCCACGCCTGTTTGAATTGATGGTGAACTCGAAGCACCCTAGCACACTTATATCGTATCCTGTGCAAGATTTTGATGCAATCTTTGTCGTATCTCACGCAAGAAGACACGAAGCTAACAAGAAAGTTCATATTGCTTGACTGCATCTGTAAGCGTGCGACAATGACCGCTTGAACTTGAATAGCTAGGGCGGTGCGCGAGGATCATGTGAAGTTGAAGCATTGAGGGAAGTTTCTGTCACAGATGTTGGTGCTTCTTCTGTGATTAGTGTCCCAGACTAATGAGAAGTCTAGGGTGCATGCTAAACGGAGGGTGACTGTGCCCACAATTGTAAGTTTGCCTTGAATTCACTTACCAAGGTCCGATGGCATGATGGAAAACATGTGCGACATGGTGTGCACTGCCACTATGCTACCATCAAATTGGTCTCAAATAATTGATGACTAACTGAGAATGCTAGTAAAAACGAAGAGCAATATCATCGGCGCGTCTTACCTCCCTTTCTTTTGACACCCTTACCTCAAGACCGCGTGCATACACTCCATACCCCATCCCTTTCCAGCTCGTCGATGAAATGCCTGTGTTAAAGTCAAGCGCCAGTGTTGTAAATTACCGACCAAAAAGTTAACGCTGAGGACAAACTCCATGCAAGTAAGCACTTCGAAGTTCAAGCGTACAAGCAAGTACCCGAGTCGTTCGTCCTCTAAGGAGCGATCACCCTTCGCAAACTAGATCACCAGCAAACAGAAATACGCTGTGATATCCAACCTGTGAAAATACACTATAGATACAAGCAGGTTCTAATTAGCAAGATGTTCACGATGGACTCGTCATGGTAGTGTCCGCAAGTTGAACCTAAAAGCAAAAACAAAACCGACCGCTTCCATGCTCTCCTGTATCGGTCTTGATCTGCACTACTACTGTTTGGGCCACCGGCTGTTGCGAATCCGGGTTGGGCGAAGGAGGAGGAGAGACATAGTATTCCTCAGGTATCCATTCATTGTTTTTGCGGGGTGTTCCACCTGCAGCAACGTTCCGCTAGAAATTGATATATGAGCAGTGAGAAGGGAGAGCAATGGGCTGTGTATACCTCTACAGCATATGCGACAACTTCCCGAGGGTCCTTTATCTGCTTACCCTCCCGCAGGTCCCTTCGCCTAATGGTCTTATCGTCTGATCCGCTGATCATTTGCGTGCCGTCGGGAAAATAGGAAAGCTCTGTGTACCCTTGGGGAGTATCATCAGGCGACGAGTGTGAATACGGTGTATGTCCCTTCGAGGTCATCACCGGTGGCAGAACCGAATTATTCCCGGCTATACGGGGCCGTTTCGAGCTGGAAGCCATGGCAGTTGTGTCTTATGATTATGCGTTCGGTGAGTTGTCCTTGTATGCGCTAGGCCCAGAGCCGCTGTACTTTCCCTGCTTGGGGCAATCGTTAGTTCATCAGCGCAGGAAACTCGTGTAGGTTATTCACGTTATATGAATGCTATCAAGGACGAGGAATGATACCATGATTGATAGACAACCTCCACTTATATGTATATCCCCTTCGCCGCTATGCGTTATGTGGCGTGTTCTCCTTTCACCATCGCTATCAAACTTGTCTCTCTTTGAGTGTGATACAAGGACGCGAGCAATGGATCATAAACGTGTCGTCTAACTTAATCGAGGGAGATTAAAACTGACCTTCTGCACTCTGCACGAGACGTGCCAGATTTCATCCTTTCCTTCTGCTCGCCATTCTTCAAAGCTTCAATTCTGTTGTCCTGGTCATTGCGATGATGGCAAAAAGAAACACGATCCGTGTTGAAATGGCTAAGCACGACATTGAACATAGCCCTCGGCACCGACCGGTCGGTCACTACTTCACTTGCCATGATGATGATCACGGGCGATCATCATCATCGGGTACAACGACTGCCGGCTCATTATCATCCATAGAAACAATCAATCAGAACGAGTCGCAAAGCGCACAAGTAACAGCCATCGAACAGTGCATCGGCTCTAACAACTCACGCGTGGCTCTGTTGTTGTTCAAAGACCTGGTCTTCCTCGTACAGCACAGGATGTTGAATGGTCAACAAACAAAAAGTACAAGTGAATTTTGGTCTATAGCCTGCTATTGTCCTCATGGTAGTAGTACCGCGCTAGAAGGCTTGGCGGCCAAGCCTTCTTGAATTGACGGTGAACTGCAAGCACGCTAGTACGCACGTTGCCGGTCCTTGAGCTAACCGTTTCGATATTGGTCATGTGAGGTAATATGACAAGCCTCGGTGTACTTATCATGGTTATTATTAATATCGATGATGAGTCTTGCCGCCGCATTTCCGATCGTCTTGAATTTCACTTTCCTCGGATATCTGGCAATGTCTACAGAGCGGATTCATATTGTCGGGCCTGGAGGAAATTCCTTCTTAGGGAGCTAATTTTGAAATAAACCGGCTATAAGCTCGAACCATAAGTTATTCCTAGCCGCACGTGCAACGAACATCCAACAGCTCACTTGGTACTGGTATCGCACTTCCATTCAAGGATTCAACCATGATGGCCGTTTATACGTGATTCCGTTTGCGTCAAACTACAGTTAAACTCGAATGTCAGACGCTTACTCGGAACCGGCAATATCGAGGAGACTAGGTCCAATTAATCGGTCGTTATTCGGTCCGTGTCACAGGCGAGAACCAGTGACTGGTCATGGAAAGATCCACGGAAGCTTTTCATACTTAGAATACAGACTTTGATATTGCGCCCTTCTGGCTCTTAAAAAGGCCACCAAGAAACTTTACACACCAGGCCTCCGGACTATCCTTAACCATCCCCTTCAGTCATGGATCAAAACATGCAGCCAACATTGCAGGGGAAGCCACAACCCGCCCCACTATTTCTCAGCGACTATCCTAAAAATGCAAACTCTTCAGTTTCTAGCGGCCAAGATTCATTGAATCCGACCGACGATGTTCTACCCCCTGCACATACTAACAGAACGTTGGTGTTGTGTTTGTAGGTTGTTTTTGTAAATCCTCTTGCTCATCGACTGACTGTCCTATCTCAGTGACGGAACCGGTGATCAGGTGCGCAGACTTCATTCTCTTATAGTGCTTAATGGTTGACCAGCCGAACAGTTTAGTTCTGATGTATGTCACTGTTTCTGTTTCTCAGAGTCCTTCGCATCTCACTGGCCATTCAGAACTCTAACATCGTCCAGCTATTCAGCATGCTCGTCAAGGATAACCCCGCTTTGCAGATGGTTTACTATCAGGTAATATTAAACAATCTTCGGACCTGAACTAGGCTCACCCATGATAGGCTGGTATAGGAACATACACTATACCGGAAATGGCCACACCCAGGATGGCTAAGGTTTCCAAGACTGTTGACATGATGGTTGGGACTCATCTCAACGCCCATGTAATGGGTCAGCTATACTTATACTCCTTCCATCTTCGGCTGCTCATTTCAAATAGGAGGATACGAATTTCTCATGCAGAATTGTGAAGTCAGAACGCGCTTTCCAGGTTATGCGACTAATTTTAGCTTTCGCAGATGAAGCTGGTGATAAGATCTGTATATTCGGCTTTTCGAGAGGTGCATATACAGCGCGCGCGCTTGCTGGAATGTAAGCCTTTCCAGATTGTTATTGGCCGAAGCATCAACGTATTATGCTCGCAGGGTTCACAAAGTCGGACTTTTGCCTCGCTGCAATCATCAACAGGTTCCCTTTGCCTACAATATGTACAGCCGTGATGATGCAGAAGGCTGGGCGCTGAGCTCTAAATTCAAGAAGGCTTTCTCTATTAACGTGGACATTGAATTTGTCGGTGTTTGGTGCGTTCGCAGCGCTGGTTCGGTGTGATCAATAATCTAAACTTCACTTGTGAATAGGGATACCGTTAGTGCGGTGGGAATCATACCTAAACGACTGCCCTTTACGACGGCGAACGACAGTATCAGGTACTTCCGTCATGCAATTTCTCTTGACGAACACCGGGTGTATGTGTCTCGAATTCCTCTTCAGTGACTTGCTATCTAATTTGCAATACTCAGGCGCTTCAAACCAAATCTTTGGATACGCCCGACCGAGGAGCACAAGGCATGCGGTGTTAAACGTGAACACATGCCTCGCAGCTTCAAGAGGGTTCTCCCGAAACGGCATGAACCCGAATGTACAAACACCCCAGACAGCGAAGCAACGAAGAAGTCACATCATCATCACGAGTGTCAGGATCAGATGGAACAACAGTTCGCAGTCAGCGACTCAGCACCCATCAAGGAGACGGACGTCCAAGAGGTTTGGTTTGCTGGGTGTCATTGCGGTAAGAACCTCGAGTTCGGCAAAGTACAGTTCTAA